CCTAAGAAACAGATTTACTGTGGATTAGAGAAGAGCCACCGTTACACAAAGGTTGTTGCAAGCAGCGAAGGTTTGACTTTTTAGTAGACCTTAGTAATACTCAGCTACATATATAGTATAGAACTACTTTCTATACCCTAATATACTAATAACTCTAACCTTATAGTTCTAGGCTAATGTTATACTATATAGTAAACTCTTACATCTTTATTACGTAGTAAAAAGTATATACCCCACATTATAACATTCAGCAGATTAGTAGGTGATATCACTATAAGGTAATAGGCCAACGCTATACTATATAGTAAACTTTTACATTTTTATTACATAGTAAACAGTATATCCCCCTCATTATAGCATTTAGCAAATCAGCAGCTAGTATTACTATAAGGTAAGGGAAAGCTTAGTTACTGCATTAGCTATATAAGCACGAGTAACTCCCCGCATAAGACATACCTAGTTGTGTAGCTAAGTATACTCTATATTCTTCTTGCTCTTACTATACTCTTTACAACTCCTCAAAAATGTCCTTCCCCGGCGGCCAGTTCATCATCCGCAACCGCGAGAACCACCGCGTGCTCGACGACAAGGACATGTCCCCCGACGCCGGCAATCCCATCATTGACTATAACTACAACCCGAGCGGGGATAACTCTAACCAGCGCTGGACCTACCGAGACGGCCGCCTCGTCAACGTGCACTCAAACCTCTACCTCACCTTCAAAAACCTCGAACCCGAGTCTACCGCCACACAGGAGGGCTACAGGGGCGAGGGCCAGCAATTCAAGTACAATCAGGGCATCATCAGCCTTGTCAATGATGACGACCGGGTCGTCGGTGCGTGGGACTACGACGTCAAGATCGTGAAACCCGATCCTTATGATAATGCCCGCCGCTGGGACCTCATGCCTATTTAGGTCTAGGGGCTGGGGCAAGATCTCGTGTAAAATGTGATTTATTAATAACGCTTACTTAATATTCAGATAATCACAGAATTACTTTCTTTTTTAAAACTAGGATAAGGACTACTAATAAAATGTATTAAAGTAACGGCCCTACTCAGACTTAGTCATCTAGTTATATTGTAAGAGTTGATTCTATCTGCTGAAGTCCGGCCAATCCTAAGGATTTCTACAGTCATGCACGTTTTCGCCCTCTGATATGGGCTACTTAGGTTGTCGTGTAGATGATGAGAAAAGGAAGAGTTAAGCTCATTAGGACAAGATAAGAGATCAACGGCCTGCCAGCTGCAGCTCGCACTTTCGCAAACGGAGTTAGCTTACTCCGTAGTGAGCCGTAGATGCGTTTACTTTACAGTCTCCTGATTAGTTCTGGAATGGTAGTGGCGGCTGAGGAATGCTACCCCGCACCGACGTGTTAATCGTCGCCGGAAACGTCTACTACCAGCATCGGCATATACTAAAGCACAGTTTATGCTATAATCTTAAGTTTATTTTAATAGGATACTTAGAGGTAACTTAGGACCTATCTATATAAAAATCACACTTTACTAAAATTAGTAAGAATTTATATATAAATCTTTATAGCTTTTATACAACTTTTAAATAGAATTAAAGGTTATATATTAAGCTAGTAGGGGTTTTATATAAGTTTTTAGACTTACTAAAAGAAGTAAAAAATCTACTTTTTCTACTATTCTTTTAAGTATCTAGTAAGTATTAAGTTACTATAGAAAATATAGTAACTTGGAGGATATTTAAAGAATATTTAATTAATTTATAATAATATATAGTCTATTTAGTATTAATAAGTTATAATTATTTAATACTTTTAGTAATAATATTAAAAGTTTATTTTTTAATAATAAAGAAACTAGTAAATATAATAGACTATAGTATTATAAAGGCTTTAAAGTAAGTAAATAAACTTATAATTAATTCTTTAATAAACTATTAAATATAGGTTTTTAGAACCTCTTTTTAAATATATTTACTATTATATATTATAAAGAATATTTTCCTTTTATATTATTTAAGATTAAAACTACTATAGTTTACTTACTATTATTACTATAAGTTATTTTTAATAAGTTTAAAATATATAAAATAGATTATATTTAAATAATATTAAAATTTAACTTTTAATAAAGTTTTTTTACTTTATAATAAAACTAGATATTATCTTTAGGATTAAGTTAAGATAGTCTAGAAGCTTTAGAATAAAGAAGGATTATTTAACTTATATGTAACGGTGGCTCTTCTCTAATCCACAGTAAATCTGTTTCTTAGGAAGTGAGTCAGGTTGAATGCACCACAGGTGCAGATGAGCAGTATCGTAGCTTGAGTCACGTTTAGGAGATTACTCCCAATAGTAGAACTATTGCTTAGATTGATCAGTAGAGATCTAGCTGTCTATCTAGGGAAATCCCCTTCCTTATATATCCACCTATCCTCTACTGTATTCCTTGGATCACTCTGGATCACCAGTGATCCAAGTGATCCTGATGCTTGTGTGGGATCACCTCTGGCTCACCGTGATCCACGGTGATCCAGTCACGTGACCTTGCATCCTATCTAGACGACTTGCAGGCGCCCGCCTGGTCGCTCCTTTGGGCCGCCTCCCCGGCTGCCTTGCATACATTCTTGATTCGTAACATTATACTATACTTAACTATAAATAATATTAAGAATATATTTAATTAATATAAATAAAATTAGAAGATTATTATTATTAATACTATAAATATATATATAAAGCTAAGTAAAGTAGACTAGAGTTAAGTATACTAGTACTTAAATAGAATAGAAAGTTATATAATAGCTTAATAGATTACTAAGATAATCTAGTAAGCTAGAAGGATTATTAGGATTATAAAGTAAGCTAAGTAATCTAAATAATATAATAGAGAATAGAATAAATATATAAAAAAGGGGATTTCTAGTAGATAGTTAAACTAAATCTCTACTAATTAATCTAAATAATGACTCTACTATTAGGAGATATCTCTTACTATAACTTATATTATAATAACTACTTATTAATACTTTATATATTTAAACTAACTCTCTTCTTAAGAAAGAGACTAACTATAGATTAGGATTAAGCTACTATTATAGGAGAGTAGTAAAGAACCTTAATATATTATTATATTTATTATTTTAATATACTAACTAGTAAAGTAGAGTAGTTATAATAAATCTCTATAGATTAACTACTAAATATAAAAGTGCTAAAAATAACTTTTAGAAAGTGGGTATTTTAGTATACTATAAATAAGTGAATAACGTATTATTATAATTATTCTTTATATAATATATAATATAAAACCCTATACTAACACCTATAGTAACTATTAGCCTGCGCTTAGAATCTTCTCTTAGGGAACAGAAAATAGCGTCATTGGTTAATAACGGGTTAATAACGTTGCGCCAGCCAGAGCATGTCAGGCATAGTGCGCTAAATTGGCTGGCGGAGTACTGTTTTACGCCGCGAATTAAAGTCAGCTGTGATGAAAGCTACTTCTGCACCGGATGCAGGGGCGGTGATATTTACTGTTCTCGTATTGATGAGCATTAAATGAAAAGTTTGCAGAAGGCTGTACCACAAAGATCCGATTGGCCGCTTGCCGCAACATGCTGCGCATGTTTCAGCCTTTCCTGTCATGCAAATCTATCCTGAACCGTTTACTTCCGCACACCGCCAGCCGGATGGGATCTGCGGCATTGTTCGTTGCATCCACGCTGATCAGATCCCAATTTGTGGAGAGACGTAATCGATAATTTTGTTAAAAAGTCCACCTGATAAAATCAGAGCCAATCCGCCAAGTGGCTATCTATAGTTCTAATTAGCCGTTACAACACTAATTAACATGCGCCTACATACAAGCCGCTTCTCAAGTTGTCGCTTTGTCAGCCACAAATCGTGCCACAGACTAGCCACACCATATCACAACCCCCTTGTGGCGCCTTTGTAGACGATGACTTGGAAGGAAATCAAAACAAGGAAAGCAATAACATGACTTGCACGAAATATATCGCCAGGATCTTTGGATTGTATTTCGCTTCAGTCGCGCAAATATCCCGTATATGCAGAGTCGCGTTGTACTTGTCCTCCACCAGCCACCCGATAGCCACGAGCGGCTCCGCCTAATCCTCGGGCTCGACACGCAGCCACCAAAGTCGCGCTTCCTCATAGTTAATAACTCGCAACCAAAACACGCCCATATAAGGCCGCCCGTTCAGCTCATGTTCACTTTTCCCGGTCGGCAGATTTTGGTTTTCACAAATCCTTCTTTATTTTTATTTTTATAGAATCAGGTATAGAGTTCTTTAACAGCACCACCACATCTTTATTGTGTCGGAACCATTCCGCCCAGCTCTCGACAAAGAGGTTCGCGCGCCACCCGGTCCGCTGGGTCCACCTTATCCGCCCAGCTCACCACTGACGCCTTTTCTTACCGGACATCTCACCTTCATATCACCGTCGAAGACAAAGGCCCATTGAGGCTCTCGATATAGCTCAAAGACGAGTACGCACAAGCACTCGCCACGTTGCGCCTGACTATCCGCCTGCACAGACCTGCAGCGGCTTCGGCCGTCCTGGCCCGGGCAGTCCATGACCCGCGAGTTGACTTTGGCCTCAGTCCTCTCACTTTAAAGAGGGCCCTTAAGTCACCGCAGCTTTTCTCGTCATCAACACTTATCGAACTTTTCAAACGCGACCCCCACTTCAATTCATTCAAGCCCTTCCCGCCTCAAAATGCCACTACCAGGAACCCCCTATCGCCCGCGTCTCGATCGTGAGCGCGCCAGAGCAACTCGTGCGCCAGAGGGCGACACAAACGAGTTTCGCATGCCCACGCTCCCCCCTCTTCCCAACACTCCAAGCGCCCACCGCCAGTATACATACGGAGCCGGCGCGGAACCCGCGCCCGCAAGGCCCGCCCATCGCGGCGCCGTTGTCGACCTGAGCAGAGCAGTTCGGGGAGCTCTCAGCAGACACGAGGAGCGACGAGCGGCAGACGAGCGGCGACAGTCAAATCAGGACTTGTTTCTTCTGGAGGCTGACCGTTCTGATCATGACAAAGACCAAGCAAGCCGACAAGCCGCTGACCAGCTTGCAATGCCGCCGCCCTCGTTCACGCCTCTGCAGAGTAAGTCCTTTTTGTCATTCGGCATCTTCCTAAGGAATTTCTGCTAATGAAAGCAGAGTCAGCATCAAAAACTGCCGTGTCCACAGCCCCGGCAGAGCAAGAGGATGACGGCAGCGATATACATGACGGGAGCGATACAGATGATGCGCGCAGTTTCCTAGAAGAAGGCGACTTCTATGGCGAGGCCGCGATAGCATTGACTTCAGGCAATGCACCAGCCATCGGAAGCCGTCAAAGGCATATTACAAGGTCGCAGATTCGAAATGCAGAGCATCAAACTGCTGGTTCCCAAGAGCCGCCTTCCGATACGCCAAGAGGGCCTCCCCCTTCGTCTATTGCCGAAGACGAAGGGCTCAGTCCCCCAAACGTACAGGATACACCCGGTCTGCGCAGCAATCCCCGACGTGGGAAGCTGCCGAATCCCTGGACGGCCGGCGTTGAATCTCAACAACCAGGGCGGGCGGCGAGTTCTACCAGTATCTTCCGCCCACCCCAGAAGAGCCCTACCCCGAACTCCAACGGCACACAAGTGTTCCCGGCAGCCCGAGAGAGGGCAACTGAAGAGAGCGGCTTTGCAGCTGGCAAGCGATTTTCGCAACGGCCGGAGACCAGCCAACGAACACCAGTGCGTCCGCGAAGCGGAAACTCAGACCGCGGAACGGTCGAGCCGGAAGAAGAGACAGCAGTTCGCCCTAGTCTTTTCACCCAGGCCAAAGAATATGCGGTCGCGGCTAGCCCATTCTCTACCCGCTCACACAATGCGCCGAATCATAGCGCAATGGACGATGCCATGCAGCGGGAGATAGAGTCCAGCGAAAGTGACTCGGTAGACAGTGAGCAGCGTGGCTGGACATGGATGAGGCCCATAACATCATTGCCCTATATCTGCCGCTACGCGCTGCGCGACCAAGATGATTTGCTTATAGACGCTATCGACTGGTGGCAGCTGCTGAATCCGTACACCTACTTCGAGGCTCTATGCTGGGGACTCAGTTCTGTATACTCCTCCGTGCTGGAATGGCTCCAGAGGCTGTTTACACAAACGGTCATCGATGGTCTCTTCTCTTCGTTGGAAATGGTGCTCTATTTCGTCGCTGCAGTTATTGCGCTTATCACCTTGGTCAGTGTCAGTCATGCAACCCTGTTCGGCAAAATCGATGGTGACTTTAGTATGGCTCGCCTTCTTTCAATGCCTAAGGCACACTGGCCAAATTTGGGATACATGACCGGTAAAGCTCACGAGATGCTGCCTGTGTTCTCTTGGCCAACTTGGGGCCAGCCTTCTTTACTGCCTGACCTATCACAGCTGGACAATGACGGCTTTGCCCGCTTGGACGAGTACTTGCGACAGTACCAACGCGAATTTGAGCGTGTCCAACAAGCAGGGAAGCTGCATGAGAGTTCGCTGAAGAAACTAGAAGCAGTTGTACCAAAATTGGTACATATTCAACTGGAAGACGGCAAGCCGGTGGTCGCGCAAGAATTCTGGCATGCGCTGAGAGATCTCATCCATCGCGATGGTGACTTCCTTACTCTCGAACAAAAGGGAAGCAGGTACGAGATCGCATCGGGAGCGCACTGGCAAGCTATTGCGGAGCGCATGGCTGGTGATCCGGTGTTGACAGGGCAAATCAACGCCACTGTGCAGAACATGGAGCTTCGCGTGAAGCAAGGTGTGATAGGGTTCTGGGAAGATTGGATCCAGAACAACCAGGCCAAAATCATCACGATGCTTGGGGCGGCGATCAACCAGATCAATAGCGCCGGGACTCAGAAAGAGTTCGAGAAGCAGTTGCAGCGCATCGTCAAGCAGCACATTGACGAGAGCAATAAAAGCTCCACTGTCATCTCCCGAGAAGAATTTCTGAGCCATATCAAGAGTGAATTCGCCACACACCGAGCAGAGGTCCACGCGGAATTCGCAGAGCTTCAGCCTCAGCTGGAGAACCTAGTCCGTGAGGCTGTCGAGCTCGCCGGCAAAGGCGTCCCGGAAAGCATGAGAAGGGCAGAAATGGTCACGCTCGTGCACGGCATGGTCAGCAAGGCCGTTGCAGACCTGAATCTGGATGCCATGGCGCGCGGCCAAATCCACTCGCATTGGGACAGCGTCTTGCGACACCAGATTAATTACTTTGGTGTCGGTTCTGGAGCGACAATCGACGTCCAGCACAGCTCAGCGACGTTCGAACCGCCCGCAAACTCGCTGTACGTGAAGCAGAAGGGTCTCCGAGGTGTCCAGACGCCCATCGTGCGAGCGGCCCTCGAGCCGTGGTCTGACGAAGGGGACTGCTGGTGCGCGGCACGCTCCCAGAACCGCAGGGGCAACCCGCACGGCGCCATCCTGGCCGTGCATCTCGGCTACCGCATCGTGCCACGGCACGTCGTGGTCGAGCACATCGTCGCCGCCGCCACGACAGATCCGGACGCCCGACCCAAGGAGATCGAGGTCTACGCCGACGTCGATCCGGACCTCCGCGAGCTCGTCAGGGACTTTTCGGCGACGCACTTTCCGGACATCTACCCCTTGGATGACTGGGGACAGCAGCAGCAGGAGGGCTGGAACGTCAGCCCCGCGGAGCTTCCGAAGCGATTCGTCAAGATTGGCCAGTTCGTGTACGAGGACGTCCAGCTTCACGACGGCGTGCAGGTGCATAGGCTGAGCGACGAGTTGCTCAACTTGGGCGTCGCGACGGACCATGTGATTGTCCGCGCTGTGAGCAACTACGGTGCCAAGGCACACACCTGCTTTTACCGTGTGCGCCTGTACGGGGAGCGCTTTTAAGCAGGCGCAACCCTGTAAAGCTCGGGATGCTAGAAGTGAGGAGGATAGAGCTGAAGCAATGGGGTTTTGTCTTTTGAGGTTTTTTGTCTTAAGGGTACATCATTTTGACATATTTAGAAGAGTGGCGTTCACGGACATGGAAGGCAAATAGCAGGGCGGCGCACGAGTGAGGACATTCAGTGTTAAATACATTTTTGGTTCTCTTCAAACATTCTCTTCTGGCATCGTCAGTTAATTCTTCAGCGCTGTATTCAACTAAATTACTTGTTAAATACTTTCATTACTTGGGTTGTTGTGTTAAATAGACCCCGTGGAAGCGGTTCCGTGACGGCCCCACCAAGACCGATTGTGGGGCGTATCTACAAAGCCAAGCCAACTTTTTTTCTCGTCGATAAGAAAAAAAGTTTGGGCTGCCCATACCCCAAGCCTCATCATCGCAGCGCAGAACTGCAAGAACTCGTGCAATATGGTTGCTAATCCTCGCGCTGCCGGGAGGCAGGCGAAGCCTCCGAAGCAAAATAAAGCCGATATTCGCCAGCAAAAGCGGAAACGTGATCAGGATGACCTGACCACGCTGGAGGCGGCCATTCGCGAACTGGTGGGTTCCATTGTCCTGATGCTGCTGCTCTGTAACGCGCAGTTGCCAAGCGCATCCTCTAACTACTTTTTCCTGCTTCTTCTAGGACCCCAAGAATACCGAAATCAAAAACTTTTCCGAACTCCCACTCTCCCGAGCCACCACCAAGGGCCTGTCCGCCGCCCACTTCCAGACCCTCACCGATGTCCAGGCACACGCGATCCCGCTGGCCCTGCAGGGCAAGGACATACTCGGAGCAGCCAAGACGGGCAGCGGCAAGACTCTCGCGTTCCTAGTACCGCTGCTCGAGAAGCTGCACCGCGCCCAGTGGACCGAGTACGACGGGCTCGGCGCGCTAGTGCTTTCGCCGACGCGCGAGCTGGCGGTGCAGATCTTTGAGGTGCTGCGCAAGATTGGCGCCTACCACAGCTTCTCAGCTGGTCTGGTCATCGGCGGCAAGAACCTCAAAGACGAGGCGGAGCGCCTGTCGCGCATGAACATCCTCATCTGCACGCCAGGCCGCATGCTGCAGCACCTCGACCAAACGGCCGGCCTCGACGTCAACAACCTGCAGCTCCTGGTGCTCGACGAGGCCGACCGCATCATGGATATGGGCTTCCGCGCGGCCGTCGACGCCCTGGTCGAGCACCTGCCCGCGCAGCGCCAGACGCTCATGTTCAGCGCGACGCAGAGCAGGAAGGTCTCGGACCTCGCCCGCCTGAGCCTCACGGACCCCGAGTACGTATCCGTGCACGAGGCCGCCGCCGAGGCCACCCCGACGAACCTGCAGCAGCACTACGTCGTCACGCCGCTGCACGAGAAGCTCGACACCCTGTACGGCTTCATCAAGGCATCGCTTAAGAGCAAGATCATCGTCTTCCTGAGCTCCGGCAAGCAGGTCCGCTTCGTCTACGAGAGCTTCCGACACCTCCAGCCCGGTATCCCGCTGCTCCACCTGCACGGCCGCCAGAAGCAGGTCCAGCGACTCGAGATTACGAAGCGATTCGCCGAGGCCAAGCAGGCCTGTCTCTTTGCCACGGACGTTGTCGCCCGCGGCATCGACTTCCCGGCTGTCGACTGGGTCATTCAAGTCGACTGCCCCGAAGATACCGACACTTACATTCACAGGGTGGGCCGTACCGCCCGCTTCCAGAGCAACGGACGCGCCGTGCTCTTCCTGGAGACAAGTGAGGAGGACGGCATGCTCAAGAAACTGGAGCAAAAGAAGATTCCGATCCAAAAAATCAACATTAAAGAAAAGAAGAAGCGCAGCGTCAAGAATGACTTGCAGAACATGTGTTTCCAGAACCCAGATCTCAAGTATCTCGGGCAAAAGTCTTTCAGCAGTTATGTACGGTCTATTCACCTACAAAGAGACAAAGACGTGTTCAACCTCAAGAAGCTGGATCTGGACGCGTATGCGGCTAGCTTAGGCCTTCCAGGTACACCGCAAATCAAATTTCAACAAGGTGTGGATATCAAAAAGGTCAAGAACGCTTCAAGACAAGAGATGTCTAGCGATTCGGAATCTGATATGGACATGGATGGGCCGAAGAAGACGAAGAAGAAGAATGAAGTGCGCACAAAATACGACAAGATGTTTGAGCGAACGAATCAAGACGTTCTCTCTGCCCACTATAGCAAGCTAGTCGTCGACGGCGACAAGGCCGCTGACGATGACTCGGACGACGAGTTCCTATCAGTCAAGCGCCGCCTCAACGACGACGACCTGGACGCGGAGTCCCGAAAAGCAAACCCGAACGCGCCCAAGGTCATATACGGCCTCGGCGGCGAGGAGCCGTACGTGATCGACTCGAAGCGCCGCGAAAAGGCGCTGCAGTCGAAGAAAAAGATGCTCAAGTTCATGGGCAACGCGTCCAAGCTCGTCTTCGACGACGAGGGCAACTCACACGAGATCTACGAGCTGCAGCGCGAGGCCGACTTCAAGGAGGCGGGCGACGCCGACGCCCAGCGCGCCCAGTTCCTCGAGGGCGAGACGGCGCGCGTACGCGCCGCCGACGTCGACGATAAGGCGCTGGCCAAGCAGAAGAAGCGCGAGAAGAAGGAGAAGCGCAAGGCGCTGGAGCGCGCGGAGCGCTACGGCGGCGACGGGGATGGAGACGGGGAGGACGACGAGGCGCCGCAGTTGGTTGGCGGCGAGGACAGCAACGAAGCGCTCGAGTTCCTGCGGTCGCTGCCGCTTACGGGCGAGGAGGATGGCAGTGGAGAGGAGGAGCCGCCGAAGAAGAGGGCGAAGAAGTGGTTCGAGGACGACGAGGACGATGGCAGGGCGGCGAAGAAAAGCAAGAGCAAGAGCAAAAAGGGCGGCAAGGTGTTCGAGGTGGACGAGGAGCCCGAGACGTTGGAGGATCTCGAGAGGCTCGCCACTGGACTCCTGGACGGATAAATGTATTTCTTGTCTGTATAAATGTAATAGATACCCGCCAAACATGTCTGGTGCGCGACAATGTGATTTCGATGTGAAGCTGACAACGGAGCACCAAATACTGATATAACATTTAACGTCCCCGTTACGGGCCCTTGCACCATCGATCTAAAATCTTGGCATTTTCATTCATACAACATATTTTGAGTTTGATTTCGGCGTCAAGCAATCCGATTGTGTTGGAACATCTCTGCACTGACAGTAGAAGATGAAAAGATGGAAGTGAGTTGAAGGCAGCGAATGTAGCCCCACATTTGATGCCACCAGCCCCGCCACGAGCGGCAGAAAAATCATGACCGCCAAAAAAGTTCAAGCAAGTCTTTCGCCAACACCATTTTCCGCGGGTCACTGTCTGAACCAGAGTCTTCACTTCAATTGGGTTCTGCATACGAAAGCAGAGGCAATCAAAATGAAGTCCGACAAGAAGAAGGGGGGTTTGGCCCCCGCTCGCATCACCGACGCCCGATTCAGCAACTTTGAGACGGATCCGCGATTTCGTTTACCCTCGAAAAAGAATGCAAAGACGAAGCTCGACAAGCGTTTTGCGGGCATGCTCGACGACGAAGACTTCATAGCTACCTCTCGCGTCGATCGATATGGCCGCAAGGTGAAATCTGACTCCAAGAAGAAAGCTTTGCAGCGTCTGTACGAAGCGGAAGGCGACGATGACGACGAGGGCGAGGGTAGCAGCAACGCTGAAATCGAGGTCGACGACGACGATGTTGTTGAAAAGGAACTGCTTGCTGTAAAGGAGCGCGACTCCCGCGCCAACTACGATCCCGCTCGTGGTGGCGGTTTTTCCTCTTCCGAAGACGAGGATTCGTCTGACGAGGACGATTCGGACGATGAAGATGGCGGTGCAGAACTCGCCACTGAAGGCGACATGCAGAGGCTTCAAGACGAGCAGGCCGATGTCGAGACTGGTGAAGTCTCGAAACGTATAGCTATTGTCAACCTTGACTGGGACAACGTCAACTCAACGCATCTGTTCGCTCTCTTCAGCAGCTTCATTGGCGAAAGCCCAGGACGCATTACCAAGGTGTCTGTATATCCCAGTGAATTTGGCAAGGATCGCATGCAAAGAGAGGAGGTCGAGGGCCCGCCCAAGGAACTTTTTAAAGAAAGCAAGGACGATTCAGACAGCGAGGAGGAGGAGGACTCCGACGAAGAGGACGAGCGAATCAAGAAGAAGCTTATTGAAGAGGGAGACGACCAAGATTTCGACAGCGACGCCCTACGAAAATATCAACTCGACCGCTTGCGGTACTACTACGCCGTTATGGAGTGCTCAGACGAAAAGATTGCACAAAAGATCTATGAGGCTACCGACGGAACAGAATACCAGTCCTCCTCCAACTTTCTCGACCTTCGGTTCGTACCAGACGAGGTCGAGTTCGACGATGAGCCTCGCGACGAGTGCACCAAACTGCCCGACTCGTACAAGCCCGTCGAGTTCGTGACAACAGCCTTGCAGAGCTCCAAGGTCAAGCTCACATGGGATCTGCACCCCGAAGAAGCGTCACGCAAAGACTCGATCAAGCGTGCCTTCACCGGTAGCCGGGCAGATTTCCAGGAGAACGACCTCCGCGCATACCTGGCCAGCGACACGGAAGGCTCCGATGACGAAGGTGACAACCAGATCGCCACCTTTGGCGGAGAGGACGGTGGCGACGGCGGCGAGGCTGACGAGGAGAAGCCCAAGCTGTCGAAGAAGGAGCTCGCGCGCCAAAAGATGCGCGCGGCGCTCGGCCTGGGCGAGCAGCCGGAGCCCAAGGTTGCCAAGCGCGGCCCCGTCGGCGAGATGCAAATCACCTTCACGCCCGCCCTCTCCGAGGCCAAGGCCAAGAAGCCCGCCGCGGGCGAGGAGGAGACGACGATTGAAAAGTACCAGCGCAAGGAGCGCGAACGCAAAGAGCGCAAGCGTGAGGCCGCGCGTGCCCGCCGCGCCGCCGCCAACGGCGAGACCGCAAAGGATGCCGCTGACGACGACAACGAAGCGGGCGGCGAGACCGGAGATCTCGGCTTCGACGACCCCTTCTTCACCGACGCCACGCCGGCCGCGCCCGAGGAGGACCTCGGCTTCGACGACCCCTTCTTCGCCGACGCCGCCGGCGCCAGCGAAAAGCAGCGCCCCTCCAAGTCGTCCATCCGCAAGGCCGAGCGCCTCCAGAAGCGCGAAGCGCGCCTCGCCGCCGAAAAGGCCGACGCTGTAGAACGCGCGCACCTCGCCGAGGTCATGGCCACCGGCGGCACCGGCGCCGACGGCGCGGATCACCTCGACCACTTCGACATGCGGGACATTCTGCGCGCCGAGAAGCAGCAGCGCAAGCAAAGCAAGGCCAAGGGAAAGGGCAAGAAGAAGGCCGCGGCGGAGGAGGAGAAGAGGAACGGCGGGGCGGCGCTGCAGAAGGGCTTCGAGATGGACGTGGCGGACCCGCGCTTCCAGGCCGTCTTCGAGGACCACGAGTACGCGATCGACCCGTCGCACCCGCGGTTCACGGGCTCCGAGAGCATGAAGAAGGTGCTGGAGGAGGGTCGCCGCAAGAGGCGCACGCAGGACGGCGAGGAGACGCGCAGCAGCAAAAAGGCAAAGTCGAGGCGTTAGGACGCAGAAAATGCGACAGGTGTCGAGGCGGGAAAGATTTTGTTGTATATATAAGCGTACATTTCACTAGAGTTGGCAACATGGGTCATTTATTTGTTTGTGTTTTTTTCTACTGAGTGAAGTGGTCATCGAGACGATCAATTCCCATCATTGTACATTTCTCAGTTGCTCAAAAGTCGCTGGAAAAACAATCAACCCACGCCATGCCAATGCCAAACCCAAGATCCCTACACTACTTCCTTGCTCCAATAGTCCCGCGAACTCCACTGCTATCGTATAATATTCATGCAATATTGTTTCAATACCTATGCTTTGTTCTGCCTGCCCAACAGCTTCGGTCAATCAAGTCGCACTTGGCGCGCTCAGAGGCTTCTGGCCGCTCCAAAAGTGCATCTTGCCGTAGGCGTGCACCTTGGGATCGCGCAATGACTGGCGCACCTCGGCAAAGAAGACCTCCATCCTGGCCTGACTCCAGCCCATTCTTGGAAAGTGCATGGCGCCGACGGCAGGCAAGAAGTCTTCGCAGGCGGTCCGGTAGTACATGCCTACAAGGCGCATCAGTCTGCACGCTCGTCAGTATCTGGGAGAATTTGAATCGGGCTATCTTGAAGCTAGTCGCGAAAGGAGGGCATACTTGTCTTTTGGCCAGGTGCCATATGGCAGCTTGATGTAGTTGTGCTGTATATTGACGAAGCCAGCTTCTTCTAAGTACTGGCGCCCAGATTCGGCCGCGTTGGCCGTGGTACCGAATTGGGCAAATGCTTCAATGAGCAAGTCGGTGAATATCTTCAGCGGCCAGTCCTTCGGCACGCTATCGTCATCTGTGTGCACTGCGCCGTCGACGTCTTGCAGCTCCACCCATGCGCCAGGTCTCATATGTCTATTCTCGTGTTAGAAGTTAGCGTTGTGGACGGGGTTCGACTCACGGGTATGCTTGTTTCAATAGATTGACTGGAGATTTCAATATGGGAATCATATTCCTTAGGTGAACCAGGTCAAAGTCATCGCCGTTCAACCACTCCGCTTCAACATCGTCTACCAAGAATCTGTTCTGTCAGCAAACGATGTTGCCGCTGGTGATGTCTTCGGCTCACTTGACATTTGGCGGAACCCAGGCTGGCTGGATGGGACTCAGATCAAGACCCGTGATTTCCGCACAGGGATACCTATCTCCAACTATGCGACATGTCAGCCGGGGAGCCCCATAGGCTGCCGTGTGTCTTCCCTACATTCTATCGCCCATAAGCCGGTGCCAGTCCCTAGATCAATAACCTTTTGTGGGTTGGGTCCTATGGGAGCATAAAATAGTCGGCCATCTGTGGCTTCCATCATCATGGTATGCAGCATATCCTCGCGACTCTGTTCGGCTTCATCATTTGGTATTGGGTAACGGCCGTGGCGATAGCGGTGGTATCGGCGCCCATTAACGTAGCTATGTTCCAGAATACTGGGGCGCAGAGATGTGGAATCGGAAAAGTCGTCGCTATCTATTACGGAATCGGCGTCAAACTCGGTCGCTGAGAACTCGCCGTCTTCGTCGCTTCCGCCGGGTTCGATATCCGCATCACCGTGGAGCAAGCCGCGGCTGGCTTCGTAATTGTCAGTGGTATACAGCTCAGGTTGCGCCACCCAAGAGCTCTCCGTATGAGTCTTACTCTGCGCGCTTCCACGGCGAGGTTGCTCTATACCTCCTTTCGGATTCTTCTCTTCCACCTTTGCCACGCGAGGTAAGTCGCTGGGGGATGCTATGGTGTGATCTTGACAGGTCAGCAGTGTTCAAAATTGGAAGAGGTGCAGTGAGTAGCTTGAGGGGCTGACACTGTCAAAGGAGGAAGACTTCACCGGGTTTCTTGCCTCTCAAATCGTTTCTACCGGGGCTACTATTTTCGATGAGATGAGACCTACCAGGGGGTAGGGATGCTGCCACTCCTGTCTCGGACAGCTTCGCGGGGCCACCAGACTTTTCCATGGCGTCCGAAAGATCAAGGAGAGCGGCAGTGAAATCGAGAAAAGATCGAAATTAGGAGGGGGACGAAACTAAGTGGTTTGTTGGAGGCGTATTGGAAGCCTGATCGAAGGGTTCAGTGGGGCAATGCGAGAGGTCTTTGTTTCTAGGGATGACCAGGGGTGTGTGTGTCTTGATATGGCGACCAAAATCTGGGCGGGGATGAAGTTTCCATATACGAATAGGCGAGTCATCAAGTGCTGTTGGCGGTATCACGATGCGACAACTTGGTCTGGCTCGCAAAGTATGACGGCTGTGGTTGTGGGAGAAGTCGACTCGCTTGGGCCAGTTGGGGGGAGAGCACTTCCTGCCGTCTTTGGCAGAGCCTGAAGGCCTGCTTAAGATCTTGGGGCCGATAGGATTATCGATGATGGTAGTTGCGAGGGAGCGTGGCAGGCGAATGTACAAGACCGGATGATGGAATGTGGGGAGCAGCGGGTAGAGTTGCACTGAGCTCGATTCAGCGCCGAAATCAACTCGGAAAGTAATCTCGGATAGCTACCATAAGAGGCTACCTGGGATGAGAGAGAGCTTGCCCATAGAGGCGGGCGATGCGAGTTTTGTGGCAGGCGGATGCTTCACTGAGCCCGATTAGCACTCGGCTACGTTAGGTGATGGTAGTTCTGTGCGAGGCAAATTCGTTTGACCTTAGCACAGCACGGAGTAATACAGCAAACGTTCAGGAGCGTCGTCGTTGTCGCACTAAGATATGACTGGGCGGCCATTTGATGCAGCGCTGTGCTGGCCACATTTCTTCCTACAGTAGCTGCGTTTTGCGACACACCTCAAGCGGCTGGTCGGGGGTCCAAGTTCGAAGTTGCGTTGGTTGCGTCTGAACTGAATAGGTGATTCCAGGATGTGAAAACTTCGTCAACGGGTATTGCCGCCATAAATTTGAGTCGTGGTACAGTTAACGAGTAAGATTCCGCGAGGTTTTGGTCGATGACTTATCCCTAATAAGTTGGCTGTGTTTCGTCGTTGCTTGCTCGCCTATGGCATGCCGTCTTCAGTCATGACGGGCCGCCGCCTCCAGACGCCGTTTGCTTACCTAGCCATAGGCGCTGGCAAACGCATTCAGGAATCCATCCCTTTCATCATCACCGAATGGTCAGGCTATAACATGCCTCATCGCATTGTCACAGTTTCTCCTACGATGGTTGGCCCGAGTTGCCTAACACACGCTGGGTAGATGGGCTTACCCTGCACCAGTGCTGCTCGACAAGCAACGCGTTTTGGCTCCCGATGGATAGGTAATGAGGCACCATGCCACTCGCAGCGCGACGTCTAGCAGTATTCTAATAGCCTTCGAACTGTGGCATTAGTTGATTCCTTATTAATACCTTGCGTCACACTTGAACCTGCCGGCCTCACAGTTAGCACGGCGTGGTTATGACGGCAGCAGTATCTGCTGTTGCCACTATGGCAGATGGTTAGACCAGGCCAGACAATAACTGACAATACCGTTTAATGAAAGTTAGAAAAGGGTATTTCTAGCCCATCGGAACTGCTCCCAACAGTATATCCCCGTTATTCGGCTGGTTTCTGCGCAGCGGACGGATCACAAAGCCAAGATTTGAGGATGCAGCAAACCTCAGAAGCAATTCGACGGCAGAGACAATACCTCACCTATTCAAAAGATCTGAGCCCTTGAACAACGCTCCCCTGTACAACACGGTTCGCACTTTTGGCCACTGACAACAAGGCAGTGAGGTTTTTCCGTCGTTGAAGTAGCTCCGAATGCGCATAGGCAAATTACATCACGAAACCATAACCGTGGTTTCACTTCCTGCCATGATCACTGGCTCTCTCCCGAAAACTCTATCGACAATCTCGCCTAAACTGTCAACCGAATCGCTTGTCGTGTTGGTTTTCATGTTGCGAACAGCAACACGAAAGTTCTCACGCCGAATTGCAACAACCTGTTGAGTCTGTCAGCAAGGAATCTTATGCAGAAAGAACCGAAATAAGCTACCCAAAGAGCTGCGAATGCGAATGAGTCTAGGATCACGAGGGTAATCCTAGCGAATGCCAAGGAATTTCCAAATGAGGATACCGGTGACCCGAGCGGCTCCAACATGGGTGATAGCGCAACAAGAGATTACCAGATGGAGACCGTGGGGGATTTTTTTCTGCTGTGCACAAGTGTGTATACTCGCTTGACACAATTGCTGATGGAATGTGCATAGGATTACAGGCGCTCGTAGACTCCAGCAAGTCTTCGTACCTGGCCTGAACCTGGCCTGAACCTGGCCTACTCGATATGTCGATGGTGCCTATCCGCCCAAGATGCCGAGCCACAAGCCATCATCCGCCAGTAGACGCTTCAACTTGCCAAGAGACCAATAACATAACCTGGCGCGTACCAGGCTTACAAAGAAAATCCATGAATCTAAGCGTTAATCATCTTAAAAACGCTCGAGCCATTGTACTTCCACGTAAGGTTCTTCACCCTTGCTGTGAAGCACGCACAGGCACATACCTTCGATCTGATACGCCCGAACGTCTAGCAGAAGAGAGACGAACGCTTGCTATGAACGCATAGTGTGGCCAGTGAACTCGTGAAGATAGCTCGACACTTCGTGGCTCTGGCCGATACCGGAAGTCGGCATGACACGGGCCTGTCAGAAGGTGTACCACAGTTCTGCATCCAGGTCAATGCCTCTCCGATGACAAGAAATGTGAGATAGGACGAACTCCCACAAGCCACTCAAGAAACCGGCGAACTACTCCAGACAGCATATATCTTCTAACTGTTTACTATCCAGTACTCCTACATGGCCTACAGAACGATCTGTGGAGTGCATCAAGTACTTGCTCGAAACAGCGCAAGGGGACCGACACATTGGAACCAGGTTGGCGGAACTACCACGTCTTCAAAAATATCCCGAACAACTTGAGGCAAGCCTTGCCGAGAGATGAGATACCGTCAAAGTCGCAGCTGCTCTGACTCAGTTAGATTACGCGATAAAGGCGCGACCCTACTTCTGGTTCTCCCCTTGTACCGCAACAAAATGCCATGTTTTGTTTTGCATTGACGTGCTTCCCACTCTAGGTTCAGGGCGCTAAAATGGTGATCAGAGTCGCAAGCCACCACAGCCTATTTTAGCGTTGTTCCAGCGCTGGGACGTGAAAGACTAGTTGGGAAGTTGGAAGCTCCCGCGGGCCGAGCTTGCTGGGACCTGCATCCTGGCTCATCTCTAGCCTCATCTGAGATGTAGCGGCAAGGCCCGGCCTGGTTGCCTTCAGCACTAGTTGTCACCGCCAGTGGCTCAAACGGGGGCAAGTGTGCGCCGTATAAAGTTTGGGCTGTGCCAAGGAACGCGGCGGCGTGCTGTCTTTGTTCCCAAAGTATTGGCGAGTTATTGAATGATGTCAGAATTGCCCATTATCCGGCTGGCCGGCCTCTCTGGACGGATGAGATGAAGTATGGGATGGATGCAATGCAGTGGCGCATCTCTTGCACCCACATGTTTATGCAAAAACTCTTCAGACTGTGGGACGCCTTTTCTGGCCCGCTTTGCTTTTCTTGATTACTTTCTTCTTCCTCTTTCGGCCGGGGGTGAGGGGGAGGCACAGTCCGTGCGAGAGAGCCTCCGCCGTGGTCGATCCAACAAAAGAAATTACTGGTATCCCGCAGGCTAACCCCCCCAAACTGGGCATAGGAAATGAGTCGCGGAAATATTGAGGGGGCCACCTATGGGCGCTGCCTCTAGGAGGATACCGATAAGATGGCGATAATTTCGGACTTTTTCATGCCACGATCGAGGGCGTACCAGGCGTGCGAGATGCGATTACCGAGTTGTTGAAAGTCTTTGATGAGAAGCCAGCCACAACTGACCGGTCCGCTATCACACCAATAGAGCAGGTTCGTACCAATCTGATCAGCATCCATCCATCTTACATAGCTCGGGACAGGACTACACCGAGTGATTCTTGCGCTTGTCGCTCAATTCGGCACTTACACGACAGGTTGTTTTTCCTTTCCTGCTGAGAGGACGAGATTGTCCACCACATTGACAACGGGTTGACAAGAACAAAGAAAGTATGCACAGAAAAAAGAAATTCGCCCGTTTTTCCGCGTGTTAGCTCTTGAATCTTCGTGTTCCTTCCTTTTGCCGCAGCCTGCCGATCACCACCAGCCACCCACCCGCCCTTGCGTCTGTCGTGGACGCCCTCTTGATCGCCCGTCTCGACCGACTTGCCCCGAAAAAGGTCAAGCTAAGCCTAAGACTATGTCTCGGTCGACGGTGAACTCTGTGACGGAATGGGCTCTACTGCTACACGACAGGTCCACGATAAGAAGCAGCCTTTGCCAGCCGTCCTCTGCCGGGCTAGCTTCGTGTTAGTGCAGCGCAACGGCTCGCTCGCCTCGCAACGGTTCTTTCTTTTTCTTCGAACTTTTTTCTTTTCCTCGGGTCGCTCTTTTGACTGGTCATGTCTCCTCACTCTGGCACGGACGCCCGTTGCGTGAAGAGATGACATCTGTTCAATTCTAACGTATACAGTTGTTGGATCAGACAAAGGCAACAGTGAACTCTTTGCACTGACTCGAGGGCTGTGTGTGATTGATTGTGACAAGCCTTCTACTAATAAACCCTGCTGGGGCCGCGAACGCGCCCATCACCCGCGTGTCTTGGATCAGCTACCAGGAATTTGTCCCTGCAAAAATCACGAGGGCGGAATTGCAAGTGCCGGCCATGCCCTGCCAAAGCCCATCTTCCGCTTTTAATTACCTGGATTTCTCGGAGTCCTATGACGCTGAGAGAACGAATACATATGAGGCCAAAAGGGCAAGACGCTAGGTGCCCGCCAAGCAGTGTGTAGAAGCGTCTATTGTGTGCCCTCCGCAGAGAGGCCCAACTTGCCCGTATTAACCGGGTTTGACGAGATGGTGTTGGTAGGCGCATCAGTACAGTTTGGTCGAGTTATCACAGCCACAGAAGCCACAAGCTCGGCGCTCAAAAGCAAGTCGGAATGCTGAACCTGCTTGGCTGTCTCAGTCCGCCGGGGAGGAAAGGATCAGCATTCGTGCCGCTTCGACTTCGGGCTCGGTACCCCCCTTGCTACCACACAACTTAACGTTACTGGGAACTCCTCGCTTGCCCGCACCCTGGTCGACCTGTCACCTCACGACTTGGCCTCACGCAGACGAACAAGCTCACTCACCCTGAACAACCCCAATTTCCATTACCGTGCCCTGCATGCCGTAGTGCCCATCAGGCCCCAGATTTCTCGCGATTCGCCGCCTGTCTTGGCCCCAGATTGACGTGGGCAGCCAGACAGGCAAGCTAACCAACCAAACGCTCAATACTTTTTGCTTTTGGTCGTTGCCAGTTAGCAGTGCATATGTTAGGAAAAGTGAGTCCGGCCGTGCTTGCAGATCCCCTGGTTCCCTGCACCACAATGAGCATTCATCTGGAACCAGACGACAAGGATGTGGCTGGGTCTTGGCCTGCTTTGCGCTACATATATGAAGACTGACATCCTCATCACGTCGATAGTAGCTTGCGACTCAAGTCCTTCTCCTCTCAGCACCTCCTCCAAACAGCTGGGAACGCACTCTGTTCTTCGAAAAATCGACGTTTTTCATCACTCTCTTTATCTTTCCTTATCACAACTCGGCGATACTCGTTCAAGGCTTTCATCATGGGCTCTGAACTTGGCAACACGGCCACCACCAAGCCCGAAGCCCGTGTCAATGGCCTCGGCATATTTTACATTGCTTTCGCAGTGGTGTGGACATGCACCCTTCTAGGTGCCATGTCCTACCTCTGGGCGAAGCGCAAGACGCAGATTTTGCGTATTCGCGGTCTTCCCATATCCTTTGCTGGTATTCTTCTCATGCATGTCTACTGGGTCTGCGTGACCACGGGCTACGTCTACGGCCCTCTTATGCCTGAAGAAGCAGAATACTGGATCATGGGCATCTGGCTGCCACTCGGCATCGCGCTTTTCCATGCCTCCAACACGCGTTTTCTCTATGTAGCCAACGCACAAAAGAAGTACGCCAAGCGTACCGCGGAACCCTACCGCATCTTTACTCGCCGCGCCGGCCGCATCTCCCTGCGTGAGGCGGTCAAGGTCTGGTGGCAGCAACTCGACTATAGCAAGAAGACACTTGCAGTCGTTGGTGTCGGTATGAGTCTTCATGTGATCTTGACCGTCTTCATGTTCCTCATCTCCCGCAAGTTCCACGACTCGTTCGGCATCAAGGGCACTGAGGTCACTGGCACCCCCATGGAGCGCAATGTCGAGCAGGGCCGCGGCTGGGAGTGGTGGCCTTCCATCTTCTGGCAGCTTTTCTGGGCTTGGGTTGTGGCGCCCGTTATTCTCTTCCGTGCCCGCAACATCCACGACACCCAGGGCTGGCGACTCCAGACCATCGGCTGCTGCATCTCTGGTCTTCATGCGGCTCCCATGTGGCTGATTGCCCTCTACGTCCCTGGCATGGAGGCCGTCAACCAGCACTTCATCCCTCCCATGTGGATCGCCGTCTCTATCATGTTCCTGGAGATCTTTACCGTCTTCGTTCCCATCTGGGAGGTGCGCAAGGCGCGCAACCTGAGCCAGGAGACGCTTGAGTCCATTGCCCGGTGGGAGTCTCGCCAGCGTTTCGGCGGCGTTACCAAGGACGTGAAGTCGCTGCACTCTGAGATCTCGGGCACGACGTGGGCCTCGCGCATGTCTCGCGCTGCGTCGTCTCTCGGGTCCAACTCGGGCGGCTCCATCCTGACCATGGACGCGCTTGAGCACACCCTTGAGAAGAACCCCGAGCCCCTCCAGGAGTTCTCGGCGCTCAAGGACTTTTCCGGCGAGAACGTGGCGTTCCTGATGCGCGTCCGTGACTGGAAAATCCAGCACAGCATCACGGTGGCCAAGAGTCTCGGTAGCGCCAGCAGTGCCACCAGCGGCAGCGATGACGAGAAGCCACCGGTCACCCCGACCAAGCCCAAGACGGGTTCGCGCGAGATGTTTGAGAGTGCGCTGCACATCTACCTGGACTTCATCAGCGCCAGCTGCGCCGAGTTCCAGATCAACCTGTCGTCGCAGGACTTCCGCAAGCTCGAGGCCGTCTTTGAGGATGCGGCGCGCATGGTGGTCAACGAGGAAGCCAAGTACGACCCGGCGACGCCGTTTGCCGAGGCGCCGCGCAGCGCCGCCGACAATGCAGCTGCGGCGGTTCGCTATGTTGGACCTATCCCCGAGGGCTTTGACGAGACCGTTTTTGCCGACGCCGAGATCAGCATCAAGTATCTCATCCTTACCAACACCTGGCCCAAGTATGTGCGCCAGCGACGCTCATTTGATGCTACGAGCAATGCCGAGACTGTCTAGAAACTGGTTGCGGTGGCGGTTTGAGGTGGACAAGAATATATATATGGTTACTGTACAAGAAAAAAAAATTGGTGGGAGGAATCCTGGTCAAAAAAGAAAAAAAAAACCAGGTCGTGAGCTGGGCATCATTGATCTAGACTTCTTTTCTTCTACATTGCTATCCTTTTTGCTGCACGGGCGCTCTTTTTTATTCCCGATACCCTGAGCTTGGTGTACTTTATCTTCTTGTCATGGTGGCGGTGGCACTCTGTTGATGCAACGCTCTCTCAATTTGATTTCTTTTAATCTGTCGAAATTGTTTCTCGAATTGATGCAACTTGTCTAGTTAAAAGTCAACTTCTGTCACATAAACCGGCTGGGATTGCTGGCATCAATCAATGCGAGTATGTTTGCTGTACGGGTCCGGTCGTTAAATCTGCCCGACCCCGACCGTTCAGTTCTGTTGAGAGCCAAGCCTTATTAACTGGTGAGCACATCCTTCAGCACGGACCGGTCGCTGCGCTAACTCCGACCCCGACTCATCTCTTATACAGCCTGACTGTGATTCAGTCGCGTTGTCGTCATCCAGCATCCTCGCCTTTTTTTGTCCTCGAGAACAAAATACGGAATACTTGCTTGTCTCATTCTGATTCAGTGTCTTCGAGAAGGCGCTCCCCCTGAACCCTGCGCTACCAATTTCCCGCCATCGGCAGAGCCCGAGACAAAAGCCACCGATATGGACTCGTCTGCCTCGGGCGGAGCGCGACGGCCGCAGCCGACGGGGATCAAGATGAGGGCCTGCGTGAATTGTTCGCGCCTCAAGATGAAGTGTCGCTGGCCGGCCGGATCGGCCCCGGCCGCGTGTACAAGGTGCGACAAACCCCAAGGCATCGATAGCTGTCAAACCCCCGCGGAATTTGCTGCTGACCAGGGCGGTTAAAAAATTCAAGGTGTGATCGGTTGGGTATCGCGTGTGGCGTCCCGACACAGGCGCCGAGGAAGAGAAGAGCGAAATCAAAGTATGTCTCTCTGTCTGGAACAAAAGGGGGACAAAAAGAAGCTGGAGGGAAGCCTCGCCCCCGCTAACCCTGGTCATGTTCGTTAGTCGTGTCGCGCAGTTGGAGCAGAAGCTGGACGGAATTATGTCGCTTCTAGAATCGAACCAGAGGGCGAAGCGACGACGCTCGTCGAGCGCGGCAGGTTCCGCCTCGACCCCCGACGACGCCTCCTCGCCGCCCACGCCCGACAGCCCCGGGGACGACCTCACCGCCAACAACCCGTGGCAGTTCCGGAACCACCACCCCGACAGCTGCCCCAACCGCGCCCCTGGCGAGCACGCCCTGACCAGCTCCGGCAGCAGCAACGGCAGCGAGGAGCGCCCGACCGCCGAGACGGTCGTCGAGCTCGTGCCCGGCCTGGCGCTCACCTTCGCCGAGGCCGCGGAGCACCTGGCCGTGTACCGGCGTGACTACATGCCCCTGTTCCCCTTCGTCGTCATCGAGGAGGGCGCCAAGCCGCAGGAGCTGCACCGCTCCGCGCCGGCGCTCTTCTGGATGATTGTGGCGGCGGTGGCGCAGACGTCGGAGGAGACGGACCGCGCGGTCAAGCGCTGGCTGCGGCACCACGTGGCCGAGACGATGATCATCAAGCAGGAGAAGACGCTGGAGCTGCTGCAGGCGATTCTGGTGCATCTGATATGGTGAGGGCGGAAAGGGACGGGGTTTTTCTTCCTTTTCTTTTTCTTTTTTTTTTCTTTTTGCTGACGATGGCGTCTAGGGGCTCGTTTCACTTTTATATTGACGCGGAGACGCCGCTGTTCATGCAGCTGGCGCACAACATTGTGCTGGACCTGAAGCTCGACTGGCCGCCGGAGCAGGGGCAGGTGTACAAGCACTCGCTGCTGGGCGCGGCCTGGTGCCACATGAACAAGTCGCACCTCCTGCGGCGACGGAAGGAGCACACGCCGGCTGAGATCCGGGCGGTGCTGGGTCTGCACTACGCGACCTCGGTGTATGTCCTCCCGTCTTCCCTTTGTGCTTGCTAATGAGAAACCAACACCTGCTGACGGACCTCCCAGGACAATGTCCATGTTTCGACGGGGTCCCGCCCTCGCTTGGAACAGCTACCTGGCCAAGTGCTGCGACTCCATCGCGGCGCTCTGCCAGCACCCACTCGACGAGGCGCTGGCGGCGAGCGTGCGGCTGCAGCGCATCGCGCAGAAGGGACTCAGCGCGCTGCCGGGCACCGAGTACGTCTGGGGCCCGTCAGCGACGGTGTACGGCTACGCGCAGGAGATGACCCTGAGCCTGACACGCGACAACATGGACAAGTTTGTCAACTCTCAGACGCCCGAGATTCAAAACGACGGCAAGCCTGCCCTCCTACCAACTCTCCCACACCCCATCTCCCATGCTAACTCAAATCTTTCCAGCCATGTTCCGGCACCTGTACCTCGCGCTGCTCGTGCGTCTCTACGAGCCCGTTCTCGGCATGCAGCCCGCCGCCGGCCCCCCCGACAACGGCGCCAACTCGACCGCCCACGCGCCTCTCCGCCGCACCGAGATGCTCTGGCGGCTCGTCGACGCCTGCCGCGCGCTCTTCACTGCGCGCAACGACCTGCCCGTGGCCCAGGCCGCGCTCCGCCCCTCCACCATGACCGGCTTCCTCGCCTTCGCCGTCGTCACCGCCTCGCGCGCGCTCTTCCACGCCGCCGAGGACTGGGACCCGGCCGTCGCGCGCCGCGCGTTCGACTTTGGCGCCGCGACGCTGGCGACGGCCGCGCAGTTTGAGCGCGCCGAGGCGTGGGCGCGCGCGGCGGGCAGGAGGCGCCCGATGCACGCCAAGACCCCGCTGTTCACGCTGTACTCGCAGAAGCTGCGGTGGATACATCAGTGGTACGAGGCGCGGAGCGCGGCGGACGGGGGTGGTGCGGCGGGTACGCCGGCGGAGGGGGAGGAGGCGATGGCGATGATCACGCCGCCCGAGGAGGAGGACGTGCAGGGACAAGAGGAGTGCGCGGTGGATGGGGCGGCGACGTTGGAGGGGCTGGATATGCTGGGGACGGATCAGCAGCCGATACCGAGCTTCCTGCCGGATTTTCAGTTTGACGAGGCGTTCTGGCAGGACATGCTGCTGGGCACGCCGCAGCCAGCGTTTGGGCAGTACAACATGGGGCACGGGGTTTTGTAATTAATGACGAAATTGCGGCACCTGTATAAATCGAATAGACTCATGTTCATGTCCAATGAAACTCGGCTGCGGCTAGATGCAGTGGTCCCCGTGTAAGTCGGCCCGCCGCTCGGAGTCAGATCCGGCTGGCGGGTAGCTCGGTCCCCGCCCGCCCCGGATGCTCGATCCACTTCTGCTTTTTTAGCTCTCCCCTGACAAGCTAAACTAACTAGTTAATGTGCAGACAACAACATCCATCGGCATTCACCTCCGCCGCACACCGGTCGCCATCGCGTTTTATTGGTAAAAAATTCATCTCACACCACCGTCATTTCCAAGCCCACCGAAAATGGCAAACAAGCCTCTGCGCGACTGGCTCTACCTGGTCATCATCGCCCTGCAGCTCATCGGCATGATCGGTCCGTCCCCCACCCCCCCTTCCTTGACACGCATCTACCTGACACACACACCAGCGATGGACCTCGTCGAGTTCTACCCGCGGCCGCTGTGGGAGCCTGCCGGCTCGCCGCTGCACTTCCTCGTCGGCCTGCGCCGGCGGTACGTCGCCGCCTCCGGCGACCCCTTTGTCGCCAGCGCCCACCCGCCGCCGTGGTTCGTCGCCTTCCTCTACATCGAGGGCCTCGCGCAGTGCCCGCTCGCCGCGTACCTCGTCTCACAGCTGTCTGCGTCGCGGCGGAAGTGCATGGGCGGGCCGGGGGAGGTTGCGGGGCTGGCGTTTGGGTGCCTCACGTTCATGGGCTCGGCGACGTGCTGCTACGAGCTGCTGCACATGGGGCCTGCGGTGCTGGCGGCGGACAAGAAGACGCGGCTGCTGTACGGGACCTACCTCCCGTACGTCATCATTCGTAAGTTGGTTTGGAGGTTCCTGTTGGTTGTGGGAGGACTCTTGCTAACGAGCTGCGTGGTAGCGGGGGTGATGGCGGTGGACATGGCTCTGCGACTGCTTCGTCGTGTGCAGGAGGACGGCGTCAAGGACAAGAATGAATAGGCGCGGAAGTTTTAAACACTCTGGAATTGATAGAAGATAATATAACATCTATGATGTACATTTACATGGTGGAAACCGATCGAGAACCGAAAAACAAACTCCTAGATGCCCATGATGTGACCGCTTCTTCCACATTACATATCCTGGCACAAACGCCTATTCATACATAATGACGGGCATCTGATCAGTCCAAGCGCTTGGAGTATCCCCAGCCGTTGCCAAGGCCGTGGCCCAGCGGCGTCGCGCCGCCCAGCGCCCGATTCCGCAGCCTCCTCGGCAGGACGACGCCCAGCGTGTACATGGCCGCCACCAGCGCGCCGGCCACAAACGACACCACGCTGTAGAAGAATGTGCTCGCATAGATATGGCCACCGAGCCCCTGCCACTCCACCCTCCCCTCCGAGTGCGGCAGGTGCGGCCCCGGGAACCAGCGCACCGAGAAGCGCAGCGGCAGGGGCTCGCCGATGGTCAGCTTGGTCGACGCCGGCGACCCGTCCTCGATGGCATGAGCGAGCGGGCTGGTGCTGTAGGAGATGGCCGAGTCGATGACACCGCTGTCGTGGCGGTGCAGGTGGTGCTTGGGCACGGCGTGCAGCAGCACGTTCATGCGCGTCGAGACGTGCATGTGGCTGAGCTGGAGGGTGCCGGCGACGGCGAAGACGAGCGGCACGTGCTCGCGCGGCGGTGGCACCTCGCCGACGACGCTGACCTCCGCGGGCGGGCGCGCGGGCAGCCGGCAGGACAGCGGCGCGTCGCTGTGGATGTAGAACTCGAGGAGGTGGAAGAAGTCGTGCGAGATGGGGATGGTGCAGTTGACCTCGCCCTCGATGCCGTAGCCGAACTCGAGAGGCTTGCCCGTCTCCCTACACTCGGGAAAGGGGATCCACTGGAACTGGTGGTTGCTGTCTTCGATGTGCTCGCCGGTTTCTCTGGGATGGGGGGTGTCAGATTTGTGCCGAGGTAGATGGACGGGGGAGGGGAGCGGGGGACGTACGAGCTCCGGTTCATGCACTCAATCGGGATGGGCGCGCCGTAGTGGTAGGATGGGAGCGCGGCGTGTTCAATGTCTGTGGTGGCGGCGACGAGCGCGGCGAGCGCCGGCAGGATGGCGAGGGAGAGCATCGGGGTGAGCTTCGGAGGCGGCTGTTTGATGGTTCAAACTCGAGGGGTAGGCGGCGGTCGGAGTGGACTATGGCCGCATGGGGTCCGTGCCGTTGCGATAATCAGGAGCGGGTATGCGTTTGACGATCAATACACGCCAAAGGGAGAGACAAGCATCGAGAGATGCGGATGGCGCATACGATAGATAGTAGACGTTGGACGTTGAGACGTGGCTTTGGCGCCAATGTCACGATGAAATTCGTTAAGAAGACGGGATTCGCTTTGCCAAGTGACGTAGCGTGGTAGCGACACGTGTATCTTCAGGTACCCAATGTGCACGAATCTCTCTACTGCTAGCGGGATTAGCGGGTCGTCCTAGGCTCTGAGCGTCTGGTTTTAGGGGACTGAACCACTAAAGTCCCCAAGGTACCTTGAAGTACCTATCACTCCATGACGCACTCTCCATGTTTGACATCAAAAGCACCTGGTTACCAAGTCGTTTTCTTTCTTCATTCTGCCTAGGCCTTGTTCCGCTCAAGTCAACCGACTATACAAAAACCCATCAGCCTGCCTCCTGCACGTCCGCCTCCGCCTCCGCCTCCGCCTCCCGCCCGCCGTGCACCAGGAACGTGATATTGGCCCAGTCCACCTCCCAGCCCGAGCTGAGCTCCATGCCGATCAGCTGCCCGTTGGACACGATGTTGGGGAAGCGCGTGCCGGACGTGCCGCCAAACGCCCAGGTCCGGCCCAGCGTCGTGCTGATCTCGAAGCGGACGATGCGCCAGCCGGCCCAGACGGTCCAGCTGGCCCGCTCGCCCTCCTGGAACTCAAAGGTCGAGCTCGAGTCGTCGGGCTGCGGGCGGTTGTAGACGGAGACGCGCTCGCCGTTGAACCACTCGATCTCGATGCCCTTGACGACGATGAAGCCCTGCGCGTCGCCGGAGCCCTGCCCGATCCGCACGGTGAAGCGCCGCGCGGTGGACCGCTGGTTGGGGAAGAGCTGGAAGGGGTGGCCGGTGTTCCGGCCAAAGGGTCCGACAACTCTCTCGGTCATGGTGGTGGCGAGGGGGATGCTTTGGTGAGGGTATTATTGATGTGATTGGTAGGGTGTGAAGAAACGGCTGCGGCAGAAACGGGTAGTGGAGGATGTAACCAAGCCGGTGGTGATGAGGGGTGGCCAGGTTCTGGAGTGGCAAATCGTTGTCTTTATAGATAATCGGCCACGAAAGTCTGGGGTATGCTCGTGAGAGCTATACGCAGAGTGAGCTTCCCTCTTTGTTGCTGACTTTGCTTGCCAGCTGCAGCAGCATTAACCTTTCTGCCAAAAGGTTGCAAGACGGCTCAGCTGAGGGATGCATTCACTACATTTCAGGCTACCCGAGACTCTGTCTCGTACGCATGGAACCGCGCATCAGTACTATCCAGGCGTTTCCGACCCCGCGCTTAGACACATGTCGACGTGAACAGTCAAAGCTTCTGCGCATGAGCTGTAGTACCTGGTTAGTATGGTACTCTGAACATGACAGATATCATCGGGTTTGAGACCGTCTTGCGGAGAATGCATTGATGCCAAGTCCGCGTAATACCTGGTCAGCACGGTACTCTGACCATGATGGATATCATCGGGTCAGATTTAGAACGTCTTGCAGAGTATGCATTGATACCCAGTCCGCAGTGAAGCTGGCGCGAGCCCTCAGATTTCCCGGCAGGGCTGCTCCGTTTTCCAGATATACGGCAGGTCGTAAGGAGTCTGGGAAGCAGCATTCTCCTCTTAGAGGCAGCGACCGCAGACATGGTGAGAATTCGCTTTCCTTTTCCGTCCAGTCGCAGTCTGAAGCTGCCTGCAGGACGTGGCGGTCATTGCCCGGATGAAGAAGCCAAGCCATGAATGTGCATGCATCAGGTTTATCTGAGAGCTTGATATTGCAATGCTTCAGTAATTCGCTCTCTCCGGCAGATGTACATAGTGCATTTACCGGCAGATGTAGTACATTTCCCGACAGCCCCTGCGAAAGCATATTTGCTGTGTATGCATCGTTTACTGCGCATGTGGGAGCTGTGACCCTTACCCCTCCATCTAGGCAGCATGTAGGTCAAAAGTCCGTAATAACAGGATTGCGCTACAACTCACAAACTGTCTGTGTCTCATTTGATGATGACACTACATATGGTTCCCGGTTCCCCGGCAGCGACTTGGCGGATCTCGTGCAGGAGAAGAGGCCACCCGGTTCGCAAGTGGCGTGGCCGGGCCAGACGTCCCCTCTTTGAGGCCATTAGAGGGAACCCGTAAAGAACCCCTGAGGGAACTGGAAAAAGACCCTTCAGGGAGGGGCAGTTTGGTCTTCGGTACCACTTCCGATAAAACTGGCTAGTCCGGACTTTCACTTTTGGTATACCATCTCGACTTGCCTGGCAACAACCATGCGGAACACCAGATACGAGATCTTTCACGATATAGCATGCAAGTTTTGAAAAATTAGCAACAACCTAAGTAAAGCAAATTCCATGCCCCATCGAGTCAACTCTTGTTTCTATTCTACATCCGGCCTGGCCGTCTCACACAGCTTCACCGACCACAACCACGACCACAACCACGACCTCCTCCTCCTCCTCTTCCCTCTACTTATCCGCTCGTCCCGTCATGTACAGGACATCCCACTTGACCTCCCAGCCCCCGCCTTCGTACTTGTCCACCAGGTGCCCGCGCACCAGCTCCCTGACCTCCTCCGGCGGGCGCGCCGCCACCTGCTCCTCGCTCCAGAACATCTTGGTCACGTACCCCAGCATCATGCCGAACATTTCGATGAACTGGTCCGCGCTCTCGATGTAGTACGAGTCGCTCTGCACCGCCACGTTCACGTCCCGCAGCCCCAGGCCGGCCAGGTGCGTCGCCACCCACGACGGCTCGTACCAGCGGCCCGAATCGTGCATCTGCATGGGCATCGTCTCGGGGAAGGGTGCGTCAAAGGGCATCGCCGCAAAGGCCGTCTGCACGTCGGCGAACCAGAACTTGTTCTCCTTGTGCGTGGGGAACGTGGTGGCGCCAAAGACACCGCCGGGCTTGAGCACGCGAATGGCCTCTTGTCGTGGGCGTTAGTGAACCATCCTTCCTCTTCCGTCCGTCTGGGGCTCTGGTGGGCGTCTCACCTTTGACAGCGGCATCCGGGTCAGGAATAATATGTAAACCCAACAGGATGGAAACATGAGTATAGGTATTATCCGGCAGCTTGATATCCTGATTCCCGCAAGTTAGTCTATCTGTAAACTTGGTAGGGATTTCATCCCGCCTCCATACCTGCGCGTCGGCAACACGAGCCTCCGTGTTGATCCAGCCCTCCGTTTTGATGCGGTCCTGCATGATTGTGACCAGCGCCGCCGAAAGGTCCGTCGCCAGGATCGAACCCGCCTGTAGTGTCATCCGTGGCAGTGTCTTGTTCACCTCCTGCGCCATGACGCCCGCGCCCGCCGCGTTGTCCAGCAGCGTCACCGGCGCCGTGCGGTCCGCCGTCAGGCCCATTCGCGGCAGCAGCGGCGCCGCGAGCTTGGCGATGACCGTCTTGCTCGTGCGCACCCACGTGTCTTCGTGCTTGTCTGCATTGGCGAAGACGCCGCGGAGGCTAGTGGAAAGCTTCTCGGTCGGTTCTGCCGACATGGTGGTTTTGAGAGGTATTGTGTGAAAGTAAATAGAGCGCAAAAATATGGAAAAGGCAAATTTCATGTAGTTTTAAAGAAGCAAGAATATGCAGCGGCAAAAAATAACTGATGCCGAGCTATATATAAGATGCCGGCGACTATTGCCTGAACACGGTTGTCGTGCCGGAGACTTTCCAATTACCGGGTCCGTCAGGGTCCACACCCAGATCCGGTACCCGGCCCGGCCACATTTCGGAGACTTTTGATCTCGATTAGCGACCAGACCACGCAACCACGCAGTTCTCATTTTCTTCCTAAATCGTCCATGTAAGATACTCCTAGCTTTTCTCTCAGCACAATACAATACCCAAAATTGTCTGAGTTTTACAAATCTCTCCAGCATGTGATTACTTCACCTCTAGTAGACGCGCAACTCATAACAGGAAGACCCTTGTCCTCGCGAAACAGTCCTCCGACCAAATTCGTTAGGGAGCTTCTCCTCTCGCTTCTATGTCAGTCGCGCTTTTACACGGACGACGACGCGACGCTTTTCACTGTACCACGCCCTCTGCCGGATTCACAACACATGATTTCTTTTCACATATATACTGAATTCGGTAAAACACTGATACATACGACCATAGATAACAGAGAATTCGGGGTCCCGTCTGCTCCCCCATAGACAAGCTGTTAATCGGCAGATTAGTAGTTGGGTCGGTGACGACCAGCGAACACCGGCTGTTGTATGTTTTTTTTTTCTCTTTCTTTTGTAGGTTTTCTCCTCTCTTTTTGCATCGCCATTTTTCTCATCTGTAAGCTGTGGCGCATGCATGGGGTCAGTGTCATGGGTGAGGTGGGCTGCATACAAGCGCCTAATTACACCCGCTTAACAGTTCACACATCCCAAGAGCCAAGAGCGGCAGTTTCCCGTAATACCAAAAAAGTAAAACTTCATTGAAGTAAAAAATACCAGTAAAAACGAAAAACCTCACGTAATCTAAGTTACGGAAGTTACAGAAAGCTCTTCTTCCAAAAAAGGCCAGCGCAACAACCAACGAACCCTCGCCCAAAACGCGCACAAGACAGCCCGAGTCACAAACCAGAGTTCTAGAAAATAAAAAGGTTCTTGTTTTCCTCGTGATTGCTTTGAAAAGATTCCAAAATGACAAGACAAAAATACAAATGTACTAAATTCGTTCTCCCAATCTTTCATACCATTATGCCGCTCTCCCCACACCTTCACTCATACCAATCGAGTGTATGTGACTTTCAACTTTTCTCTCTCGCTCACCTAGCTCACCAGCGGATGCTGCCGACTGGTACCCGGTCCACCAAATCGTCGACCTCGCGGCGAAGCGTCTTGAGTACGCGCCGAATGTCCGCGAGGTCCGCGCCGCCAGGGTTGCTCCCGTGTCCGGGGCGCCGCCGCGCCGCCTGGCTTCGGCCGCCCAGTCGCTGACCACAAAGACAATCGTCTCGATGACGCGGTTGCGCGCCGCGCCCGAGAACCCGTAGTCTTGCGTGTCGAATATGTTCTCCAACGTCTGCACAATCATGCTGTGCGAGACGCCCAGGTTCAGGAACAGCTGCGCCGGCCACATCGCGTCAGCCCCGATCGTCCCGTCCTGCTGGTAGGCGACGGCGTATCGGCACAGTTCCGGCAGCAGCGTCTGGATAGGGAAGACAAAGCTGTCCAACGATGTGTAGTGCGCAATGTTTTGAATCTTGCTACTGACGGCTTCATATGGCAGTGGTGGCTCGGCTTGGCCAGGCTTGAGGTTCTCTGAGCGCGAAACAACGTCGTCGTGCGTTTGCTGAATGAGGTTGCTCCATGTCGAAGAGATGGTTGTTGGGTTGCGGTAGTTGGCTGTGTGGTAGATGACAAGGCATATATCGTAGTATCCAGCGTGGTCTGCATATTGATTGAACAGCTGCATCGTGTTAGCACATGGGTAAAGCCTGCAGGGATGGTCAAACTTACTTCTGACAGGTCGAGGATCCTTCCATCAAGAGCCTCTTGAATCTCTTGCTTTCTCACTGGGTCAATGCGATCATCGGCGCTTAGGCGTCCGAGCAAATCGTCTTGAATGTTGGCAATGTCCAGCTTATCACTAACGTCGTGGTTGAGCATCTGCTGCTGCTGTCTGCTCACGCCGACTGTGGTAACACTAGCATTTGCCTTGGCCAAGCTGAGCAGCTTGATGCGTTCCTTGATTCCAATAGAAAAGTCGGACTGGGCCAGGTCAGCCTGCACCTCGGCGGCCGCGAAGAAGCGGCTACGGTTAGTGTAGAAGCGGCACAGCAAATCCGCGTGCTCCACGTTGGTGGTGGCTAGACGCATAAGGAACGTGACTACATGAGGCGAATCTATTGCAAGAATGCGGTCCGTCCAGCCTTGTTCAATGTACCACTCGTAGAGGTCAAAGTGGAACACTTCATCTTCAGAGCCATTCACAACGTCGTAGGTCTCCATTCTCTTCATTGCTATTACCGTCGGCTTGCCATCAATCAATTCAGGCTCTTTGCTCGAGGTTTGATCGAGGTGGCGTAAAACATGATGGATCATATCATAGCACTTTCTGCGCTCCTCAAAAGCCTCGGCACGAGGATCACCGGCAGGCTTGCCGTCTTGAATCCACAACAGGGCGGTATTACCACGGTCCTTCTCACGGGCCACAACAAGGCACAGCTGGACAGCCCCGGCGTAATACCTTAGATCCACATACTGGCTGATGGCTGACTGGAGGTTGCCGTACGTCAAACTGCCCGCAACCTTCTCAAACAGGCTCAAGCTCTCGAGAAGAATGTTTCGTGATTGGTTTGTATCCACAGGCTGCTCAGATGCGCGCTTCAGCTGCTCCTGGGCCTTGAAGATGACGACGTCATCAGGGCTACAGAAGCTGCCACAGCGTCTGCGGAGAGCATCCGCAACCGTCTCAACATTGGAACCACTCTCGATGTTGCGGTTGACAATAGCCTTGACCAGGACCTTGGCCAGGTCCTTGCCCTGGGGCTGAGAAAATAGAGCCTCGTAGGTGAGGTCACGAAGCTGCTGTCGGGACGGCTCCTCGAGTCTCATAAAAACATCGGCAGCACGTTCGTCGAACAGCATGAGAACGAACGAGATACCCTCCGATATGCTCTCCATGAGTTTTTGAAGCGCGTGCAAGGCCTGGTGCTCGGCCTGCAAGGCCATCTCTTCCTGACGCGTTCCTGTGCGCTGGAGGTCGGCGGGGCCAGACATGCCTTGAATTAGGCCCCGGTTTGACTCAATGAACTTGCGAAGACGCTCCAGGTTTTCTTGTGTACTGTTGAGCTGATCAATGGGAACAGCAGAGGCGACAGCAATGCCACCAGTGGGAGAGACGCCCTGAACGATGACCCTAGACTTCCAGAGCTTCCTGACGAGCCGAGAGAGATATAAGGAAAGAGCGTCATGTCGTGAAGAGAGTCGCACAGAGTCGGTCGTCAAAGTAGCACCATCTGTCTCAGCAAGCATCGGTTGGCCACCCATTTCGACAAAGATGCCTCGGGCACGATCTTGGGTAGCCTGGTCGATAGCCCTAGCTGAACCAATGCGTGCGTCGCCTCCATGTCCACAGGCAACAGCCAAAGCAGTAGAAACGGTCTCCACGCGGCCGTAGAGCTGAATCAAACGGCGGCAGACCAGATCCAAAGCCTCCTCGCCGGGCGCATCGCGGATTGCGGCAGCAAAGTTGTCGACAAGACGCCTGCGGCGAACAACGTGGACGCCAGTGTTGGTCAGGATGGCAACCTCGGGTGGTGTCTCGTCAAACTGTACGGCAAGTTCGTTACCGAAGCCCCACGGTGAGTTAGTAGCAGCGAAAGGTTTAGTCACAAGCCCAACCGCCTCAGCGCGGCTTCCGATGTCGATCCAAGACGCTTGTTCGTAGTAGCGCAAGGGCGTGGCACTATTGGTGTTCTTGATTCGGGCGGACTCGGGGGCGGAGAGGAAAAGCGTGTCGGAGTTGGCGTCGCCTTCTTTTGCAACAAAGTCAATGAACACACCAGGTGGAAATCGTGTAGCATATCTGCTTGGGACCAGCATGGCCGAGTTCAGGTCAATGCTGTTCTCGACAGCGGCGGCAACAGGCACTGCGATTTGGGCAGATCTGCGGGAGACGGGGCTTGGCGGAAATTTGATAAACTGAACCTGCATGCTCTGGGGAACCATGTTGTTTTGGGAGCCATATATGTATGATGAAGCGCTCGTAGCACTGAAGAAGATTCGGCAGCCCGTGTCAGTCATTGCCATGAGGTGTATCTTTGAGGCTTCTTGCTTAGAGATGGGGCTGATTGACACAATCCTCATTCGATCCGTGAGGAGCTTCGACTGTGAGATCATGTGCGCAATGTCGCGAAGGCAGTGTACCTTTTCCTTTTCTATGACCTTGTTGAGTCGATCGGGGGCTTCCATGTGGAATGTACGGATCGTTGAGGTACTAGACAGCGTATAAAGCAGATTTCGCGAATCGTCAATAACAATGTCAATCAAATGCTCGGGGTTCTTGTTGCTCCAAAAGCCGGACTGTAGGGTGACTACCGACGCCCAGCCTGGGTTCGTATGGTTTATCTTCCCGCAGCGGTTGGAAAACCACTTCTCCTCGGACTGGTAGTAGAGCTCGCTGATGTCGACATCGTTGGTACCGCCGAAGAAAATTCTACCATCGGCCGAACCTGCGATGACGCGGACATCGCTGCCGCGCAGAGGGAGCGACATCTTGGTCTGATAGAGTGAAACGGACTTGGTACCGGCTGGCGTTGGAGTGGCCGACACGCCGAGAAGGATCATCTCGGACGAGGTGGCAACAACCAGGATATGGGTAATGGTGTTGACAAAAATGCCTTTCTTGGGCGGCACAAGTGCAACAGCTTGGATGGTGTGCGGCTGGTCCTCAAAGCCAATAAGCTCCGCGTCGGGGGTGGTGTAGTCCCAAAGGAAGAGCGAGTTGTCAATAACAACCCAGGCATGGTTGATTTCAGCGAATAAGCCCATCAATGTCTGCAGCTCGCCGGTGTTGTAGTGATCGAAAACTTGGTTCGGTATCGGGTACATCTGTATCTTGTGAAAAGGCGACCAGGCGGTATCGGTTGGGGGGATTTCATAGTCAGACGATGCGCCCTCTAAATGAGAAAGCAAGTCAGTAATTACCACGACGAGGTCGGTTTTTAGGATCAGGGTTGTTCTCACGTCTGCAGTACGAGTCAATATCGGGAAAGTTTTCGTCACTGGTGAGACAGGCGTTGATGGCTCTGGCAGCACGGACGACTGGCGGGATGTTCTCCAGGCGCCGTGTAGGAGCCAGGATTGCCGGCACGAGTGAAGTGACCGCCGCATCGTCCGGGCGCGTCGTCATATCCAAAAGAGAGCCTGTCGTCTTGCTAGGCGCCAGACCAGAGCGAGCTAACGCGCGTGAGTGAGCCGTGGACGACGAGGAGGAGCTTCTGCGAAGCGAGGGTGCGCCGCTTCTCTGGGCCGGGTCGGAGGCGCGTTGAAAGAGGTTTCTGCTGACGGGGTCCTGCTGCTCGGTGCGGAATCGCGATGCGACGGCCGGGGTGTTGAGGAACGCGCCAGGGACGAGGCGGACCGGCGTCGCCTCGGGAAACGACATGGTGTAGGTGTTGGGAGGCTGGGCTTGGCCGTTGCCTGTGCCCGTTGACTGTGGGTGTGTGCTATTCGAGCTTGTTTTGGTAGCACCAACGGCAAGTTGTCGCAAGTTAGCCGGTCAAGACGAAGCGGCGCGCGTCGGATCGGCTCATTAAGAGGCTGGGGGGCTGGGAGGAGGCGAGTCCTTGCTGTCGTCTCGACAGTTTTGTTGACGACGCTGATGTCTGGGCGCGCGACCAGGCGGCAGAAGCGAGATCCAGGACAGCGATGAGCCGACGCCACGGGGCACGCACAGTTGATGCCGTCGTAGATACCCTGCAGTTGATTGATGTCGATGAGCAATGGGTTGTGTTGGCGTGAGGCCGCCGTGTGGGTTGTAGATGGGAACTTTTTGAAGCCCGGGCCTGACAACTCCAAAATGTTTCTTGGGTTGGCTGGCGCGAGTTTGCTTTGGTTTGACCGGCGGAGCTCTGCCATATTTTCCTGACCAGGGGCGGCCATCCGCGCTAAACCCATTTGGTAGCTTCGCGAAGGTAGGCTTCCTTGACAGCATTACTTTTTACAACGCAGCCATGTAGTTTTATGATACAATGCGAATAGGAAATAAGGACGATGAATATTACATGAATTTAAAGCCACCTAGTCATCTTATTTGTGGCGTTGCTGCTATCGTTGTGCAGTTGCCCACCACGCGATACATAGTACACATACAAGTTTAACCCCAGGCTGTCCTGCACCTAGAATAGCCTCGAAAGTGACACGGCGGTTCATTGAATGATGCATCCCCAACTCCGCGTAACATCACAGCATACCCCGTACAACCAGTTACTGCTTCTTGGCCTCGCGCTCAGCCTTGCGCAGAGCACGCTTGCGGATATCTAGGTGCATGCCCTTGTTAATGGAGATGGTTAGCGGGCTGTTGACGCCGGGAATGTTCTCAATGAACCACAGCATAAACGCATGGCTCCACCACGGGGTGTACGTGTTGGGCGCCGTCTGGTAGCCGCCGGTGCCGACCTTGCCGAGGGCGGCCTTGACAAACGGGCGGGCGTTGGGGACGAGCAGGCTGGCACGGCGAATCTTGCTCATGGCCGTGGTGACGAGGTGGCTGAGGACGAGCTGGACGTCAACGCCGTCGTCAGCAAGCTCCGCAGCCAGGGCGTTGCTCCACTGCTGCAGGAAGGCCTTGCTGCCCGAGTAGGTGGCCAGGTACGGCGTCGGGGTCCAGCCGCCAAACGAGCCCATGGTGAGCACGAGGCCCCGGCCGCGGCGCTGCTTCAGGATCGGCGCGACGACCTGCGTGACCTTGAGCGTGCCCAGGCAGTTGATGGTGACAATGTTTTGCAGCTCGTCGCGCGGCGTCTCGAGGAAGGACACGGGGATGCTGTGGCTCTGGCCGACGTTGTTGATCAGGATGCCGACGTCGAGGCCGCGGACGAGGGCGGCGAGGCGCTCGTAGTCGGCGTCGTTGTCCTGCGTAAAGTCCATGGCCAGCGTCTTGACCTGTGTCGCCTGGGCGGTGTACTTGGCCGTGATCTCGTTGGCCAGCGCATCGAGCTTGGACTGCGTGCGGGAGACGAGGACGAGGTTGAAGCCCGTGGCGGCGAGCTGCGAGGCAAACTCCTTGCCGAGGCCGTCCGAAGCGCCGGTGACGACGGCCCAGGTGCCGGGCTTGCCGTACGTGCGGAGCTATCAAGTAACAGCGTTAGCATTCATCGGTCAGACAGATCACCGCGGGAGGGGTAGCAGGCGTGGCACGCGACGTACGTTGGTGCCCGGCAGGATAAAGGAGCCGAGGACGAGGCGCAGGTAGCTAAACAGCTTGGAGGCGACAAACAGACCGCCGATGGTGGCGAGAAGCACCAGGCCGCAGTGCGGCATCGCGGGCAACTTGCCGAGAAGCTGGTTAACCTTGTCCATGATGAGCGTGCAGCACACAATTGTTGTTGAGAGCTGTGTTGGGGCGGCGGCAGGAGGAAAAAGGTGCAGTCCAAGTCCAGATGCGATTTGGTGGGCTTGTAGGCGCAGCGGGTCCACCATCCGCGGCACTGGACGGCAGCTTTCCCTAGCCAGCACGATCCACATGCTTTGATTTTAGCTGGAATAGAACTCGATTTTATCATTATCTCACATTATTAAATATATTAGGATAATCCCTTTCTTCTCGCTCAGCCAAATGGTGGTCAGTAGAGGAATAAGTAGCACCTTTTTTTATTATATAGGTATTAATCCCTTACTTGATTTAGTCTAATTAATATCCTTCGTCTATCTAGTCCTTCTAAGAGTTTAGTTAATATATAGAATTTAAGCTTTTAAGAGATAGTAAGTAGAGGATAAAGTAGATCCTATTAAGTTATTAGCTGTATAATAGCTAGCGGCTAAGTATATGCGGAATGGGATAGGAATTTTTAATGCTAAGATCTAAATACTCCGTCAGCAGAACTACCTTAGGCGAGTGACAGGCGGCGGAACACGAACTATTGATCTAATACTAGAGTGGAATGCCATTAAGGAAAGAGAAGTGACATAGCCCCCGCGAAAACGGAATCGAATTTAATAAAAAGTCTTAGACCATTCCTCTTATTTCACACATGCCTTAGGAAGAACAGGTAGCCGCGGGCCGGCTAGTGCCATTTTGATGCTGCACAGCCGCCGATATCTCACAAGCAAAGACTCAAGGAGGCTTCTTTCGGCATTTAAGCGCTTATGTCATGGACTAGGGGAGAGGGAGAAAGAGTATTGCTTGAAACAAGGCATTAAATTCTCCAGGTGAGCAGCGACTTTCAAAGCCCCTGCCCTCGAAGAAAGTAACGACAGAATACAGCGGCCCAAGTTCAGTCTGATAAAAGTCAGTGAACAAAAGCTCGATCGTCCTGGGCTTTGGCTCATCAGAAATGAGAATCTGTTTCAAGTAGGGCGCCAAAATTCCTAGATTGCAGTGTCTTGCCCTTGCAAGGCTGTGGCTTTCCGCAGTGTTTTGTCCGCAGTACAGCGTGTAACCGACTCTCCCCCGCTACCTTTTGTAAAGGTAACTTGTCACTGATGCTCACAGCTTTGCATCTATCAAGGACGACAGGTAAAGCTTCCCTTTTTTCTTGCTGAGAGGGCCAAAAGGCGCTTCCTCTTCGACCGCTACATCCCGCAGACAAAATATTGGAAGGGGGCGGGAGCTCGCCACCTGTGCGGGCTCCTCATGCCGCTGAGGCTGTATGCAGTGTGACGAGAGAGGAAAGTCGTCTGTGGCTGAAATCTTCCCCTCCCGCATGGAACAGCATAGGTAAGCCGCCACGGCGCGTACATATTCTGGCTCCCTTGCTGGGCAACCAATGGCCCTGATGAACATCCCTTCTTTAATCCATCTTCTTGTCGAAGATGCGATGTCCACAAGCGCGGAAAAAATCAAGATCGATCGGCAACTTCCTCCGAGAAATCGAGAAAAGATAAAAGCAAGCGCCGCGCAATATGCACACCGTGACAAAGACCTCGGAGGGCTCTGCAGGCGAGACCACGCAACCGGATCGTCTAGCGAATAGAGCTCCTGGCTCCGTCAAGTCGACCAACCTCGGATCGCTGGACCCGTCCTTCACGCCGGCCACGGCATGCACGTCCTTGACCATCGGGGTAAGTTTCGACGTTCAAGACGGTACAACCACCACCGTCGGCTTCAACTGGGGCCGTACATGCAGCGACGGGTGGTTCCTAGCAGTCGACACCTCTTGCTACCCTCCTAGCTACGCGACAGCGTACGTGGACGTGATCCGTCGCGGACGCGGCTCGGACACCTTTCCAGTCCACTCGCCTGCTTCTCGTTGCCCGGAGAGATTCTCGTCCGCCTGCGGGTTTGGCGGCCCGAACGCTTCCGTGGACTCGACTCGCCGGGACTTTGACACCGTCATGAGCAGCATGATTGCGGAAACGCAAACAGCAGTCGGCCGCTGCCCAAGGTAAGACTACTTTCTTTCCTCGGGAAACCACATTTTCATCAAAGACACCAGTCTCTGGAAAACATCGCGGGTCGTACTCAGCTAACGTTGGGGGCTGGTTGCCTTCACAGTCACTACTCTTGCGATAGCAGCGCATATTCGTGCGTCTCTTATCCCACATCTGGCGGCACCATTAAGGGATAAATGCAATCAATATGCATATTACCCAAGGGATACTTTTCAGTGTTTACGGCTACCAGCGGGTACTTGGTATTCGCCGCAGCGCCTTGCTTGGTCCTCGTCCGAGACGTGCCCGCCACCGAATCCGCGACGACGACGACGACAACGACGATGACGACGACCGGCGCTCTCGCTTCCCCCCCGAGCACCGCGACCGGCACCAACAGCACGGCTGCCGCTCCCAGCAGCCGCGGCGGTCTTTCAACCGCTGCCGCAGGGGCCATTGGTGCCGCCGTGCCCTTGGCTCTCATGCTCGCAGCGCTGGTCGTGTTCGTCTTGCTTCGGAAACGATCGCGCCGTTCTGCCGCTGCCGCTCAATCCACACAGACTGGCGCCGACTTGTCGAGAAAAGAATCTTCTGGGCCCATTGGTGGCGACTGCGGTGGTGCCGTGGAGATGGACGGCTCGGACCAGAAGTGGCCGGGCGATACTGGCCGGGCGCTCACGGATCCCGCTGCGGCCATCGGTGTAGGTGCAAGCCTTGGTAGCGCATCGGAGTTGCATACTTCGATCGCGCAGCCTCGCTCGCATGATGCTATCGTCGAGTTGCCCGCCGAGGCCAAACGTGTATGTGACTAGGTGACGGTGCCCAGTGCATGGGACAGTGTACTCATTCTACGGCAGTGCTGCCTTGGAGGACTTGGACTCTACCAATTACGAAGCTGGACAAGGCCGAATCACTAGTGCTCCCCGATCCCGAGCCTCGTGCAGCAGACACGCAAGGCAACAAATCCATTTCCATGAGCTCATTAGTTAGTAGCCGATGTAAGCCTTTTGCATGATCTGTTTAGTGCCTCGCAGCGAAACCCCGAGCCCGAGCCCGAGCCCGGATCGGCCCCGCCTCACCGGCCACATCCCCGGGTCAGCGTGTAAGCTTTGTAATAAAGGCTGCAGTTGACATGCTTTTCTAAAATTGGACATTCTTGAACTTTCATAAATATACCAACATCGCCTTCATATTTATCACCTAAATCCAACATTACACTGCACAAATCTCCACCATCAAAGTCATGGCTTCAGAGGAGCAGCTACGCGCCATGGTCGACCAGGACAAGAGCTTACTGCGCATCATCGACTTTGAGAACTTCCGCTCAGCCCCCCAGATTGACGCCCAGGCCCGTGCCGCCCTCCTGCGTCCCAACCCCAAGCTCGACGCCTCCCTGCGCACCTCCGCCGCCCACGGCCTACCGCCCATCAGCGTCCTCCCGCTGGCCGGCCAGTACCTATCCGTGCTGACCCGGGTCATGGGCGCCAAGAACGTGCTCGAGGTCGGCACGCTCGGCGGCTACTCGTCCATCTGCTTCGCTCAGGCCGGCGCCCGCGTCACGAGCGTCGAGATCGACGCCAAGCATCGCGACGTGGCGATGCAAAACGTGGAGGGTCTTGATGTCGAGGTGCTTCTCGGCTCCTCGTCGGATGTCCTGCCCAAGCTCGTCGAGGAGGGGCGCAAGTTCGACATTGTATTTGTGGACGCGGACATGATCGGACTTGACGAGCAGTTTGACTTGGCCGTCAAGCTCACTCGCCCGAACGGATGCATCGTCTTGGAAGATGTGGTTGCTTCCATGTTCAAGGAGGGCGAGGTCGGAGGGCATAGCGAGGAAAACATCCTAACAAGGATCGGAAAAGATGAAAGGGTGGATGCTACATTGGTGCCTATTGTCACTTGTCATCCTATGGTACCAACTCCAGTTTTCAACGGCTTCATTTTTGCGACCGTCAAGGCCGACAGTTAGACATCGACTACTTGTACGCCTTAGGCCAATAGAACTATTGCGATTTGGATTTACAATACAATAGGCTTGACAAATAAGTCTTTCTTTACCACTACTACTGGGGCATGCTTCCCGGGGCCACTGGGTATACGTGGCACTCACATTACTGCAACAGCCTGGCGAGGTGACTGGCGAAGCGCGGTCTGCAGTTCGTGTCCCAGGCGGGCATGGCTTGCATGCGAAGCATGCGAACCGCCTCTCCGCGCTGCAGGTTTGTGGCAAAAGGTGATAGATCGACAACTTCTGTGTGTCTTATTTTCAGACCTGCTGCCTGCGATAAATGATCTAGAACATCAAAGGCATCAGGTTCAGCTATGCCCAACATGATGGTCGGCTACAAAAGCACGCCCGCCCTCCCAGCCTGAGTTTTCTTTTCATCCACCCATCTTCAATAGGGAGACTTCATCTTTATATTGCATTCGATAATTGCTGTATCCAGTCATATCGAGTCACCTAGCATGTTGCTCATTGATGGCCGAACTCACATTCACCATCTTCGGGCTGGCAGTTCCCGTCGTCCGGCTGCTGGGCACGCTCTACTTCCAGCTTAATGAAATATCCGGGGCCCCGGAAGAAATTGAGATTTTCAAGAGCGAGATGTGGATTCTGAGAGCATCAATCGAAAACTTCCGCAAGCAGTGCCCAGCCTCGATCAAAAAGCTGGCAAGGTCCAAGAGGCAAGAGGCGCTGAAGCATGCTAAAGCACTTATAGGTCACTTCAGAATCATCGCGAAGTCGATCAAAGCAGCTGCAGCGTGGATTCTGAGAACGTTCAACAAAAGGACCTCAGGTTCCTTGAAACGAATTTTTGCTAGCATGCAATGGACGTTCAAGAAGTCAGCGATCTCTGAAAATCGGCATTCAATGACACTTTTGGTGGGCATGATTAAATTGTTTTCCGACTCCGTTGTATTGGAAGGTGCGCAGGAGGAAAGTGAGCGAAATGGTGCTTCGCCAAGAGAGCTAGAAGATAAGATGTGAGTACAGGCAGTGCAGCGTGAACAGATCTCCGCGCCCGCCCAACCAATGTCCATGCTAATCGTACAAAACACATATTCAGAGAGAGAGCGAAAGAAGACTGTACTCTAGTCAGGCGGGCACTAAAGTATCTCCCGGCTGCAAACACTTGCCGCGGCGATGGGCTGCTGTGGATGGGACAGATGGCGATATGCATGGAGCGAAGGGCTGAAATCGCTATCTGTTCCTTTTACCAAGAATATGCCTTTTACCGAGAGTATTCAACAACCAGACAGCCCAGGTCCGACAGTAGACTATCACGAAAGGGTCAGCAGCGAAGTCGTGCCGCACGATCAGAATCAAGTCACCGCCGTGCGCCGTCATCAAGTACACCCAGATGTTCCAGATGCGAGCAAGAATCGTCGCAAGAGTCCTTGGAATGGGATGCGTCTTCTGAGCATAAAACGTACTCATCATGTCAGGAGCCCCTCGAATGGGATGCGTCTTCTGGGCATACAACGTCTTCATCATCATGGAAGGAGCCCTTCGAATGGGATGCGTCCTCCGGATTTACGTCTACATCATCGGGCTACGAGAGCGCCTCGACTATTTTTTCTGAAGGATCGTACTAGGCCGTTTGTGCCCAGTTAATTTGTCGGCGCCGCCGCGGCTTTTACAAACGAAGGGTACCAGCATTTGTGACATTTTCGTTGATTAGCTGCGGAATTGCTTGCACCATAGTCAAGGATACGGTGGTAGATAAATTCATTGAGCAGGCACTCTTTGGCATGGTTTGTATCGATTGCTTCTACGAGATTGGCTCGCCGTTGAGCGTCACTATGGCCGTTGAGCGTTGATGATGATAGCCAGACATGTATTGTGCGAAGAATTTCTGTGGCTAATTTCCATTCGGTTTTGGTCCTTTAAATATCAATAAGTTGAAATTATTCATTGCAACAACAGCTGTTGCCGAGATGACTTACACCACACAGTCTGCCCCACAACCTCCACAACCCCTAATAATAAGCAGCTCAGGCGAAATGCCATCACGAGACACCTACACAATACTTTTGGGATCTCTCCAACGAGCCGTGTGCCATTCATTCACGAGGCAACGCCTAAGACTCCTTCAATGGACTTCCTCAAATCAATCCTACCACCCGGCAAGGGCATCTTGCCCTACTACATGCTAATTGTGAGTCTCGCGCCAGCTCCGTACCCTCTTTCCGCCCAGAAGCACCACTGGCACCTCAGAGCTTGACCCCCCTTCGCTAACCACCACCTCGTCACATCCGCAGCTCTCCGTCATCTCGATCGGCAACTCCCTGCAAGCATATCTCACGCTGCACTTTTCACGACGCGTCTATAACGGCCGGTTCGTGCCCAACCCGCGCCTCACCTCGACGACGGCCGCCGACGGCCGCGACCCCCAGGACCGCACCGACAAGCTCGTGCCGGCGAGCGACCCGCGCGACCCCCGCGCGACGGACCAGCTGACGCCGCTCGCCGGCCGCCTGTTCGGCACCTGGACGCTCATCACCTGCATCGTCCGCTGCTACGCCGCGTACCACCTGCACATCGGCCCCGTCTACAACATCGCCATCTGGACCTACGTCGTCGCGCTGGGCCACTTCGCCAGCGAGCTCTTCCTCTTCAAGAGCATGTCGCTCGGCGTCCCGCAGCTCTTCCCCTTTTGCCTCGCGACCACGGCGCTGATCTGGATGCCCACGGTCCGCGACTACTACGTCGAGTTCAACTGAAGTCCCGCCCAGAAACAAATGAATGAAAAGGAGAGAGAGCACGTTGCAGCCACGTGGAAATAATACTGGTAAACTCGCTGATTCTAATGTATGACTAGACTCCATTTAAACAACCGAAAATACCTTCTTCCCGCTCAGAAAGTGAATCACTTGTTTCGACTTCTATAAATCTCGCCGCCGCAGTCGCGCAGACGAGCGGCAGCTTGCTCGGGCGTAATGTCGCGCTGAGGCTCCGCCATTAACTCAAAACCAACCAAAAACTTGCGTACCGTCGCAGACCGCAGCAGCGGTGGGTAAAAGTGCATGTGGAGGTACGAGTTCTCAACCTCCTCCACGGTGCCCTGCAGCGGCGCCTGGTGAATGCCGGAGCTGTACGGGAAGCTGCACTCAAACAGGTTGTCGTAGCGGCGCGTCACCTCCTGGATCGTCTCGGCGAGCTGCAGACGCTCCTCGGCGGTGAAGTCGACCAGGGCGCGGACGTGGCGCTTGGGCAGCACCAGGACCTCGAACGGCCAGACGGCCCACCAGGGGCAGACGACGAGGAATCCCTCGTTTTGCCAGACGATGCGCTCCTGCTTCTCGAGCTCGAGCTTGGTGTAGTCGGCGAGGAGGTGGCGGCCGTGCTGCTTCCTGTACCTGCTCATCTGCACAATCTCCTTGCCAGGTTCCTCGGGCATAGTCGACGTGGTCCAGATCTGGCAGTGCGGGTGCGGGTTGGAGCAGCCCATAGCGGCGCCCTTGTTCTCAAAGATTTGCATGTAGCGGTACTCGTCCGTTGGGATCGGGGCTTGGTCGCGTGACACGGAGAGCTGCAGCTTGCTGGCAACGGCTGCGAGCGGGTTCGATGCGGCCAAATGGTTGGCGTAAATGCGCGTCCAGTGGTCAATGCAGGGCAGGATGTCGGAGCCGGGCATGTCGGCGAGTGTGAGGTGGTGCTTCGGTGAAAACGTCATGACATAGCAGACGCCCTTGACGCTCTTTGCCTGCAAGAGGAGGGACCCAAGGTCTACCATGTGTTAGCGATCGAAATGAGGCGTATTTTATAGCTCGAGGTTTACCATTGGAGGAAGGCTCGGGCTCATAGTCGGGTTGCTGCTCCTTGACGGCGCTGTAGTCGTTGACAAAGGCAAACGTCTTTTCGTAGTCGGGGTTGTGGTCACCAGAAGCACGCGTGTTGCGCGGGCAGAGATAGCACTATACCATGGTCAATTGAAAACTTCGGCCATGCGATATTGTCGGAGCCTCACCTTCGGGTCGTATTCGGGTAGCTTTGCCTCAACAGCAGCCTCCTGCTGGCCTCTACCCAATTTTGTTAGCGCTGCCTTGATTGAATAGAGAAATGACTGAGCTCACTGCCATGGTCGCTTTGTCCGGTGAGGCGAGACCAACAGCCAACTGTCCGTCAGCGGGTTGTAGCGGCGGTGGGAAATGTCGTCGAGAATCTTGTCAGGCATTGCGGGGGCGGGGCAGCGCAGCTCCGGGAAGCTGAGGAGACTTGACGAAGCAAACGTAAGGTGGTCAGTCAACTTGAAATGAGAGATAATTAGAGCAAGAAGCAAAGCTTAAGTAGAAACGACAAGTTGTCAGATCAGTGCGGTGTATAAATACGAGGGGTGTTGGGAATCCTTTTGGGGACGGCCTCGACGCCGAGAGCTGTCTAACAGTAAGCGCTCCAATGATATCATGGTATCCGTATTGTGGAAGGAGTTCAGTGGCACCCCACGCTACTCCAATATACGCCGGCAATTTTTTCGGAGAATAAAATGAGCGAGCTGGGAGATTAGATGAAGTCGGGTCTGGGCCTACCAATCTTTTGGCAATAGAAAAGAGATTTGAATTTTGCTTGTTGTGCTTGGGAATTGAATTTATGAACGGTATATGCACAGAGACACTATAACTAGTTGACGCCGATGTCTAACAGCTGAAGCACATCAACGCCACGAGATGCAAGAATGCAAAAAAAAAACCGACATTTCACCAGGCTGGATATAGAAGTCTGTCAAGTACGCGCTGGATCTATAAAAATCTCAGGCAATAACTTGTTGCGCCAGTCGACTTGCTTTTCACCCACGACGTGTCACATGACTTGGCACGTGCAAGACAGGCAGCTCCCTTGTCCACTAGCGCGTCCGTTCAAAGCGCAGCTATCATGCATCGCGACGCCGCCCGTCTTGCGCTGACAATTCCGACAGGCGGGCTTCGCCATCAACCAACGCCAAAAAACAGGCATTCTCATCAAAATTTCGGTCAAGTCTTCCAACTTGATATCGAAGCATGCTTTTTACCGCATAAGATCCCCACATTGTCTCGCTCGTTACCGCTACAGCACACCCTCGAATCGACGCTGGTGGCGTCATCGCCTGTAGCCAGTGGAACCGGGTTCGGCAGGTCGCGTTATCAACACATCAACACCGCAACCATTACCCCAGCATGGGTGTGATTCGCAAAAAGACTGTGAATAGAGGAGGTGAAGGAGGTGTGAAATATGTTTGTGATGCGTGTTCCGTTGATATTACATCTACTGTAAGTGCTGTCGCATAACCCCCAGCACTACAGTGAGCGAGGACGGCTCCTTGTTCATCTCCAGATGCTAACGTTGTCGCGCATTCAGGTTCGAATTAGATGCGCGGATTCAGCATGTACAGACTTCGATCTTTGTGTCTCTTGTTTCGCCAAGGGAGAATCGCGCAACGCACACGACCCCGCGACCCACGCCTTCCGCGTTATTGAACAAAACTCGTTTCCAATTTTCGACGACGAATGGGGCGCAGACGAAGAATTGCTTTTAATCGAGGGCGCCGAGATTTACGGACTCGGGTCCTGGGCGGACATCTCGGATCACATTGGCGGTTTTCGTCAGAAGGACGAAGTTCGCGACCATTACCTCAAGACATACGTCGAGTCCCCGCGCTTCCCACTCCCAAAGCGCTGCAGCCCTCATGACAACGAGTTGGCCAGCGAGATCCCCCGAGAAGAATTTCAGGCCCGTAAAAAGCGCAGGATTGAAGAGCGCCGTGAGGCTGCCAAGAATGCGCCGGCCTTACAACCTAAGACGAAACCGACGGCCTCTGTGCCCAGCTGTCACGAAATCCAGGGATACATGCCCGGTCGCTTAGAATTCGAAACAGAGCACGCCAACGACGCCGAAGAAGCGGTGCAACTGATGCAATTTGACCCTGGTGATGGGCTGAACCCCAAAACAGGAGAGCTTGAGCCCGAGATGGAACTGAAGCTCACCGTCATGGAAGTGTATAACTGTCGACTTACGCAGCGAGTGGATCGCAAAAAGGTCATTTTCGAGCACAACTTGCTTGACTACAGAGAAAATTCAAAGCTAGAAAAGAAGAGGACCAAGGAGGAAAGGGACCTGATTCAAAAAGCAAAGCCCTTTGCGCGTATGATGAATTGCAAAGACTTTGACGATCTTTGCCAAGGGCTTGTTGACGAGCAAAACCTCAGACAAGCCATTGCACAACTACAAGAATGGCGCAGTCTCAAAATTGGTGACCTGCGCAGTGGAGAGAATTACGAGGCAGAAAAGGCCGCCAGAATACAAAAGTCAATACCTATGGGCTCCATGGATCGCGAGCGTCTCGCATCTACGCAACGCAATAAGCAAGCAGCGCCGCCCGAGCCGCCCAGCGGCGCTGCCCTTCTTGTCGCGCCGGAGCTGCCTGAACACATCAACCAGGGGACCGCAGACGGTGACAGCAAGTCGCTCGCCAATGGACAGACCAATGGCGTTGTGACTAATGGCCACGCACCACCAACACGACCAAAATATGTCCCTCAGCCGATATCGGGCGTGCAGTCGCTCCACCTCACCCAGGACAATGCTCCGGATCTACACCTACTCACGGCCGACGAGGCGAAGTTGTGCGAAGTGATTCGCTTGCAGCCCAAGCCCTACCTGATGATCAAAGAACAGATTTTGAAAGAGGCCATAAAGGGGAACGGATCTCTGAAGAAGAAGCAGGCTAAGGATATCTGTCGACTAGATTCGCAAAAGGGAGCAAGGATTTTTGACTTTTTCGTCAATGCAGGCTGGGTCGGGAAAGCGTGAGGGGGGGGCACGGGGGTTTTTTTTTTTTTGAGAGCAAGGCCTCTTCTAAGAGCAAGGCCTCTTCTGAGAGCAAGGCCTCTTCTGAGAGCCAGGGTTCTTTCAATATCAATGTTTCTTCCGGGCAGATGGTCGGTTATTGTGGTTCTGTATTTATCTTAGGTGTCTTGGCTTGGAATAGCCTCGGAGTTGATGGTTGGGTTTCTTTCGCGTTTTGGCTGTGCACAGTTTCAAGGCGTATGGCAGGTGGCTTAGAGAGCATGCATCTTTAGTAAGCGAGAATGATATCCTCTTGGTTTTCAGTACTGATGGTGACGCGTGCTTCCATGTGGTGACGTCAATGTGTGTTGGTTCAGTAACGACTACGTGGCATTTTTCGCCCTTTCGAATAAAAATTAGGACTAGACTGAGCCTCGCCCATCAAAACCAGGATATTTAAGAATAATATTCAAAAAAACAGGAAAGGATGAAAGGTGGTCTGGAGAAGAGGATGTCTTTTTAAAGTTCCCATTCAGACTGGTTACGAAGTTATCGCGGGTATGATCCGTCCGCCCCACTTCCCGAGGCCCACAAGTTACCGACCACTTGGGTGCCTCGTTTCTAGCGCCCATCTCTCCTCAACTACATGCCTTCGTCTTGCCCATCTTCTCACAATGGCCAGCATCGCAACCCTCAAACGCATCTCCGCCAAGGACCTCGCAGATCGAATCCTCGCCGAGCAGGGCCGCCCAGAGCAAACCTACGCCATTGTCGACGTGCGTGACGATGGTAAGCCCTCACTTCTTCCCATCCCAGCCACCCATGAGTTATGGTTCAGAAATTTGTTTAACTTTTCAAATTGCAACATTCGATTTCACCGGCGTCTTTACATGGAAATTAACTTTGGTGTTTGTTTCTTAGATCATCTTGGCGGCCACATCAAAGGAGGCATCCACGCCGCCAGCGCGCAGCTGGAGGCGATGATGCCGACACTACTCCGACGCCTAGGGGGAAAGAAGACAGTCGTCTTCCACTGCATGCTGAGCCAGCAGCGGGGACCCAGCGCGGCGCTGCGGTACCTTCGAGAGCGGCAGCTGCAGCAGGCGCAGGAGGGCAAGTCCGAAGGGGAGGATGGGCAGGAGGTGCTGGTCTTGGAGAACGGGTTTGAGGGCTGGCGGCAGCAGTACGGGTCGGACGAGCGACTCACGGAGGGATACCGCAAAGAGCTGTGGGAGAATTACTAGGAGACTGAGGAGAAAAGAAAAAAAAAGTTTTGTATTCTTCTTCTCGCCTTTCTCGCCCTGTGAAAGAAAAAGTCTATGGCTTTACCCCGGTCCGATGACGACAAGACGTCGGTCTAGAGGACGAGCCAGAGTCCTGGAATTATCGTCATAGGGCTGAAAATAAGGTTGGGAATGTTTCTAGTCTTTTTAAGTGCCTATCTCACGGTGAGGAACAAAGCTTATCGGCGCCAGGTTGCCAATTCCCAGCGTTCTGGGCGAGAGATACCCGAAAACAAGATTCGGGATTCGTTACAATTCGAAAGCTACTTTACAACCTTGAGGAAATTCTTCTGCTTCATTGAATCTGGCCTCATCTCTGAAGATTATAAAAAGAGGTCGTCCCCCCCGCCCATCTCTGCTTCCCTTTTTCCCGCATATCCAACTCTCACAACCGTTACCCTAATCAACGCTTCGTCAACTCGAATCTTCCCTACCCAATATACACTAAAAGCCTTAAACCAGCTTTCAATATTCATCATCCAACTCCAACTTTAGCAACACTCCCCAATCCACTCTCAGCAATGTCTCATTTCAACAAGAACGTCCTGAGCCCGGTGGCTCGTTATTCCTACCGCCGGACAGGTCGACGGATTGAACGAATCAACGAGCGAGAGATACGTTCGGACCGATACCCACAAAATACACAGGAGGAGATCTCGAGCTTTAGAGCTCAGATCGCCTCCAGTGGCTCGGATATTGGTGGCGGCCCCTACCCTGTGCCCGGTAGCGTCGCCTTTACTGGCCCCGGCCAACCTATCACCGGTCCATGGAACAATGGCATGTACCTCCAGCGCCCCCAGCAACAGCAACAGCAGGGGGCCTACCACCCTCGGGCTAACAATGGCCGCCCTCGCGACCATTACTACTACGCCCACGCGAGGTACATGCCTCAGGAGGGTGGCGACAGCGCCCCCCCCTCTTCCTCCTCTTCCTCCACCTCGGACGAGGAGGATCAGGACCAGCCGGACCAGTCCAACAGCTCCTGGACCCAGGAGCCTTGGTTCCAAGCGCACGAGCTGTGGGCCCAGCAGTTGGCCCTCGATATCGACGAGTGGCAGGCCAAAGAGGACGCGATCCTCGCACTTCACTGGGCCGAGGAGGCTGCTGCCGCCGAGGCCGCCCGGGCTAGGGCGAGACAGAGCCCCGCTCCAGGGTCCTGGGCTGCCGGGGCGGCGTTCTGGAACGCCACCTACAACCGATTCACCCCTTCCTCCGCGGAGGACTTCAACTTTGCCCGCCCCAGGTTTTACGAGTACGACTCTGACGACACCATGTCGAACGAGCATGACTCTGACTACACCATGTGGGACGACTACGAGCTTTACGCCGACTGGTCGGACGACTATGAGGTCGACGCCAACGGCTCGGACGAGTCTGACCCCAAGGCCAACCTGGAAGAGGAGGAGGACTTGTACAGCCCTAAGTAGGGCACATTGCCCCTCTCGGCTTGAACTCTGTCAAGGTATTTTGCTGCCTGAGCCACCACCGGTTACCAACATTGTACTAACATTGTACCATCACCAGTCTACCAACATTGTTTCAACAACCCTGGACCCGATTGTACCAACACCAGGCAGCGATGGAAAACCCCGGAAAACCGCACAAAATAATTCACAAAATCGACAAAACTCCAAAAAAAAAAACAAAGCATCAACAAGAAGCAAATGTATAACTATACGGTGATAGTGTCTTCGGATGGGTCCTTTTTTAAGGAGTTCGATTGCAGAAGCCGTACAGCATTGGTGGATTACAGACCACACAACCACATGGTCTTGACTTTCTACTTTGGTGAATTCTTTTCGTGGTTTGGTCTCCTGGATAGGTTTGGATGGGAATTTGTTTGTTTTGTTCTGTTTGGATATACCTCTCAGCGATTTCTTCTTGATGGTTTGGTTTTTGTTTCGGAAAATCAGGACGAGAATATGCTGGGAAAAACACTGTAAAACAGACAAAACACAAAAAAACTAGAAAATCTCTTATGTAATGAATAAAAAAGTTTGTTACCCAAAAATGAAGCTCTAAAAAGGATCGTGATGATTTGGTCTCCTTGGCCAATGTAAAGTCCGTTGCAGGGATAACCTGAGGCCATCCCACGTAGTAGAGGAGATGGCATGCTGATTTCTTTCCAGAGAAGCTAGAGCCCTTATCTTCAATGATTCTCACTTATCAAGAAGTCGTGACGTTTATATTTTCCACACATCGGGATACACAGCACTGATCATGTACTTGTTGGTCCACTGAGTCTGCTCCCTTTCATCCTGGGTTGCGTCTTAAACATTGAGAACAATTTTTCTTGTCTTTTTTACTACCAAAGTAGATATTCTGATGTCATCTTGGCTGTTTCTCTCCCCAAGCCTTCTTCTCTGCACGATCCAGTCATGAAGTCATCACCGTAGACACCCGGTGCTGGCTACAATATCACTCTCGAGCCTCGACAAGGTTGACAGCATTTATCCTCTTCTTCTGTATCACCACTTTTAAAGCCACGATCACACAAAAGACTTTCAAGCTAATTTTACTTCCTCTCAATATATAGAATTCGTCTTTCCAGCAATTATACACGACACACGGGCAATTCTCGCAAGCTGCAAACTACAAGTTCTGAGATCAGCCAGCCTACCCTACACCACCCTTGCCAAATCGGGCGCTGACGATCGGCACAGGTTCAATTGGCCCAATCACCAATCATGCACATCCACCATTTCTCGCCCAATGACTCGCCAACAGCAGCCCAGGTGCCAGGTAGGTGGGCGTCCTGGGAACGGTTGACATCGGCGCTCATCCGTCGTCATTGTTTGTTTTTTTTTCCGCCTCTGCATTCACAATCTCTACAGTGATTTGCCTCCTTCATTCTGCACGCCTGAGTGACTGTGACTTTTTTTTTTCCCTCTTTATCCAACATCAAGTTATTGTTACAATTTTCTTCTTCTATATAATACCCCTCACCGGCCCCATCGCTGTCTCGCTTTCCCCCCCCATCTCCCCAAAACATTTTGGTGGTAAACCGACAACGAACAACCTCCCCCGCCAGCATCGCAAACCACTTCGCCCCCAACACAGCGCGCACGACATACACAGACAAGATGGGTTCGCGCCCGGAACAATCCGAAGCCTGCAAAGCCCCCCCCCCCAGCTACGGGCAGCGAACACAGCAGCTGATCAATGGCCAAGACCTCGGCTTCACGCCCACAATCACGGTCGACGGCCCATGGACGGTTGAAAAGGTGGTCGAGCAGCTACCCGGCGGCGCGCCGGCCGCGGGGTCCAGCTCGCCACTGGCCTTCTTCCACATGCTCGAGCGCCTCAAAACGACCAAGCGCGAAGGCTGGCGACGCTTCGGCATCGAGCGGTACGAACGCGCCCTCCTCCTCTCCTACCCACTCTCTCTCCTCTACTAACTTTTTCGCTTCCCAGGGGCGAGTCCATCGCCGACCACATGTACCGCATGTCGCTCATCTCCATGTTCGCCCCCCCGTCCCTCGCCCCCCGTCTCGACCTCCCCAAGTGCGTCAAGATGTGCCTCGTCCACGACATGGCCGAGCTCCTCGTCGGCGACATCACCCCCGTCGACGGCGTCCCCAAGCCCGAAAAGTCCCGCCGCGAGGCCGCCACCATGGACTACCTCGTCTCCCTCGCCCCTTCATCTGTCGGCGCGGAGATTCGCGCCATCTGGCAGGAATACGAAGACGCGCAAACGCTGGACAGCAAGTTTGTGCACGACGTGGACAAGATGGAGCTGCTGTTGCAGATGATGGAGTACGAAAGGAGGGGCGCGCGCGGGGTGGACTTGGGCGAGTTTGCGTACGTGGCGGGCAACATGACGCTGGAGGAGACGAGGGGGTGGGCAAGGGAGTTGATCGCGGAGAGGGAGGCGTTTTGGGGAGGGGAGGCACATGTGCAGGGCGACAAGGGCAAGGAGGGAGGCCTGTCGGAGCTGCATGCGAAGCAGCAGGCCGAGTACTACAAGCGCGACTAAGCGACACAGAGAGAGGTTGTGGTGTTGTGGCGTCGCCGAGGATGCCAAGTTGTTGTTTTCTTGTTGGCCAACAACGTTCATTGGTTGTGACTGTGTAATGACATGACAGCATACGTTGTGATGAGCGGATGCGTTTTAGATTTGGCTGCCTGCCGAGGCTATAGAGCAAGTACGTTTTGATAGATTCATTTCGCATACAGAAACGAACGAACTTTTCTGCAATTGAATCGCGGGACGTGACATTTCATTTCTGACATCATTAAGTTGGTGCTCATAATACTTGGGTGAAACCCTTGTAGCTATCTTCTTGCTAATCTATTAAATCGCACAATTATTCAGTAGAGATACCCGCCTAAGCCTTGAACACATCGTTGCGCGCCAAGACGGCCTCGATGCCTCTCTTGCCGGGAAAGTCAAAGATGACGATGCCCGTGCGGCCGTTCTGGTCACCGGCCTCGAGCCAGCGGCCCGTCTCGTCATTCATGCCCACGACCGTCCTGTTCTTGGGACCCGCGGCGGCTTCGATGGGCAGCACCCCGACGCTCGCGGAAATGTGCGAGAGGTACAGGGCCTTGTTGTCCTGGGGGTCGCTCGCCGTCTTGGTGAGCGCATCGCGGATGGCATTCCACTTGTCCGAGAGGTGGTTGACGTCCGGGATTTCCCAGAGGTCCTCGAGCACCATCTGGTTGCCCTCCCACGCGATGCCATACTTGTTGGCCGGGCCGTTGCCGTCCGCCGGGAAGTTCTGCAGCACGAGGATCTTGGAGCGCAGGTCGCCGAGCGTGGGCAGCGGCGCGGCGGGGTCCCATTTGTAAAAGTAGCGGTAGGCCTGCTTGGCAGTGAGGGCCGATTGGTAGCGGTAGTAGTTGAAGGCCTCCTCAAACGTGCGCGTGTTGTGCTCGCCGATCGGCGTGCCTTCCTGCTTGACGCGGATAACAAGCGTCTCGGAGGGGTGCGCTTCCAGGAAGTTGAACATGTTGAGCAGCACGTCCTGGTAGGAGAAACCGGTGTCGCCATCGCCGTGGTAGATGTGCAGCTCGTTGTCACGCAGACGAGCGCGGACGTCAAAGTAGCGCAGACCAGCAGCGAGCTGGGTAGAGAGGTTTGCGTTCTGGCATTGAAGCACCTCGCTGCCAATGGCGTACGTCATGGTGTCATGGGTGCCAGGCACGCTGAGGCTGGTAAGGAGGGTGTCGTTGCGCAGGGCGCCCATCCACGACGGGTGCGCCAGCGCGCCGGCGTCGAAGCTAAAGGGGCTGTTGAAGCCGTGATAGCAGGCGGCCGCGACGATGCAGGGCGCAGCTGCGGCGAAGAACGTGCGAAGGAGGAGCATGGCGGAGAGAAAGGTGACTGCAAGCCAGAAGAGGTAGGAGATGGGGGAGCGGGAGCGTCCAAAGGGAGCGGCTACGTCGGGGCTGGACTTGCCGAGTAGTGGTGAGGACGGCGGGGAAGAGGAGGATGGTGAGGATAAGGATGAAGTAGAAAGACGAGATGGACGGTCAGGAGAGGGGCGACTATTTGAATTTGATACCATTGTTGTGCGTTTCGCTAGGCAGGAAGTGAGGTCGCTAGGCAGGAAGGACCAAAAACGTGCCCGCAAACGCACGCGGTGCTTCACGTGGCTGCTCTGCCTCCAACCTCAATAACAAGATGTATCTAACGTTATTTCAGCCTCGTTCTACCTTTCGCTCTCCGAGAATCTGATGTAGATGACTTTCGAGCAGGAAACAATGATGTGCAGGTCGATCCCTGCCCATGTACCTGGTCCTCGTAGCCGAAGTCCAATGACCAACGGCGCTGTCCGATTCTCTCCACGTGGGGGAACCATCCCCGAGTACCCTCCATACCTCTGGCAGCAGCGCCAAAGAGGCGGCGAACTGGGCCATAAAAATATATTAAATATTGAATTTTGATCCTCAATCTCATTCTCCGAGAAGAAGGCGATTTTTTCATGTCGATAACTGCCCATGCTACTTAGTCATATTCTGGTTGGTGGGAGCACCATTCACATCCACGGTCGGTAGTTGGATCTACGCGGTCCAAGGTCGAATAGTTACGAGCTGTTATTATTATGACAGCCAAAGTAATCTAGTCACGAATTCTTCCAGTATTTACAGTTCCCTTGCAGAAAAGTGCCTGGCCCAGCTAGGTTCAAGAACGGGTCGTTAGTCAGTGTCCGAGCACGTCCATCCCGCTCTCCATCAACTTACAAGGGTGAAGGTGCAGCAAGCAGGCACCATACCGAAATCGCAACCATAGTAATCAGCTAAAAACAGCTACCGTCAGTCCAAGTTCAGTTCAGATGTCCAAAATCATTAGTAACATACGGCTCTCGCAGTCCAGGGTAAGGATACCTAGGACGTCGACGGCGCAGCACTGCGGGTTGTTGTAGGTGAGGCCGCTGGGACAGGTGAAGGGCCCCAGAGGTATGGCGAGGCCAACCGTGGCAAAGAGAGCCGCGGCAAGGGAAGTCTGCATCTTGATTTCTTCTTGTTTTTGATAGTTATGAGTAGAGTAGATGATGCTTAGTAGGCGATGAAGCTGCTTTCGGCGGAAATGCCTGGGGCAAGACGTAAACTTAAGTACTCCCAGCAACTGGTAACACGAGCTCCGGAGATACATCTCAACACCAGTACTCGAGACCTATACGTTTGTAAAACATGTGCGACATGAAACTCACATATACGAACCACGGCCCTGCTGTTCTACCTGTTCTGCCTGCCGCAACAGAAACCATGAACCTCTTCAGGCCGTTGCATCATGTGCGTCTTAAACATTTGGTCATCAAGTTGTAACAGCAAGGGGGAGGAGGCACATAAAAGTACATCAAGCAGTAATCGAGTTTTCAAACCAATACAACTGACACTGCCCTAGACATTCTCAGCCTTGTGCACCTAGCCGTGCGTCGGCTTGGGAGCCACGCTCTGCACCCCTCCATGTTTTGTCAACTATTGCCAGATCATGTTTCTGCTTTCAACCGTTTATTTCTCACAATATCTCTTTATCACTTCTTCAGCCCGTAGCTTCAACAAAGATCTTCTTGGAAAACGGCCATTTTCTGGCTAATGCCGCATCGCATGACTACTGAGAGCCTCCAAGCGCACCCCGCATTCGGAAGGCAATCTACTTCAGAGCGCCTTAACTGCCGGCAGCGTAACGTGTCACTGCAGATGCATCCGTTTACCATTCAGTAAACCTGTAATTTATTTTCATCAAAAACAGTAAAAGGTGCGTATACCTCGTGACCCATGATCCTGATGGACGCGTTGACCGAAGGTGTCGCCGGCGGGCAAGTTCTTGACTCAAGTTGACGAGGAAATTCATCCCTCGCTCCCATAACATCTTGTGCAGACTGAAGCTCATTCGTTGCACGCCCAGAACTTATATACGCAAAGGATTGAGTGCAGGCTTTTAGCTGCTCGCCAAGCGCCTTCTTGCCAAGCCGGATCGTGAAATGGTTATCTGCAGCCCTGCCACCCAGCGTTCTTGGCGCGCAGCCCTGCCGAGGAACTGAGAAAACGGGACCCCGTCCGGCCCAGAATCATGGAATTACTCCTCTCAGACCTCTTCGAAATATTCCACTCTCTTTGTCGATGTTCTTGTTCCCGCGACCCCTGGGGAACCATCAGCGCGCGATCGGGAAAATGGATTCCCACGACTTACAAGCCTAGTTCCTGCTTACTATGGAGCCGCTTGGACAAGATGTAGCAAATTTCACCAAAGGAAGATTTAAGAACTGACCAACAAGGAGGCCCTCAGCCGTTCAGCGAGCAGTAGAAGCACTGAAATGCAGAAATAGTTCAAGGAATCGTGAAATCAGAATACTGTTCTGTGCATTGAGGAAGGTGATAGAGCACTGTCACCTTGTATCCCCGGACCGGCCGAGTTGCTGTCAAGTCACCGTCTCCGTTGCGTTGCGTTGCGGGACAAGCGTGATCAAGAACATTGCTAGTTAGTTTAATTGTCCGCAAATGGCCCGATTTCCTGGGGACAAAGAGATCGGCAGGCACAACCTCGTCTGCTTTTCCTCCTTGGGTCATGTTGCGTCAACATTGCTGACCTGCCTAATTTGTGAGTTGGCCGTTGCGGTGAAACTCTGGCTTGTTACACGTCTCCCCGAATGGTTGTAGGCTCGCTCCGCCTTTGACAGATTGATGGATAGCAAGGATCATCACTGCCGTTCATCAGGTGGTGCTTTCTGCTGCAACAAGGCAATTAACTTGGGGGCGGTAATCGCCCTCCCAAAAGGCTTGGAAAGGCTCTCGACACAACTTGAGCGTTCCTCGACTTCTGCCGGGAACGTCACCTTTAGCTCCGGTCCTTATCTCGCCTTGTCGCTGGCAGACTCACCACAATGCTGTCCCGCCCAAGCGCGGTCATGCATGCCTCGCACCCCAAAACGGGCAATCAAGGACGAAGCCAGGGACAAGAGCACGACTGCGATCATTCCGCGCTGCCCAGCTAGCACCGAGTGTGCTAATCTACCTCGGCCGTCCCATGTAACGTTGTCAGCTCTGACGCGGATCAGGCGTTGGCCACGATAGGAAGCTGCTTCTAACAGTACGGGGGAGCATCCGGCCAAGTGCGGCGATTCTCATCACCGTCAACTCTTGTATGCGCAAATTGCCTCTGCCTGGTGAACACTTTCGTCCCATTCAATCTTCCTTGCAACGTATTATCCGACCAATTCTTCCCTGGAATGATAGCGTCTTATCTCTATCCTTCTTTAATATACCAATTGTCCTTGGAGACGCTTTAGATCTCTCGATACGCGCTTGGTGAACCCGGAGCTACTCCAGCGCGCCCCACGGTGCTTCCTCCACGGCTTCCGCTCCCCTGTCTAGCACGGCCTATGTGGTGCGGTGTCAGACTCGACGTGCCCGGGACGGCGGGCGAAAGCTCTCTCTGGTCTCTGATTAGTGCATCTTTTCTGCGCCGGCGAGGCCCGAGATGGACTTTCCGCCATTCGGCGCTGGTCTGCGGCGGTGGGTGAGAGCGGTTGTTGATCGCCGTGACATGAATGGTACATGTATAAACAAGTCCATCACTGTTGCGACTCTGATATTTGTATAAATAGTAGGCCGTTTCGTCTTCTTCTACCGTGTTGATATCCCCAAGCATCAGAAGAGCCGGCCATCTTCACCCACATCTCCTTCTACTACCATATCAACTTACACACTTACCTTGACGGTATACACACACAATGCTCTTCAGCACTTCCACCATCGCGGCCATTGCCGCCCTCACCTCCCTCGGCGCAGCCGCTCCCAGCCGCACACTCGACGCCCGCGCCGCCGCCGGCAAGCTGACCGTGTACTGGGGTGCCGAGGACGACAACCTGTCGCTGATGGACGTCTGCAACGACCCGACCTACGACATTGTCAACCTCGCCTTCCTCGCATACTTCAATAAGGCCGGCGGCTACCCGGGGCTCGAGATGTCCGGGCTCGACGGGCCGTCCGCCGCGCAGAAGAAGGCCGGCGCGACCGGCCTCAAGGACGGCAGCCCGCTCGTGCCGGCCATCAAGAAGTGCCAGGCCAACGGCAAGCTCGTCATCCTGTCCATGGGCGGCGCGACCGACTACTCCAACGTCCGTCTGGGCAGCGACTCCGAGGGCGAAAAGGTGGCCGACCAGGTCTGGAACCTGTTCCTCGGCGGCACCGACCACAAGGAGCTGCGTCCGTTCGGTGACGTCAAGCTCGACGGTGTTGATCTGGGTATGTCAATTCATAGAAGGGGAATTGGAGTATGCAAATAAACTAGGCAAGAAACTGACTGGTGAACGTGTAGACAACGAAACGAACAACTCCACGGGCTACCTCGCCATGACGAAGCGCTTCCGTGCCAACATGGGCAAGGACGGCAGCAAGAAGTACTACATGACGGCCGCGCCGCAGTGCCCGTTCCCGGACCAGTCGGAGCCGCTCTCCGTCTGCAAGCTGCTCGACTATGTTTGGGTGCAGTTCTACAACAACGGCGACTGCAACATCGCGCAGTCGGGCTTCAACGCCGCCGTCAAGAACTGGTCCAAGGGCATCGGCAGCGCCAAGCTCTTCATCGGCGGCCTGGCCTCCGGTGCCGACGGCGACGAGGGCTACGTCGACTCCAACACGTTCATCAAGGCGATCAACGGCGTCAAGGCCATGAACCTGCCCAACTATGGCGGCGCCATGCTCTGGGAGGCTCAGCTGTCCAAGAACAACGGCGACTACGCCAAGAAGATTCGCAGCTCCGTATAGATGAGTTGAGGGTGGTGATGATGATGAATGCTCGGTAGCACGGGGGACTTCATGTATATATTGCTTTTAGTTTCCAAATGGAATGAACATATTCAACTTACCTGTTTCCATCATGACTGCGAGATGGCCGCATCAGTATATATTGCAAGATGTTCAAAAACTTTGGAGAAGTCTCTCCATGTATTCAAATCTTGGCACAGGTGTCTGCGAGATTATGGAAGGAAGGGTAGAGCAAGGTAACGGAAAGGTTAGCCCGAGAGGAAGCAAGACGTGGAATTGCAAAAGGACGCGCTTCCAACGATTTACCCGGGACTAACATTTCTGTGTCACTAGGGTAATAGGATGAATCTAACTGATGTGCTCTCTTAAGGCGCCTATTATCTGACACTTTGCTCTGAGGTGCTACAAGCTTGCTGATCAGCGGAAGCATCAGATGGCAGGTAAATGCTACACCGCAACGTCGCATTGCAGATCATCGAGGTTGCCAATAAGGACAGAATGACCCAGCCGGGTCACGAAGAATGGTAATAAAAAACGGTCATGCCCACGATTCTCGTATTTGGCAGGGCAGTGAGCATCCTCGGCGGTGGCAGGAACCCTTGCGCGACGCCTACGCGCGGGCCGGCCAGGCGTCCAATCACAGCGGAAAGCCGACGCCAAGATTTCGTGTTAAGCAGCAGCGGAGCTTCGATTTTTTGGGGGTTTGGGTGGCATGACCTCGTGCCGTGCATGCACGAGTTTCGTACAGGGTCCTGGGCGTTCGTATATCTGTAGCTCTGCGGAGGGTTCGGAAAAGGGGTTAAGGGCGCCGCGCGGGAACCATGGGCTGGACAACGAGCGTGTGGATGTTGAGCAAACATGATGTTGTTTCAAGCTTTTGATCTCAGTGGTCGCGCGCGGGAGATTACAAGCTGCGCATCACAGCTGCAGCCTGCAGGCCAGCTTTGCAGTCACTTTGGGGGTAAGACATTTTGAACGAGCCGTTGCGATGCCTCTCTTGGATCGTTCACGACACGGGTGGAGATTGGTGGCTGTTTTGGGGGCTGTTGATTCCGTATCCTTTGCTTTGTTTGTGATATCTATGTTTGATCGGTAGCACGTTCGATACGCAGTTCCGATTTGATCGTTGCATTGTGATGTCCGAGCCGAGGGTGACTCGTCGGGTCGGCGTTTGCTTCCCTCATGATGCACTACACAACAGTACTGGACCGGAGAAAAGCAGGATTCCCTCCTTGAAGAAACGGGATCGGAAAGAGGAGAAAACTCTTGGCTGATGGTTAGAGATGGACTTGGGTCGCTTAAAGCGGCTGGGATGGTTCATGTCAGCCTCAAAGATGGTTGTGTAAGACAGGCACAAGACTGGCTGCATGACCTGTCTCAGAAAATAGGATCGGAGAAGACAAAGTTTTGGAGCTGCATGTGCATGTAAGCGATTGTTTCGTGCGTCTGTTTGTGTGCGGAAGGTTTCCACGGACGGCAAACGGGCAGCTGTCAGAAGTTTTTGTTAGGCGTTTGCTGTTGCTCATTAGCAGGAGGTTAGCCATTTGCCCTCTGTCAAGGTTGCAATTGAAACAACCGCCTTGCCCTTCTAACAAAAAAAGGAAATCATGATAGTTGAACCAGCATACAACTGGCCTACGAAATGTTATGTCTTGCAACCTGCTCATGAACGGCAAGCACACTACTGGCCACCTTTGGCACTAACTACCTGTACCGTGCATTATGCAGCAAATGACTCTGCCTCACTCAGTCAACACCATCCGAACGGCATCTGAGACTCGATCTGCATGCAAGCATCCAAACAATGGGTGAAAAAGACAAAATTTGCCAAGCTGCTAACGTGCGCCACCGCCGGCGCAGCGTTTCCGACATTGCCAGGCCGGGCCGGACGAGTTCAGCCAGTGACGCCACGGCCCAGGGCCACGCGATATTAAGGAATTACAGTGGGCGAAAAGAATAGTTGCTGCTAGTCTTGTAGATTGTTTAAATCTGTGGCGAGCGGCTTGTTGCCGGGATTCAGAAACGCCGTCCGACCGAGGCAGCGCTGGCGAACACGGGCTTCCCCTCTTCACCGCAGTTTGTCAAGTACAGTGCCAGCGTAGCCAATGGCTGTTCATTGTTGTGATGTGGCTTGACAAAGAGGGGGATGATTTGCTTCGGGCATCACATGGAAGACGGGATAAGGCAAATGCTGCGCGATCTGCATCTCGGTCATGCTCGCCTCATGTACTGGGGAGGGGCGGCTGGAAAGCGGGCAGCTGGACGGAGAAGGGAGCTTATCACGGGCACCGTCACGTATTTATTGAATACCGACTTCTGGGCTCGAACAGGAACAAGTAAAGCGCAAAACCAACAACGGCATCCTTATCCATACTATCCTTGGTTCGAAGTAGATGTCCGAGCGGTTAATGAGCGCAGGGGCCAGGCAGACAGGCGGAGGAGAAGAGTCGGACGATTGTGGGCTCGCCTACAATGGTGCATACTGGCTCGGGATATGATAGGTAGCTCGGCGTCGCTCTCCGCTTTTGTGATCGGACAAGTCCATCGCTTGCAGCCGTGTGAGAATAAGAAAAGGGAGGGTTCGCCAGTTGTGGCACCACAGGAGTTGATTGAACGACAGGGGCCGGGATGCCGTGGATGTGCTGTAATGCGACTAGCGGATTGACTTTGATAGCCTAAACTAGCATTTTGGAATTGACTTTGTTGTGGACCGTAAATCGCTGCGCGTTTACAGCTCAGCGAATTAAACGCGTGAAATGGATCGGAAGTCTTTTCTTCCGCATGTTTTTAAACTGAGGTTTATGGCGGCTTGGCAATGACGACTCGGTGCAAGTATTGGATACTTGACCCACGCTCGCTCTCGGAGCCTTTGTTTGCATCGGGGAGCGCCCGTGCTCACCCTCGGCGACGGTACCTATAGCTAGATTCTGATTCTACCTGCTTTGGAGGGAGTATAGGCAAAGAAAGTATCATTGCCTTGTTAAAAGGGCAGTGTAGACTTGGGTGTCAATTCTTCTCCAGACCAAGGCTACAATTCCCATCTGCGAAGCATAATCTTGCTGCTGCATTGTTCTTGATTGTCTCTCGAAACAACACTTGAGGCAATGCCTTGATATGGAAAAACATGATCCCCCCGGGCCCGGCCCGTCTTTCTCATCTCGAAACTCATGGGACCGGGCATACGATCAAAATCCATTCTTGGGATACCCCGATTGAAGAGAAGATGATTACGAACTACGTCACAGAATGGTTTTACCAAGTGAAACTTGCCGAGATCTTCAAGGCGACGTACAAGTCGTATCCAAGCTAGGATCCGGCGTTGACTTCTAACGTCTGGCTTCGCCGGTATCCCCAGTAGGTTCAGCATTGCTCCCGCGCCGGTTTCCTACCGGTGACGTGAGGGCAAATAGTCATGACTGGCTACCTATTCACGATGGCTGGTTTTGTCAGATACATCTACTCGGATTTAATTACACAAAATCCAGATACCTTTTCCCTGAAAATGCAGTGAGGCCTCTGCTTCAGCAGACCCTGCTCATGAGTGTTCACTAGGCCAGGGTTTCCTCTATGCTGGAGTTGTAATTGGTACACGCAGGTATATACTACCAGATTTGACTATTAATCAGCTGAAGTGCTCGCTTGAGTGCATCTGTAATTTGTCCCAGACATCTCGCCGGGGACGAGGCGTTGATGACTGCACTCCTTCGTAATAGAGGGCTCCCTGAACATCGCTTGTCTGCACGGGGGCTTCTCTTCCTTCGACAACGGATTTCTCACGTAGTGCCTGTAACGATACATGCAGTCCTTGGCCCTTGTCCTGCTCTTATTAGGCAGTCTACTCAAATTAATTCATCGGGTTCTCTTAAACATACTGTTATTACTATTACTAGTTACACCAGAGCCGAGCGAGCGGAGCCCCCTTGTCGTGTGGGAACATCTGGGGTGCCTGGGTAGGACAGGAGGGGTAACAGAACGGGGGAACGGAATGCAGCCTGCATGCTGGGATGCTGGGGTTAGATAAACAGAGGCAAGTGGCTGATAAGCGAGGAAGGGGATATCGCTGCATTGATACTATGCGTCGCACATTCTACAAATTTTCAGCAGATGAATCTCGAAAAGTGAAGGCAAAAAGAAAAAAAGAGATTCGTCGAATAAAGTTTGATGGCTAATATTACAGGGCCACACGCTGGAGCAATGTACCTGGTACTTGGACAACCCATGGGCAGATGATCCGGCCGAGAAATCAAGGCAGCCCCGTAGCAGTGGTGCTGTGGTTCCAAATAGTGTGATGGTGCTGGCCGATCCACAAGGAGCAATTTTTATATTAACCAGCACATATTAGTATTAGCGGTATTGATGGCTGGCCATCGTGAGGTAAAGTTACCCAGGGCGACTCCTCCTGTTCAGCGGCCCGTTTAGTCGGTGGTTATTGCTGGCCGAAGATTATGGTGTCCGCGACACGGAATTTATAGGTGTTATAGGGCCTTCGTTGTGGCGTCAGCCACAGAGCAGATGGACAGGCAAGGCATGTACGGATATGGCGGATGGATTTCCACTGTTCTCGATAGGACGCGGGTGTGTGCCAGTATTGTACATCACAATTGCGACTCTCGATGCCACCAACTATCCTCCGGAGCCCGAGTGATTTGTTGCTGGCGGCTTCCCAACTGCTGTATTTTGTCTCCCTTCTTTCTGCTTCCCCTTCTCTGGTGAGCTAAGGTACCTATGTACATACCAAGGTGCTGCTGAGCCACTGAATGTAGCAGCACATACTGCAGGAAGGCCCGCAGCGTCTTGCTCCTTCCCTGCTTCCCTGCTTCGGCTCCTCCTCTCCTCACCCCATTTGTCCTGGCTTTCTCAGTCCAGTCCCAGTATTGCAACGCACCATCCATTCATTCATCCACCCACACAAAGGCCCTCACTTCTCCCTCCTCTCCTTCTCACCAACCACCCACCAAAAGGCCGGCCAGAAGTTGCCTTTGCCATTCATCACTCATCTTTCGTCCATCTTTTTCGAATCTCGCGACGACCGATATCCCAAATCCTGGCAGTGGTCTTGCACATCCCAACTTCGCCCTGTTGTTCTCGGGCGAGACAAGACACAGTCTTTTAGTATTCCCGCTGCCCATCGCGACCGTCTAGCATTCCAGCACCGACGGATTGTTCATTCGACTCCCCAATTTCCCTCGCTGTCACGAGCAAGAAAATACCCGTCGTCTCCCAACCTCCCCGCAGCGCGTGTCTTGCTCGGAGTTTAGCTGCTTGTCCACACGATAACAAAACAAGGCCTTCACTCGTCGCCGCATCGTCGTTTGAGACCGTAACCGCCGACCCTGAGCCGCCTTGTTGTCCATCAACGCCTCGGCTATCTCTGTCGTTTTCGATCCATCCGTCACTCTTCCTGATTTCCTGTGCAACCCGAGCCTGTTTCTCGCTTCATCGCCTTTTTTGGAAGTCCCTTGCGTCTACTCACGGCTACTTCTCTCGACCTGTTACTCCCCGCTCTTACTCCAGCTCGTCCATCACAGCATCATCCACACCATCCTTACTAGCAGTTGTGATGGCCCAGCTCTGTTGACCACGCTTTGAAATCAGCATTATCATTCTTTTGCTCTTCAGACTAGTCACCATGTTCACGCCCACAAAACCCGCTGGCCTTCTATTGGCCTTTTCGACCCTTGCCCGTCATGCGTCTGCACTCGACTTTAACATCTGCGCCGATTTCAATACCGCATCTGGCAGCACCAGTACGTCAAATGGCATATGCCTCAAGTATCAGTTGCTCCGGACCCCTTGCGTTGCTAACTCGCTCCGTTAGATACGTCAAACCTCCAAAGTAACGGTCTTTGCTCCGACTTCTGCCGAAGCAGCTACGTTTTTGCCATCACCTCGCATGAGAGCTGCTGGTGCTCCAACTACGAGCCTGCTAACGGCAATGTTCTCGACAAAAAAAACTGCGACTTTCCCTGCCCCGGCTATCCCTTCGAATACTGTGGCGGCAAATCCAAGAACACCTTCGGTTATATTAGTCTAGGCCCTCAGCCATCTGGCACCAAGGGCTCTGGTGGCGATGGCAGTTCCTCTGCCACCTCGACTACTCCCTCCTCCAAATCCGTAAGTTTTGGAATCTCTCTCGGCCTGTCATTTCCATACCCAATCCTCTATTTTATGCATAGCCACATACCGTCTAATATGAGACGCTCGTCTGTGATTTATTCCCTGGTTTCTCCCACGTTTTCTCAGGCCTGGACCACGAGTTGGTATTGGCAGGGGTAGTAACCAAACAGTCCAGGAATCAACAACTCCATCCTCAAGTACTTCTTCGTCTCCGTCCACGACGCCGTCGACTTCATCATCATCTGTATGACACCCCTGTCACGATCACACCTGATGCAAGCGCCATCAACCTCGAATTGTCAAGCTCCGACGCTTTCCCATTCCAACGACGTGATACACACCTACACGGACGCACGCGCACGCACATTCATCAAGTGATGATATATTAACCAACGACGTGACTCACGTGTTTTTGTGTTAATATGCTGACCAAAATTCATTAGACTCAACAACCCTCGAGCAGTGTTCTCTCAACTGTCACAGTTGGTGGTAGGGTGACTACAGTCATTGTGGTGCCCACATCAACCGGCGATACAAGCCAAGACAACAAACCTGTTCCTTCTGGCAGCTCGGGCCTTGGCGGTGGTGCTATTGCCGGCATCGCGATTGGTTCCATCGCCGCCGTCGCCCTCGTCGGCCTTCTCATCTGGTTCATCATTCGTCGCCGCAAGCAGAATGATGACGAGTTGAGAGATGATCCTAGTGTGCGTGGCAGCTCTCGCGGCAGAATGGGATCTCACCAGCAAGATCTGAGCATAGCAGGATCAGCCGCTTCGCCGGGCTCGGCTGGCAACCGTAACAGCATGCTGCAGGTAGACCCCCGCATGGACCCGTTCAAGCAGGGCCTGTACATGCGAAATGGCAGTGCCGAGAGCATCAACACACTGAGAGACGAGCATGACTATTCGAGGCGCATCCAGCAGCCTAAAGTGCTGAGAGCCACAAATCCTGATCCCGACTCTTGAGCCCAGTTGCTCCTCAGGCGACAGGTGGTGTTGATGCATCACATCAAAACTTTGCCTACATTCGCAAAGACTGTTAATTTAGTGACATGACTTGGAGGGGACCCCAGCATGACGACGTATACGATTTCGATTCCGTGGTCTCCAGACCGTTCACATACACTCGGGGGAAGTGAGACTTGTACGCTGCTTCGGATGCAGCGCTAGGCGACTCCGCGCGACTGCCCGTGGCGTACGGCAGCGTTTTTGTCTGCCCTGAGCGCGAGAGTCTCTCTTCTCCCTTTTTCTTTCTTTTTCTTTGATCATTTTTGAATAGAGGAGGAACCAGAAGATGGTTCAATTGGCCGGTCAATATGCTCGACACTGCGAAGTCGCTGGTGTGCAGAAGAGAGACCACTGGCTTGGATGAATAAAGCGGGTGCTTTGTATTCTGGGTTGTTTTGTTATTTTTTTTATTGCATTGAGGGCCTCGAACAATTAAAAGCAAGAGGACTCGCCCAGCGCCTGGGACATGTTGTTTTTGACCGTCTTGGTCCATGAGTATGGTTATTTTTGGCATTACTTATTACCCTCTTGTTCTCCGCCGTTTGGCAGTTCAATTTTGTATATAGGAAGTAGAGAATTGGCAAGGGAACGGACACTCAGTCATTGGACAAGGCACAGGAGGAGGGAATATAATTTCGCGTGGTACTTGATAGCGAATTACAGTACATTTGCCATTGCTACATGCTATTTTGCCTGGTGCTTCGTGTTGCATCGCCAGCATTAACATCCGTAACGTCGGTGGCTTTTTGTCTCTTCAGCAGGTCTGGGACACTGACAGCTTGGGGGCCGTCTCGCCCCGTTTCATGCAGGCTGTGTTTCAGGCTCGGGTCCAGGTTCAGACGATTTCCTTGGAAGTTCCCGTCATGGTACCAAAAAAAGCAAAACACGAGCTGAAGCGATCGACGAATTTCTTCTTGCCCTACTTTTTAGTGACCTCCTTGTAATTTCAGGCACAGGAGGAAAAACAAAAAGGCACGGCATGGCAAAAAGGACAAAGCGATGAAATAAACAACCAAGTGGTTACATAACGAGTTGCTATTCCGTCCTTTCCACCAACCCCTGTCATCGACTTCGACGTTGTTGCAAGGGTTGTTGTGGAACACTACTCGCTACCTCTTGGCTTCACCTCCTCCTTTGCTATCAAAGCAAACCAGGGCCAGGCCAAAAAAAAAGAGAGAAGGGGGAGGGGGAGGAATGATATCCATAGATATGAGAATGATTTTGACCTTCCAAAATGGTGTAAATGTGTATACAAAGTCTGCAGTTCCTCTTTTCGTTTCATTCATGCTGAGAATAAAAAGAATGCTGTAAAATACTGATGATGTGACCAAGCACGCAAAGACTAGAAGAAACAGATGGGAAATCGTCACAAGAAAGCCAAAAACAAATCGCTAAGAATCAGACAAATCGCCAATAGCACACATTAAAACAGATAACCTTTTTCCCGCAGTTAGCGCCCCTGCGGAGGAGGCTGCCACATCGCCTGGCCAATGACACCATGTTCCTCGGCCTGGTGGTACTGCTGCTGCGAGGCATACGGGTCTTGCGGCCAAGCCGCGGGTGGCTGCCCGCTGGGTCTCTGCGCGGATGGGTGCTGTTCTTGCGGTCGCGGACTGTTGTTGTAGCGGGCCTCATATGGCTGAAGATACGGCTCGTGGACCTGTGTACGGGGCGGGGAGTTACTTCTTGAGTCGTCACTTCCACTGCCAAAGGGCCGCGAGCGCGGGTTTGTCTGGGCGTGCTGCATGAGGCCGGCGCTCTCCTCACCGCTGGTGACAGCCACACCGAGGTCGCCTTCGCGGGTCGGGCGGACAGGTGCCTTGCCGACGTATGGGTTCTCGCCGCCCACAGGTGGCTCCTCCATGGTAGTGCCGGGGCGGTAAGCGTCATAGGAGGAGTCTTTGCCCTTGTGCTCGTCGAGATTGTCCATGTCGTGGGCGTCTTGGCGGCGGTAGCTAATGTCCTCCTTGCGGCGGCGGATACCACAGAAGAGCCAGCGCATACCGCGGCCAAAGGCCTTGATAAAGTCCCAGACGTTCATGGCGTCCCAGAGGGCAGCAAAGCCCAAGAAGCCACCCTGAGAGCCCTCAAGTTCGTTAGGGAGAGCCCTGTTGTCGCCCTTTTGCAGGTCAGGGTTGGGGTAGTAGCGTGGTGTAGCACCGTACTGAGTGTATGGCTTGTAGGGGAAAGCCCAAAGATGAAGCAGAGCAAAGACAGCCATTTCAACGCAGAGTAAAAGCGCAGGGATGCCGACCTTGATATCGGGATACGCAAGCACCTTGTTGGCATGGACAATGTGCAAAGTCGAGGTGCCGACGGAAATGGCAGAAGCCTGCCAGAAGGACAGGAAGACGACGAGTTTGATGGCGACGATCTTGATCAAGAGCTTCTGTTCCTTGAGGGGTTCTTTGAGCTGGACATAGACCTGGATCAGACAAAACATGGCAACTGTGACGGCAAGCGCGTTGAGGACAATGATCTAGCAAACGGATTAGTTGGCCTAGGTTGCTGAATCCGGGCTTGAATGATTGCATACCCAAATGTGAGCAAATATGGGGCTGTTGGAGCTTTCGCAATACTTTTCGAAGTACTGGGAAACGACTGCGGAAACGGTCATAGCAACGCGGACAAAGCAGTACTGGTAGACGCCGATCCAGTTGATGTTGAACCAGGTGAGGCCGCTCTTGGGGGTACGCCAAGGACCGCGTTGGCCACCACAGCAGGCGGCGAACCAGTTGACGGGCATGACCCAGGGCTTTACGGGCCGCATGTTGCGGAAGAATTCCTTTTGGGAGTGCAGGTCCGGGGCGACATAGTGGCAGAGTAGGGCGAAGAAGGAGGCAATGGCGAAAGCCTCGTAGCAGTCTGAGATAACTTGAAAGTAGATGGCATGTCGGTACCACTGGATCTGCAGGAAGGAGGAGATGGCGTAAACTGGGACCATGAAGAGGATGCGAATAATGCTGCGAGGCGATTGTTAGCTTTGTGTGTGCTAGGGAGCAGGGCGCAGGGGGCAGCGGCGGCTTACTATCGTTGTTCACGAGGTTTGGTGTAGTGGAGGGCGTGCATCCACGCGAGGTAGACGCTGAGCATGACGGCTATCAGGGTACATGCTGCGCCGATGATGCGGGCGAGCTCGTGGAAGGTGAGGTGCCCGACGATTTCGATCTCGTCACCGGGTTCGACTGGAGGGGCATGTTAGACTGGCGGGGGGTGATATGACTGGGCGAGGATCAACAATGCATACTTCTCAGATGCTCCAACGTGTTGTTACACGTCAGATTCATCTTTCCGGTGGAATACTAGCCCGGAAGCCAGACGTAAGAGGCGATGGAATGTATCTCGTCGGGCGAAGTAGGCTTGGGCGACTCGTCGTAGCAGCCGAGAGGTCCGGTTCGGGCAAGGAAGCGCAAGCCGGCCACGGATTACCTCAACGGGCGCGGTTTGGTTGTAATTGTCGTCGCAGTGGAGAAACGGACAGCAAGTTTCGGCGGCGCGCGGGAGCTGAAACGCTCACGGAACGTTGATTAGGCGAGCAAGCGGCTGTTTGGCAGGGCGGCCGCAACTGGTAGAAGCAGCTTCGTCGCGGCGTTTTCGCTTGCTTGGTGTCGAAGAAAGAGCACGAGACAGCGAAGGGAATGTCTGCGCAGCGGTCGATCGGGTCTCAAGCGGATCGTCTTTTTCAACGCGCGGCCAAGAGATTTGGCGTGAAATCGGGAAAGGGCGGGCGAACTTGGCGATGGGGCGGTGCCTTTGGTGGGTGGTGATGGTTTGGCGAGGGAGGCTAGAGCGATGGCGAAGGGGACATTAGACAATACGACGTGTGCACGATGCAGAGAGGGATGCGATGCGATGTGGCGAAGTGAGTTTATATGACAGGTAAGAAGGAAAGAGGCGTGAGAGCAGAGGGACGGAAAGACGAGGAGAATGTATTGGTCAGATCAGACGGGTAGGATGACGACGGCAGAAGTTGATGAGAGGACCAAGGCTCTGGGAGGGGACCTGCTGCGTGCCGCAAGTGGCTGGGCGAGTAATGTGCCTGAGAGGTAGGCCGGGTACCTCCCGTGGGACAGTTAGAAGGACGTTTTACTGCTTGTGGCATGAAGAAAATGCCCTGGCAAATGCCCCAAGTCCCCAAATCTGCCCTGCCACCCCCGCCACCCACTGTACTATGGGGGGTCCAGGAACCTTCAATGCCTGGCTCGTTCCTGATCCGACCGACTACCACAACCTCCCTTCCCTTTACTGGTATGAACCCGAGCCTGATGACGGCACAGCCACACCAAGTCGTGGTTATGCGCTGGCGTCTCACAATGAGCCAGCTTCAAACAAGGTCAGAGAATGCGCATAACAGGGTCACGAGTAATAAAACAAAAACAAACGGGATTCCTTGCACCGTCGTTCTTCCTCCGTGTCCTTTTCTCTTTCCCTCTGCGCGGGACCGAGAGCGAATCCGACGAACAAACAGGATGGGATTGCCGTCGGCAGCAAATCTCTGAACAAGTGCTGCCAAGCGTTCTTGGCGGGAAAGATACCCTCTAGCTTACGAATATTCTAGTTACCCGTTTTTGATGTGGGCTTCTGTTCACCGGTAATAACGCGTCAAAAACTTGTCAAATCCTTGGCCTGGGCTGGGGGCCCAAGGGGCAAGGTTAGCGCACGAACTACGGGGATACAACAGCTTCGCTCTCCCAGTAAATTATGATGCCTATACGGATACCGAGCGCGCATCTCACTCCTGCCAGCACATGAAAGACTCAAGTTGCGCAAAAGAACAAAAAAATCGGCCCTCGGCGGTCGCCTCAGCCACATCATACTACACACAGCGCTTCCTCCTCATCGCCACCCAAACTTGGCAATGACGGCAACTTTGACTTTCACGGCCGATGCTAAAAAAAGAAGCGCCTTTGTGGCTGTGCGCCCGCCTCGTCCCGCCCAATCTGTCACGTCCCTGGAAATTACCACTGACGTTTTTTGGGCCCTCTCTTTGTCTAGGTAGTTGTCTCGCACAAGCTTCTCTCTGGGCTTCATATCTACATACATAGGTAGTGAAGCCTACGAATCCTGCGGCAGGGAAACGTGAAAATAATGCGAGATAGAATGGACAACATGGAATGATAAACGATGAGGTAGAAAAGAGTTAAGACAAAGAAATTGAAATAGATTTTTTAATAGTTGATAGAAGCAAATGCTCATACAAACGCCGCCCAGACTCTTAAATATCAAAAGGATCATAGTAGCTCTGTTGGTTTCTTCTCCAACTCCCCATCGCCTTTTTTCCTAATTATACAGAGGTTCCTCATTCTTTTCTCAGACGCTCCTTTGTTTCCCCTTTCCACCTAGATGGACCAATACAATCGCTCAAATTTCATCTCCTCACTCGCTTCTCGCCCCTATCGTTGGACAGGTTGCCAAATCCCTCCTCGCTGCGTCTCTTGCGTCCGCGGTCATCGCGGTGGCGATCATCAGGCCTCTGTCCGCCGCCTCCGCGCCCACCGCTGACCCGGCCGTGATTGTTGGTATTGTTGGCGTTGCCAGGCCAGTCCGGTCCAGCGCCTGGCCCGCGAGGTCCTTGTTGCTCGCCAGCACCAGCACCGCCACTAGGGTCACCGCCCATGGATCGTCTGTCGCGGAACTCGCCGTGGCCACCGCTCTTGCCATCACGCTCGTGACTGCGCGGCCGTCCCGATCGTCCCGGCCGGTCACGGGTGTTGTCGCGGTAGCCTCGGCTCTGCTCTCGTCCAGCGCCGTCGCCATTTGAAGGGCCCTTTGGAGCGTCTATCCACCGAGTGTTTTCTTGCGCGGGCGTTGAAGGCTGTGAACCGCCCGCAAGCACCTGCGCGTCCGAATTGCCTCCCAACATTTGGCGAGATTGGTTGTGTCTGCCATGGATGACTCCCCTGCCGTTGTCCACCGATCCTTGTTGGAGAGCGCTGTTGATTCCCGCTAGTTGGCGACGGCCACCACGATGTCTATCGGTTGATGCTGAAGGTCCGGTTGGAATGCTTCCTTCAACAGTGCGATTCTGGCCCGGCGGAGGGCCAGGAGGAGGTGGTGGAGGGGGCGGCACTTGCGCTGATTTCCCATCAATCTTTGCTAGGCGATCTGGATGGACGCCGCTTGGTGTACCAGCATTCTCGCCGTTGGACCCTGCCGGGTTTCTTGATTGGCCTGCGTGCGACGGCGGTGCTGATCCTGGTGTGTTCGGCTCATAAGTACGGCGGCCCCGTCCAGATGCTGGGCCTGACGGTGGCTGTCGCTCTGTGGTAGGTGTCTGCATTTGGTCTGAAGGAGGAGCGCGATTATCCTGCTGAGGCGTTGGTCCGGAAGGAGTTGGTTGACCGCCTCTAGCGGCACCGCGTCCGCGCGGACGAGGACCTAACGGAGTTTCTGGTCCGGTGGGAACGGGGTTGAGTCTGCCGTAGTTGGGATCTTGGTAGCCTCCATGGCGCTTCTCCGAATCAGGGCCTCGACCTCCATAAAATGCTTCTGAACGGTCCGGCCCCTTGTCGCTGCGGAAAGAGCTAGAAGAGGTTGGCGAACGGTCTCGGTTGCGCCCTTGCGATCGATGATCAGCGCCATGAGCACGGCTGTGCCTCTCTTCCAGGTTAGGAGGGATTCCGCTGGGGGGTTGTTCGCCATGGCGACTGGAGCGTCGAGGCGAATGCGTTCGTGGAGTCCGGTCGCGATCGCGATCGCGTCCGTCATTCCTACTGGACCGCCCCGAAGACTTGTCATCGCGCTGCTCGAGGAGAGCGGCTCGCTCCGGGTTGATATTCTCAACGCTGCTAGCCTGCTCAGGTCGTTGAGGTTTGGGCCGCTCTAGATCCTGTCTGTTGCGCGGCATTATGACAGTCTCATCCTGAGCAAAGAGCGCTGCACGCTGAGGGTTCATCATCGGTTCTGCCTGCCCAGCTTGAGGCACTGGCGATTGAGCTGCCAGCTCGTCATTCTCGCGTGCACTTCTAGGGTTACGTGGTTGACGTTCCTGCTCTCTCGTCTTGCTAGCATCACCGTTTGCGCTATCTCGCTGTCGTTCTCGGTCGTTACGGCTCGGTCGGCCATCATGTGAGTCGCGGCCTTCTCGTCCTTCACGTGGCTCGCGCTGGTTGCGACCGTCTCTCCCCTCTCTCCCATCACGTCTCTCGTGGCCACGCGACTGATTAAATCGTTCTGGCGTGTAGTACCCGGGGATGGGCACATCCGGACGGATAGGGAGGTTAGGCCTGTCAGGAAGAGTGTTTCCTCTATCGACCTTCGCTCCTATCTTTGGTGTCGACGATCGAGACTGGCCTGATGCCGATGATTCTTCCTTACCCGCTTCACGGCTACCCCTTGTTGGCCTAGCGGGCAAGTTGTCTCTGCCGGGGCCAACTGGTGTAGCGCCTGCCTGCCTCTGCTTCATATCTGAAACCTCGCCATCTTCCTGCTCGCCAGGCCTGGATGCATTCGTCTTGGCAACGCCGGGCTTGAAGTTTGGCGCGGTAGCACGCAAAGAAGCAGCGGGCTTCTCTGTAGGCTTTGTGCCAACATCCGCATTAGCACGGAATACCTGCACCAAAACCCACTTCGACTTTCTCCGTTGCAGCTCTGATAGAGCACCTTGGGCAGCAACAGACAAATCCACACGTCCTCCAAGCTCGTCTTCGGGCGAGGTCTTCTGTGCCGCTTCCTGCTGCGTGATTTTCTGTAGTTGTGTCGAAAATTGAGATGCCATAAAGTCGATTGCCGGGAAAAAGTCAACCACGGACTTGAGCACGGTCAGGGCGTTTCGGATATGCATCCATTCGCTACCGCCCAGACAAGATTTCAAAGCACTATTCAAATTCTTGTGCCAGCCAAACAGTAGATCTCTAAATTGCGCATGCTCCACGAAAGTTAAAGGCTTGTCATCGTCGTCCACCGTGAGAACGAACCCGCGGCGACCGTTGTCACGAGGTCCAATGCCTTCCGTCTCGTATGCCCCTTGTGTTGTCTGATCTCTGTTCTTCGGACCAGGTAGGGGAGCATTCTTGTGCCACTTGGCAAGGTCTTGTAAAATGAGCTTGAGAAAACGTCCCAAGTACTCTGCCTCGCGAACGCTGCATGTAAAAATGAGGGTCCTCAGACGGTTGGCGTTGAATAGCCGGCTGTATAGTGACATGAGCTTGACACCCGGAGCGTTGTTGTCGTGTAGCAATTTCATAAAACGGAAGGTGTACTCAGCATCAGTAGGCGAAAGAAGTACGCGAGGCAGAATGCACTGCTCGAGGAGCACGTCAGATATAGCATCAGTCTTGGCCGTCGGCACAAACGACGACTGGAATAGGTTGGTGAGGTATTCGGTCCAGTTTTTTTGTGTCTTGACATGCTTCTTGCGATCTTCTAAAAGGTTGATTTGTAGTTGAGTAAGCTCCTTCCGCTTCTCGGTGCGTATCTCCTGGCTTCGGCGCGACATGTCACTGCGGTCGCGAAGAAGTGCAGACTCTTCCGCTTTGAGGCGGTCAGCCTCTGACTTGTAGATATCGACCGGGCAGTAAATGTCTCCGAGCTGTAGAGCCCAGAATGTCGTAGCGAGTTCTGGAGTAATCTTCTCCCAGACTTCGGTACGTGCGCTGGCCTTGACAGCATCTGTGAGTGGCTGCAGCGAAGCACTAATGCGCGCAACTTGAGCTTGGTTCTGGTCAATCGGTTCAGCTACATCTTTCGTAGGTTCATCTACTCCGTTCCTCTCCATTGCCAAGTCGCCATCCTTGTCAGGCTTGGTCGGGGTCCCCTTGGCTGCATCAAATTCCTCAGTATTCCAATCGAAGACACGCTGAGACAAGCTAGCGCGGCCAATAAGGAAAGCCAAGCTGACATCGAGGCCATAGGACAGCATTAACTCGGGTATTGAAGGCACGATAGCGTCAAATTCAGGTTGCTGGAGGTTGCTCCACAGAAAATCGAGATATTGAATAAGTGTTTGGTGCGAATCGTCGATAATGGAGGAGAGAAACTTCAAGTGGGCTTCATCCTCGGGAATCTGGAAAATCGTCGCCTGCCGGTACTGTGCCAGATTGACGAGCAGACGTGCCGCAAGCCCAGAGTCGGTGAGGGCTTCGATGAGGCGCTTCGAGCTCTTGATATTGTCATAGCGCTTGTCCCCTCCGCGAATGAGAGTGTGTTTGCGTAGGGATGGGAACCCCGCCATGGAAAGGATTTGGTAGTCAGTAAAATCAATCAAGTCAACGATGCCACCCATAGAGGAGATAAGCTCCTTGAGAATGATAAGATCTGTCGAATTTCCATGAAATAGTTGGTCGTTGACGTAAAGAAGGACCGGGGTGGCGTTGAGGAGAGAATAGCGGCGAAACACCTTGCCAGTAAATCTGGACAGGGCTTGAAGCCATTTGCTAGTGGTGAGGGCGTGATCGGCTTGCGTTCGGCTTCTGGACTTGCCAAGAGAGTTCATGAGCGACCAGACTAGGACATCATATGACAAGTCTGTGAAGTACTTGGCACATTCCACGAACGCCTCGATGAGGTTCGGGTATGATTCCAACTGCTCAAATGCAACTCTGAAGACAATACCAGGCGACGAGTAGCTAGTCTTCGCAAGCTGCTTTGCCATTTCGCTCAAGTTCGTCAATGAGACACGCTTCATTGTGCCTCTTGTCTCTGCTGTGGCTCTGGCAAAGGCAGTGCGCATAGCGGGAAGCCGGGAGGTCTGCCCCTCGAACCACTCAGCGTAGAGAGCATAGCGAGTGGTAATGGGATAGAGCTTCAAGAGATCCCAGATCGCATTCACGACCGCGGCGTTGGCTTTGGTGTGACTGAGAGCTGGGAGAAGTAATCTCTTCAACAGATCATGCCACTTCTTCAAATTTTCATCCGAGCTGTCTTGGGCTAAGCTCATGCTGCCGATGCTGGCAAGTTTGGAAAGAAGTGCTTCATCCTTGCCGATACAGACACCAGAGATGTTGAGGAATGTGCTGCAAAGAGTGAACACGTCATCAACCGTCTGGCAGACGGGAATGTGATCGGACCATTCGTCCCAGTAGAAGCGATACGTCTGATTTTCATTTGTATCAAACTTGTCGGGGAAAGGCCAACGCCAGAACTTCTTGACGGGAAGTCGAGTCAGCTTAACGTTGCCTTTCGGGATACCAGTTTGGTCCATGTCCGGGACGAATTTGGTGGGGCATTTGATGTCAACGGCCGATGAAGCTTTGCTATCGTTGTACACCTTTTCGACTGAAACATTGAGGATGCGATGAATTCTACTCAGAACCTCGGGGAAGGTTTCTGGTATCCAAGGGAAGCGTCCCAGGATGAATAATGACTCAGGAATAGCGCCGATGGTCAAAAGCTGTGTCAAGAAGGATACCTTTTGCTCCAGTGGCTCTGGCAACTGCAGTTTGGGCTCCTGGCCCTGTTCGGCAGTCTGCTTTGTCTCAGTTTCGATCCGCCTGGGGGGCTCCCTGCGTACTGCGTTCGGGTTGTCATCGTCGCCCTGAGGTAATACACCGGCCATGAGTAGAGCATTCATTCCACCTCCCCTGGAAGCACGCTCTTCCTCCTCGATTTTCTTCATCTCCTTTTCTCTTACTTGCTCCATCTCGCTATCAGCAGGGGAAAGGTGTGGGTAGAGGTCTGCGAGAGAGATGAAGCCAACTTTCACCAAGAGAGCAGCGAGATATAACAGGTTGGCAGGTAGGACATCGGCTTCTGCGCGAAGTTCAGAATTGTAAAAGCGAAGCTTAAATCCAAGGAGTTGAGCAGCAACGCGGTTGCCTGGGGGAGGCAAGGTGTTGGTTTCCTTGATCCATTGCTGCTCCAGATCCAGCGAGCCGTCGTTGGTATTCTGACCGTTTTTGACAAGGGCAGTTTCAATGGCTTTCTCTGGCACCCGGCGGCCTCCTAGTTCAAAGAAAGCGGCCAGATGAACCTCCCTTGCACGGTCCCAGAACTCGATATCTCGGAATTGCTTAGCCTCGGTATTGGCTAACTCGTCTTCGGGGCTTGTGGTCCAATCTGAGTAGCCGGGGTTTGCCCAGGTAGGAAGTCCAGCCGAATAAGAGGGGGAATCGAGTTTGATCTGAGAGCGTGGCCACCAGGAGCTGATTCTTAGGAACTTGACGAAGAACTTATACTGCTTGATCAAGACAGCGGCTGCCACGTCGAGGGTAACGTCCAGAACCCTACCGACATCCAAGTCAAATGTACCGATCAAGGCCTTGACCCTTTCGAATGTGTGTTGAGCAAGCTCCGGAGGCGGTGGCGGTACACTACTGGTGGTGAATAGCTCAGTGATGAGCTTTGAGTAGCCTTCTGATTCCTCGCGAAGAAGGTTGTAGTTGGCTTGGCGGTAGAGTAAATTGGTGGCCTGACGGACACCAAGTCTGGTGAAGGTATCACGGATGAGACCGAGCGGTTGTAGAATTGGGGCGTCGAGAACTTGGCGCATGAGCGTAGTAGAAACTCCTGTAGCCTGGAGAAACTGTCGCAGAGCTGGCTGAAAAAGGTCGGAGTCATTGTCCATGGCAATGGCAAGTGAATCGAGAAACAGCGTATGAGGGGCAAAGGTAAATGAATCCTTAATCACTTCCGTATTCTCATCGCCGATGATTTCCTTGACGCAGGCGCCAGCTTCTGCAGGGGACAACTTAGCAGCTAAGACGGCATGAGTCAACTCCCGGAGTATGCATGACAGCTCCACGACATCAATATCCTCACGCGCCTGGACGCCACGAGAGACGATGTGTTCTCTTCCAGCGGCGGCCCACTTTGCGGCTTGTTCATCCGTTATTACGTCAAAGTGATACTTGTAGGGCTTGAGTGGCCTCGAAGTTTCGATTTCTCGTAGGGATGAACGCGCAACGGCCGTTGATGGCTCGGGGGGTGTTGGTTTGACAGGCGATGACGGCACGTTGGATGAAGCTTGTCTGGAGTGTTGTGATGACGGCTGCTGCGTGGCAGAACTTGGTCGTTGGCGAGTAGGCGAGGATTGAGAATTGGACTGTCCGTGTGATCCGTTTCGACCATGGCCATACGAGTCACGACGGCCAGAGGCCCCGCGATTGCGAACACGGCCTCTGCTACCACCATCATCTCGTTCGTGGTGTCCCATGGCCATTTCTGTCGGTCGATGCGGCGAAGGTCGACCAACTTCGCCACTCGAGGGCCGATCAGTTCTCTTACGTTTCGGAGGCATGGCGGCTCGAAAGTGCAAGGGAAACTGCGTTAGATCATTGGCGCACAAATTTCAAGTTTTTCGGAAATGAGTGGTGCTTCGAAGGAAGTGTATGAGACAGTCGTGACAGTCGTGCAAGAAAAGGAGGGGGACGCAGGCAGTGTTTAAATAAACCGATGTGGTTGTCAAGTAGCACGAAAGGGCCAGAAAAAGAAAGGGCTGCGGCAAACCCGCAGAGGGATACCAAAGGCACCGACGGCGGCTCTCGTCCCTAGCGATGGTATTCTGGTGGTACCGAGGCCGGGCCGGTTTCTCGTCACTCGTGCGGTTGCGCGTCGCGTTGTTCGAAGCCTGTCGCACGGGCTGATGGATAAAAGAGGCCCCAACAATATCTGGCTTAGTGATGCCCAAATGGATGCGCGACGGCAAAAGCTTGGATTGGGCGCACGGGCCATGCAAACAGATGCACGGGTGCACGTGATGTGTGGCTAGTGTGGCAGCTTGGTGTGTGGCTGAGTAGCATCTTGAGGTGTGGCTCGTTGGGTTCCCAAATACAGAGTATTTACGACGGTCTATTTTAGGATACATTTTCTTCACGTCTCGATGGTGACACTTTTCTGCATTCGGAATGGAATCCATCGGAATATGCCAGTCAGCCCATCTATCCATGGGATATTACTGTCCAGAAACACCATTCTTCATGCTCCCGGCCCGTTCCCGCCGAGCTGGGTTGCAGTCGATGGCGGATTCTAGCGACCGTCTTAGCGCACATTACTAAAAGTTAGTCACAGAAATCCCCAGGCCTGTATCGGAAGCTTTGGTTGCGCCATTGAAAAGGGCTCCAGGTCGCATCAACTTTTCCACTTCATCCTCAATTGCCAGTTCGAGAATACTACTCCATTTCTATCAACAATTCCTGCACTTTTTCGCAAAAAACTTTCAATAACCACCCTCAATTCTCAACATCTGCAGAGCGCTCGCCTGCCCCGCCACGCCCGTTCACACAGCGATATCGGTGCCCGTCGTCCGTATGGCTCAAGACGCGGTCAACAATGGCACAGCAAAGTCGCAATACGGTCAGTGTATTCCTGTAGTATGGGCCAGAGATTTTGATCTGCTTCCATATCTTACTCCGCCTGTGGCAAGAAACGTTGCTGAATACCTGTAAGAAAGGCGGTCGTCCCAGCCAGAGAACCCGTTTGCCGCATTGATCCCGGACCAGCAAATCGCCATCATCCCAGAATTCACACTGGAATCAGGAGCAACTCTTCGCAATGTCCCGGTTGCTTTTACGACTCGGGGAAAGCTCTCACCATCTGGCGATAATGCTATGGTTATTTGTCATGCGTTGACGGGCAGTGCCGATGTGAGTGATTGGTGGGGACCATTACTCGGCGGCCCTGGTCAAGTATTCGATAAATCAAGGTTCTTCATCGTCTGCATGAACAGTCTCGGCAGCCCTTATGGCTCGGCTAGCCCAGTTACGGCGAAAGACGGCGACGCTGCCAAAGGTAGATATGGGCCCGAGTTTCCCCTTACCACAATTCGCGACGATGTTCGGTAGGTTGCATTCTGGTCACGCATGAGCCTTGCAGTCATCATTCATGCAGTCACTGACCGTCATAGTCTACACAAACTCCTTCTCGATGAGCTTGGGGTGAACCAAATCGCCGCCGTGATTGGTGGATCTCTTGGAGGCATGTTTGTCCTGGAGTGGGCGTACCTCGGCAAAGACTACATTCGTTGCATCGTTCCCATTGCGACCTCCAGTAGGCACAGCGCATGGGGAATCAGCTGGGGTGAAGCGCAGAGACAAAGCATCTATGCGGACCCAAAGTATGATGACGGGTACTACGAATTCGAGGATCCCCCATCAACCGGTCTCGGCGCCGCGCGCATGTCTGCGCTGCTGACGTACCGCAGCCGCAACTCATTTGAGGCTCGCTTCGGACGCAACATTCCTGATGCTTCCAAGGTTCAGACAATTCGGGAACGCCCACGTCCGGCAACCCCTTCCGAGGCTCATTTCCACATTCATAACGACGGCCACGTTGTAAAGCGCAAATCACTATCGCGCAACAACAGTGAGAGCAGCTCGCGGCAGTCACCGAACGGCAGCAATGGCAAGCAGGTCGTTGTCGACTCACCGGACCCTCAGTTCACAGGGCCGAAGAAAGTGGAGAGTCTGACCGGTGGCGAAGATCTGCCAACGTCGACGTACTTTTCCGCCCAGTCGTATCTACGATACCAAGGAAACAAATTCGTGAAACGATTCGACAGCAACTGCTACATTGCCATGACTCGCAAGCTTGACACCCATGATGTTTCGCGCAATCGCGCAGACAGCATTGCGGAGGCACTCGCATTGATAGAGCAGCCGACTCTGGTGCTTGGAATCGAGAGCGACGGGTTGTTCACATTTGCCGAGCAGCAGGAGATCGCCGAGCACGTCAAGGACGCGAGGCTGGAGCGCATCGAGAGCCCCGAGGGCCACGACGCATTTTTGCTGCAGTTTGAACAGGTGAACCGCTACATTTTGGCGTTTTTGAAGGAAGTCCTTCCAGACATCATGAACAAGGAGGGTGCGACGGCTGAAGAGGTGGGGGTTGGCAAGATTACCAAGTCGAGCACGTTTGGCGAAGCAGAGGTGGAGGACATCACCGCATGGTAGACACAAGACGAAAGGCCAGGCAAGAATAGGTAGTGATCTTCAAACTATGGATCAGCGCGAGTGTCGAGCAGGAAGATGATGGAGTATCTGCGATATTTAGCTATAACTTGTTTAGGTAGTCATAGCCTTTTCGTTGACCGGAGCCTGACCGGGGCCAGGTTGCTGAAAACAAAGGCGGTATTGGTTGCAGCCAGCATGGGATAAAAGGACGGAAAATAGAGGGCAACCAAAATATGGGGAGGGAAAATCGAAGAAATAAGGCACAAATTAAAATGAACTAATTGTGGTATTTGCGGTATTTATTAAGCTTTACAGCTGAGCAGCGTCGTAATTGTCACCTGCATGGCCGAGCCTTGCCTGGGCTGGACTGGTAAAATAGTTAGTCCCCCCATGGGGTTGGTTGGCCGTTGGGTAACCAAAGATAAAGAGATAAAGAGGCGAGTCATTTGGCCGACGCGCAAACGGATTACAAAACGGGAGGCATTGAATCGGAACACGGACGGATTTGAGTTTGGTCTTGTGGTATGCTACCACGGGATTTTTGTGAAGGCAAGTTCGAAGGGCGAATAAGCACGGGGGCAGGTGGGCAACCAATCCCACCCAGCAGCGGACCCATTTGCCGACACGAGGGCTGGGTTTCTAGAACTTCTAGAAGGGTGATGATGGGTCAGGTTTCCACGTCAGGCACCAGAGTGTGAGAGAGGGAGGAGGGCTGACGCGGGCGCGCTGATGGATGCTGAGAGGCTTGTCAGATGAGGCATCCTGCTTCAGTGGCGCACGCAATGGACCCGCGCGTTGGAAGATGCGACACAATTATTTTTCCCTCGGGCGAGATGGAAAGATGGAAAGATGGAAGATGGCGAGATGGCGATGCACGTGGGGGAAACGGCGCTACTCTGTTCGCTTGAGATCCCAAACTTGTGGGTAGGCCAGACAGGGTTTCGACATTGGACCTATTTTTTGTAACAAAGGGGGAGGGCCTAGCGGCGGCGGCGGCGCGGCGGACATTGTAGGGCCCCTGCAAGCCACTTGGGCTGGATGGATGGCTTGATGATGGTTGGATAGATGGACGGATGGATGGATCATTGGATGCTAGAGTAATACGGAGCAGTTACGGATATTGGAACAGTCTTAGCAGATAAATAATATACGTAAAGCGCATGAAGTCGATCGTCGGCCCCCTCCTCGAGTACCTTAGTAGCCGGAATGGCGCAAGATGCTGCAACCCGTGGTTAATATGAGACCGGTGCCCCCGCCGTGTTGTGCCGTGCCCTCCGAACTGATGTCTGGCTTTGCAACTTGCCGGTTTTGAGATTCAAGGCATAACTCTCCATCTTGATGCGAGTTGCTGGATACGAAAACGCCCTCTCGACTGCTTCATGCATCCTCGCAGCGCTATTACTGGCCCAACTGAGAATCCGCTACAGCGAGTTATAGCGACCCCTAGTGGCCGTTTAGGTGGTTCTGGTGTCTTGTTTTAGCGGCCATTACCGCAAACTCCGCCAGGAATATTCCTTCAGCCTGCATCACCTGCACTCCCAACTGCCATCTGCCGTTTTCCCCTCCTTCCATTAGCTCTTCCTGCATCCTGCAACAAATCATCTCGACGACATCTTCACCTTCCCATCGACCGTTCCTTTCTTTTCCTATCGGCTGTAGCCTGCGCGGCGGCAATTGAACCGAGACCGCCTCCCGCATCGCGACCCGCAGCCAAGTCGGCCGACCCATGTCTCAATAGTCGAACCGCACCGCACCGCAATCCGTCGCTGTTTGTCGCCGCAGCCTGACAAAACAACCCAGACAGGGAAATTCTTGCAAATAGACGAACATGCATCGAGACTTCCGGCCTTTCGCATACGCATCTATCGAAACTAGACCAACTCTCACTCGTTGATACCGCGCCCTCCGTGGGCGCCGGCCCTTCAGGAATCTCGCCTCGCAGACGCTACGACCTCCGTGGGTGACGGAGAGCCCGCCGCCAATCACCACACCAAAACCATGCCTGAATCCTCCGACCACATGCTCCCGCCGCCGGCGCACGCGTCAATAAATTCAGCACACACGCGAGGCGGCAACAGAGCCTTTCACAACTACTACAACGATTACTCCCACATTGCCGACGCCAACTTGCGCCGACGACTTGCCCTGTCAGACGTTGACAAGGTGCCATTCGGAACGTGCCGTACGTGTCGAGCATCATGTCCCACGAATATATCGCGCAAATTGGAAACCAAGAGCTAACAAGTCATTGACTGATAGATGTCCGAGCCGTTCTCGTTGCTGGTGCAGGCTTCCTCTTGGACTCGTACAGCATATTTGCCATTAACTTCGTCGCCCCCTTGATCGGCTTGGCATACTACAGCCAAGACGATGGCGATGGCAGTGGTGATTTGCCTGAGAGCATCAGCCAAGCTTTAAAAGCTTCCACCAGCGCTGGCATCGTAGTGGGAATGATATTGTTCGGCTTGCTGGCCGAGTACGTGCCACGCCACTCCATTTACACAGGACACACTAACATTCGCCAGCAAATACGGACGTCGTCGCATGTACGGCATCGAACTCGGCGTCGTTATCTTCACAATCTTCAGCTGCGCAATTGCCTCTGGGAGTCCCTCTATGAGCGGGCCCGGCGTATTAATATTTTGGCGCGTATTGCTGGTGCGTCTTTCCAAGTTCGTCGTTCATCCAGAAACTAACCCCTGGCAGGGCATCGGAGTGGGAGGCGATTACCCTCTCGCCAGTGTCATCACTTCCGAGTAAGCCAAACTCCTCCATGTGGCATGCAGCAAATGTTGATACTTTTTTTAGATTTGCGCCAACTCGGTGGCGCGGCGGCCTGGTGGCTGCTGTCTTCTCCATGCAAGGTCTTGGCCAGCTCATGGCAGCTGTAGTTGGCCTCATCACGACTGTCGCATTCCAAGGCTCGTACGACGGCATCGGCCCCAACGGCCCGTGCGATGCCGCTTGTCGCATAGCCGCCGACCGCTCCTGGCGCATAATCGTTGGCGTCGGCGCCATCCCGGCCTGTCTCGCCATGTACTATAGAATCACCATTCCCGAAACTCCTCGATATACTTTTGATGTACAACACGACGTCGACAGAGCCGACGCAGATATCAAGGCCTACGTGTCCAGAAGTCGGCCGAAAGACACTGTCTCTACCACAAATACCCACTTTCATTCATCGACCCTCTCTGTCCCAAAAGCATCTTGGGCAGACGCCAAGGAATTCTTTCTCAAACCACACAACTTTCGAGCTATGGTTGGAACCACAATGTCCTGGTTCTTTCTTGTGAGTCCAAGATCTCGTAGAATGATTTAACGAGACTAATACGTGTAAAAGGACCTTGCCTTCTACGGACTGGGGCTGAACAACAATGTCGTCTTACATGCCATTGGTTACGCCAGCGGCAAGACGCTGTATCACAAGCTGCGCAACCAAGCCCTGGGGCTTATTATTCTGACGAGCGCTGGCTCATTGCCAGGTTACTGGACCGCCATTTTGACGGTTGATACTGTCGGGCGGAAGCCTCTCCAAGTGTTTGGCTTTCTTCTCCTCACTGCTGTCTTTTGCGTCCTTGGCTTCGCGCTGCACAGTCTGACAGAGGGGTCCACGCTCGCACTCTACATTGTCGGACAGTTTCTTTTCAATGCGGGGCCAAATACGACGACGTTTATTTTACCCGCCGAGTGCTTCCCTACACGGTATCGCGCTACCGCGCATGGCATCTCCGCAGCCATGGGCAAAATCGGTGCCATCGTGGCCCAGGTCATTAGTATACCACTTCTCAAGCAAGGAAGCTCTGCTGTGGCCGCGTGCAAGGGAGGCAAGTGCCCAACATCCCTTGACCGACTTATGCAACTCTTTGCGCTTTTCATGTTACTGGGCACCGTCGTTTCGCTACTCATACCTGAAACGAAAGGCATCACGCTAGAGGAGCTCTCCGGAGAGCCTCACACGAGCTATAATGATGGCTGCAACGGCAGCGTCAAAGCCTACCGCCCACCGCGCGCACCGCGCGCGTGGTGGCATCCGATAGAGCTGCTTGGCTTCTGCGGCGCAGGCGAGCCCGCCGGGTTCAGTCGGCGCTCCATGTGCTGGGGCGGAAGTCGCCACGGTAGCCGTCACCAGTCGCCTCGTCTCGGTATCATGTCGTCGCCTCAAATGGTCGCCGCATCGTCAGAGCCGGCAGAGACCACACGATCCTCGCACTGGCGCATTCTCGGTCACCGTGAGAAGCGCAAAGCGCGCAGCACAGCTGATAGTGAACTCGCCATAATGAGCCGCGATGGCGGCCCCGGTCCGTCGCGAGACGACGCGTCGGACGAGACGGCATACACCCGAGGCAACAGTAATACTCGTAGTCATGCTGGCGGGATGGCCACATCGGCGGTTGGCAATGTCGACCCTCCAACTTGGGGTGCAGGCTGGGGCCGTATCGATCGAGGACGAGCCGCGCCTTCGTCCGAGTTACGAGACGTAGGGATGTTGCTACGGGATTAATGACACGAGTTGTCAACTTGCACAAGCGAAGGCGTATGGGTAATGGTGTTTGGGCATTGGACTAGAGTTTTGAATTTGTTGAATTTGGTTGGGAAATTGGAAAGCAAATATTTGTGGCAATACAAGCAGTGAACACGCATGGTAAAAAAAAACAAAAGGCTAATCCTCGTAAAATACAAGTCGTAAGTTGAGCTATGACGACCAATCGCCGGGACAAAGAAAAATGGGAAAATAATGTCGTATCTTCTTTCTGTACACGCTATCTGGCATCTCTTAGAAAAAAGCCATTTAGCAGCTGCAACGTTCAATCGCGTTAGCATCGTCACATGGAGGAGATAAACAGGGACGGCGACGTACCTGCAGTACTTGCTGCACGTCTCGTAGGCCTTGGAGCGGAACTGGCCGCCCTCGCAGTACGAGTCGACGTTGGAGGCGTGGCAGTAGCCCTCGAGGCGTGAGGCGCAGCTGAAGCGGCGGTGGATGACGTGGTCGACGGGCGTGGCGAGCGCACCGAGGACGCCGGCGAGGAGGATGGTAAGTGAGGCCTGGATGAAGCGGCAAGTCAGTCATCGTGTTTCCAATATTCGGCCTCCATCGCGACAGTCGGTGTTGTCTCGTCGGGTGTCGCATTCCAGTCGCGCGGTGGCAGGGGAGAGTAAGGCGAGGCTCACCTTCATTGTGTGATTTTGTAGTTGGTATCAATTATATGGAGGTGAGTTGACGACAGTACACGCGATGTTCTTGGGGATCTTCGGATGATCAGCGAGAAAAACAGGTGTGACAAGGGCAGATTGGCGAACTCGGTCGGTCGGGTCGGAGGGGGGAGAGGAGCGTGTTACTTATCAGAACACTGGAGGGAAGGGGGGAAATGACAGACCGGACAAGTGTCTTAGATTTCTGGAAGTGGTTTGCATGGGAGATTGCGAATGTCTTGGACGCTGAGACATGGCACTACGCCGGCGATGCAGGGCCAATGCATGGGACGGTGCTGGAAAAGAAAGCAAGATGGTGCGCTTCCAGTCTTTTTTGTAGAGGGAGGGTGCGCCAGCGCATTAACACGGAAATGTCGGCGGAAAGAAAAGGGGAACTGGCATGTAAAGGAGTTGTTGGCTGATGATGGGCGATTAAGCCTCGAGTCTACCCAACAACAGCAACAACAACTCTAACAAACATCTACCGAGTACGTACTCCGTAGTTACTGCGTAAAATATTACATGGGTTAACCTGACGAAACTACACGATCCCTACAAGTTTGGACAAAGGCCTTTGTTCCCTTCCGCATCCTTGCGCTGAGCATTGCCATTCAAGGCGACTTTTGCGCTGAGGCTTGGGTCGCAACTGAGACACAGACTCGACAACGTCTTTTTTTATATGAACGTGATGCGCCACCTATTATCCTCTTCTCGGGTCCTTTTTTCCCACTGTGTGGGCTTGGCGAGACATTTACGGCAAAAACGGCCACAAAGAAGGGCAAGACACTTTTTGACTCCCTTTTCCCTTCGCCCCCCTGCGTCTATCGTGGAGGGAGCAGTCAGTTAGTGCAGTTTCTATTTTAAGGAACTGGAACAAGTGTGAACTGGAATGTCCTTTCCTTTTTGTTTTTTCCCCCAGCGCCACTCACCGGAGCGACCTGCCTCTGCACGGGATAATTAGGCTACCTGGGGACTTGGATTTTTGTCCGATTTGTCGCCGTGTCTTGCGATCCCGGACAAGTCTAGAATCAACGCCCAGTCTCAGTTGGACGGTAAGCGAGGGCATCACATTTGCGCTGCATATACGAATTGATTTTGTGCGGACTATTAGGCCCGGATAATTGCCATCTTGATTACGTTAACAATACATGATGCAAAAACACGATATTTTAAATATCCAAGGCTTGAAGTGATGGGCGCCTTAATAAACGAGTTGCGCAGTTCGACTGGCTTACAAGACGGAGTGCGGATGACCGACTCGGATTGCTTTGAGATGAATCCGGCCAAGCTCTGGTTTACCCAATCGCGCACTACGAATTAGTAGTCGTCACATCTTCCATCACTCATATTCAAGTGCATATTGTACTCTCGCGAGCGCTACACTTGCTTCTCTCCACATAGCTCCGGAGCATCTCAAAAACAGCATGCCGAGTCGGTGCCGTGTCGGCCCAGGCCGTGTTGACCTGTGCCGTCCTCCGTGTCACGAACCGGGAGTCCTTCGCCGACCTCCCTGTTTCTGCCCCGTCGCACCCCCCCGCACGTTCCAAGACATGCGCGAAATCCAGCCCGCTCAGGCGAGCACCCCGCGGCGCAGCGCTGCGCTGGGACTGCCCGGAGGAAATGCGCCGCCGTTGCCATGTGGCTCAGTATGTAGTGGCCGACGTTGAGAAAGCCAAGAGGAGGGGGGGGGGGCAAAGCGCGGTCAATCCAAAGCTCCTCGGAGATGGTGCTAATAATGGCTTCCGTTGCTCAGAAGCATGTGCAAAATCCGGGGTACAGCAGTCGCGGCGTGGCTCCGTTGAAAGGAGACCAAGGAACGCGCCCGCTCATGAGCGCGCTCGACAATAGATGAATCGGATATATCCCTCCCAGCGTTGAAAGTTAAGTGATTGCAAGGCAATTAAGTCGATTTCTATTTGTATGACGTGCAGCCCCCAGTCACGTATCGAGCAGCCACGATGACCACTTTGTGAGATAAGTTAGCTTTCGAGAAAGACGTACCACTCCATCACCTCTACTCGGTGCTATTTCCGTTTCACCATCGTCGATGGTTTTATTATCATCGGATTAAACTACAAGATAACAGTCGCTACGCTACGTCAGCACCTACCGCTTCGATTACCACCCAGATACTGTTGCTCGGACGCGGCAGGCGCAGCCAACAGCCACGGCGTCAAGTTACGCATTGAGCTTGTTTTTGAAATGAACTTGCTACTCTATCCTTACACCCGCTTCCCTCCTCAACGAATAGCATCAAAATTACGGCTTTGTTTTGTCGCTCCCTTCATTCACCAAAACACAAGCAAACATGTGTCACGGTCGGTTCAACGCCGATGAGCTCTAGGCAAGGCTCTACGACGGCAACAACAACAACTCGCTGCCTCCTTACTCCCAGCTCGACAGCTCAGCCCCCGAGGTGCAAGAGCTCCTGCCGCACCTCGCACTGGAGAACCAGTCCCGGCGACTGACCGCCGACGAGGTCACGGAGTGGCAGCTGCTGGTCACCCGGGCCACGAACCCCCCCTCCCAGCACGCGGAGGAGCCTCAGGACCGCACCACGGCCATCGAAATCTCCCCGTCGAGCTCGCCGTCGCCGCCACTGCCGGGGGGTGGCGAATCGCCGTGGCGCCGCGGACTCCTCGCCCTGCCAAGGTGGCACCGCGGATCCAGGAGACGGCCGGCCGCCGTCAAAGCACAAAATCGCAACTGGGCAAATCGCCTCCGTGACTTGGCGGGTGCCGTTAGGGAGCGGGTGAGTAGGGCCGTGGCATTTGTCCTCGGGAGACAACAGCGCAAGAGCCCGGAGGAACGTGGCCGGATACGCGCCTTGGAGGGATACGCGCGACCCGCTCAGGAAGGATATGAGAAGATGCCAGACGGATACCGAGAGGGAGGCCAAGTGAAAGCCCGACGCCGCGCACGCCGCGCACTCCTCGGCGAGGAGTGGCCGGGATTCAGCTGCCCAGCCAATTACGCACCACCAGTCCACTCCAAAGCTCCTCTCGACTTGGGGAACTTCGCGGCCGATCCCAAGTTCCAAGCCGACGATGGAGCCGAGTATGATTGCCCAACTGGCTATGATTGCCTAGCCGACGATGAATTTTCAATCTACTCTGAGTCCTCAGACGAGCAATATTGGGACATCGAAGAAACGCTATAGAAGGAGGGAAGAGGTAACCGGCCCCAGCAAGAATAGGGCATCAGCTGCGGTGGGCTGACAAGGTGTTGCTTAGGTGCTGCTTGTATTTTTCATGTCGTATTGGTTAAGCTAGCGAGGTATTTGTTCTAAATATCATAAGCGTGCTCCTCTGGAGCAAAGGTCCCAAGATCATACCCGTAGAGAAAAAGAAAACGCTTTCTTTCAGCCACCCACGGTTCAGGGGTTCCCCTGTGCGCTGGCTCTTGTCCGTCGAGTGAATACTCTGCCCGAAAATGTCCAACGATAGCCCAATGAATATGTCCTCCAAACAGAAACCCACGGCCATCATCCGTAGATGAGAAGAAGAAGAAGAAGAAGAAGAAGAAGAAAAGAGGGATCAAACAATGCCGAGCCCCAACCAGGGCTAACAATCTGTCCTTTCCGCAGAAGGATGCTCCATGTACATGTCGCGTACAACAAGGTATAGGTATAATGGTGACAAAAAAAAGAAAGAAGAGAAAATTGAAGGAGGTTAATAAAAAGGGTTAGAGGTCGCTCAAAATGCCAGGCTCTTTTGGGGGGTTTTTTTTTTGACTTTTTTCGACTTTTTTTTCAGTCCTCGTCGACCCAGTCGTCGCCGCCCGCATCGTCAATCTCAATCGTCGTCCCCAGAGCCTCCTTGCCCTGCCGGATCATGTCCTGCAGGCGCTTGTTAAACGCCGAGATGCGCACGTCCGCGTCGCGCTCCTCCATCTTGCGCCGCGCCGCCAGCTGCTTCGCCTCGGCATCGAGCCGCGGACTATCCTCCGCGGCCCGCGCCTGCTGCTGCTCGCCAGGGGCTTCTCCGCGGCTGGAGGCGGCGGAGGCGGTGCTGTTGGTGCGGCGGTGGGCGGCGCTCACACTCGTTGCGGTGCCGCTGCGCCGACGCCGGTGACCGCTGCCGCCGCCGCGCGACCAGGGGTGAGCGTGCGTTTGGGTGGGCGACGCGGTGGAGGCGGTGCTGGCAGTGGTTTGGTGGTAGGAGGTGAGCTTGGTCGGGGAGGCGGACCGCGGCGAGGCGAAGGAGGCGGACGACGGGGGGCGGAGCTGCGGGGTGGTTTGCTCGGAGGGCGTCGCCGGGCGGCAGTAGGAGGAGGGGGGGCGGCCGTGGGGCGTCGTCGTGGAGATGCGGCGGCCGGTGGTCACGGAGGGGGTGTGGTTGCGGTTGCGGGGTGATGATCGGTAGCCGCCACTGCCACCAGTAATCTTGCGCGGCGTCGCTGCGAGCGAGGAGCGGCCGGCGTCGTTGACGATGACCCAGTTCCGCCCGAGGTCGTCGGCGTGCGTCGTCTGCCGACGCTTCGCTGTCGGGATGCTCGGGGCCGGGCTGGGGGGAGGGCCGTACCAGGGGTCGGCGGCGGTGAACGACGGGAGCGGAGACACCGTGTCGTCGACAGCGGTGTGGTACGAGGTTTCCGGTTGGGAGGCGGGAAAGTGGCCGGGGACGCGGTGCTCGTTGTAGTCGTCGTAGTTGTTGTGATGGTAGTGGTAGCCGTAGGGGTAATCGTCGTCGGCGGGAGGTAGGGGCGCGGCGCTATTACTGCTATCCACCATGGCCCCTGTCTCGGTCATGGCGAAGCCCCGGCCACCGCCAGCGTAGAACCCCTTGAAGGCGCCTGCCTTGCAAAATTCCCACACGCGGCCGACGACGCCGCCGACGGCGTTGATGGCCACGCTCCCCCACCCCTGCGACGGTGAGGGGGCGCGGTTGTGGTTGTTGTGGCGGTAGAGCGAGGTCGGCGCGCCGTCCGAGCTGTCCTCGTCGTCGTGGTTGCGGGATCGCTTGGACCCGAGCGCCGTGCGGTAGTTGGAGTCGGAATAGGCGCTCTCGCCCAATATGTCCGAGTCCGCGCCGCCGCCGGGCGTGTCCAGGGTACCGGCGAGCGCATACGCTTTAACGGGCGTGTGCTGCGGCGCGGCGGCGGTGCCGAAGAGGCTCACGGCGGGCGGCGCATCGTCAACGGGAGTGTCTGCGCGGTAGTGGCCTACGCGTTTCCGCTTGGAGGCGGAGGCGACGTCGAGAAAGGCGGAGCCGGACGGCGAGGGCGAGGATAGAGGCGGTCGGAAGATGAGAGGCTGTGATGATGATGATGATGATGATGATGTGGTTGTTGTCGTCGTCGCGAATATGTCGCTGTGGAATGCCCCCGGCATGCTGAAGCCTGACGGGTACGTCATCTTGGCGAAGGCTGGGGAATGTTAACAGCGGTGGGGGTGGGTGGTTGAAGATGCGGCGGGGATTGCAGCGACCCGGCGAGCTCTCTGAAGATGGGAAATGCGTACAGCTGCAAATACGGGTAGACCGCGGACTATTTGGACAAGCTTGTGCGCAGATTTTTGCGTTTAAGCGCCGCACACAGAGTAAGCGAGCGACCACCGGCGCAAGGAGGAAGCTGGCGGGCGGTTTCTCTGCAGGCGTGTCTCGGCAAGCAGTTTCGATAGCATATGCCTGCTATACACTTTCCGACAAAGGCCAGCCTGAGGAAGGATAAAAAAAAAAAGAGTCAAAGATGAAGCCAAGTCAATATCCGGGCCTCGCCTTTGGGCGTGCGATTTGTTGGGGATGATTTGCGTCCCAGGTCGACTGGGGGCCTTGTTTATTCACACCGGGCCGCCAGGCCAGCTCGTGACCCCACCGAACCAATGGGTGGCTGGGGCAGCTGCCTGGATGATGCAGAGTGTTGTGGCTGATGCCGAGTTGTGAATCAGGTGATGCTATGCAACGCTGCAACACTCGACGAATCGTTGAGCAGAGAGGTGCGTAGAGAGTAAACGGGAGAAAAAGTGCTGAAACTCGAGATAAGAAAAATTCATCGGACCACAGATGTACCCAACTCCTTGTCCACCGCCTTTCGCGATGCGCAGGTACCAAGGTACCCGGCCGGGCGGTGTGAGAGCGAATGACCGCTAAAGTGCCTGTAGCATGAGCTTTTACCTGAACTAATGTGGTACTGTGGAGAGTTGTTTTAGTGCTTGTTTTAGCGAAAAGGTCCCTGTAAACTATCTAATAGTAACCTTAGCCACATGGCATGTCAGCTCGTTCTTCGGCAAAGGTGGCAATCGCCAAACCATGTTGACGATTCTTCCACAGCTTTGGATCAGCATTCATCTTGTTAGATACTACTCCATAGATGAATATCAAGTACCTACTTTTGAGCTCGGCGACGAGAGGCAACAGCGTATTAACTTTCGAGCCCCCTAGCATCTGAGAGGACCCGTCGTAGATCTCGTTGCTGTGGTATTTAAAGTGTGGGGCGGGCAATAACAGAGTTCCTATTTAGGAAAATTGTATGGAATCCGTCTCCACAAAGCAAGGCTGCACATTAACGGTGCTGCATTGTCGATGAACGCTATTAATATATCCAAACCTGTAGATTGGATCTTGGAAATCTGATATGAGCGACTGTTTTTCTTTTGAGCTGGGAGAGGTGAATAAGCACGGCTGGTTTCTCCGGCCATGCCAGCAGTGTCGCGCAGTGAATCAGGCCCCTGATGCCCAAGCCGTAGAACGCTCAACTGAACGACTAAATGTGTAACGAAGAATTCCAGTGCAAAAGAATGAAAAGGTTACGTTACATACACGGAAGCATACAGGGTCATTCATAAACGGGGCCTTTCCCTTACCAATCACGCCTTTGCATTGCCCGAGCATACCAACTGCGACTCACGCTCGCAGGTTCTTCCACCTCAGTGTTACACCAGCACCAAGGAAAGGACCGTCTAGGCAGTTCCTTCAAGGCTATGTGCGTCATTTTCTTTATCTTCATACCTCGATATTCCAATCCCCACTCTCGCACCCTGGATCGTGCAGCAAACAAGCCTATGCTTAGCGAAGAAGGGAGGAATCTGGTCACTATGGGTTCATCCAGCTACATGTTCAAGCGACCGATTACTTTCTATATGAAAATCTGCATCACGGTATACGGATGTTCAATCTAGGGTGAGCTGAGTAAATACAAGTCCCGCGTAGGTACAGGTTTCGTCAGTGTTGGTGACAGCTTCAGGGTAGCATTGGCAGCGTGGTTGCTTGCACCCATCCGCGGCTAAATCGTCCCACCCACAACAGATGAAATAAAAAGACTTGCTTCTCCGGTAATATATGAGCAAATCCCGACTCTTCTCTAGAGAGACACCCACCTCGCAAGCCGTAGAGGGGTATCCATGGGTCAACTTCAACGCCACTTCCTCAGCTTACCACCACGGATCAGCAAGTGATGAGCTGAAAGAGGAAAAAATAAAGAGAATACTGGCCACTAGACACTCCAAGACCCATGTGGCAATCTTTGAGGAGCAAGTGGCAAAGGCCAGCCGCTGGATCATGGCGTGCATGACGTGTTGCACAGCGTTGCAGAAGTGCCATGCCAGCAGACGACGCGAGCCGTTGGATAACTACGCCAAAACGAAATCTACCTGCAGATATTGTCTCGGCAGAGTTTTACCGAAGGATTCGGGAAGAGGAAGCGGCAATTCGTTCGGGCAGCTTTGAGTAGCCGTTGCTGCTGCCAAGGAGACAGAGTTGTCAGTGATTCCCGCTCCATGGTGTGTAACGTTGGAAAGTATTTTTGCTGGAAGCCTTTCCCCTCTCCCCCTCTCCCCCCACGAAATGAATTGTCACAGACCAAAACTACACCGTATTTTGGAAAAGAAAATCAGATTAGGCCTTAGGGCTGAACGACAAGTAGAGCGCATGTCGCTAGGGATCTTGGCCCGGGGAAGCGGCAAGGAGGACCCCCCCGGCCTGGCGGAAACCCGAGAGTTCACCCGAGCTTTCTTTCCTTTCAAACCTAAAAGGTGTAAAGAAAAAGGCTTGGACTCGATGATCGGGGCTTGGGGATAGGAATTGTACACATTTTCATTCAGCGAACGCGTCATCATAGGTAGGGCAAACGTTCTCGTGGGGGTCACCCTTTTTCACCTGCCGTCGAAAACTTGTGAGCTGAGTTACTGTCTCTGAAGGGTATCACAGAACGGGGCGGAACGCGCGCCGCCGTAGCAGCAGCGGCAGCAGCAAAGCCAGCAGCACCCGGGTTTACCAGACAAGGGAAAGCCGCGGCGACCCTCCGCCCCTCCTCGACGTCGCGGCGCGGCTGCCCTAAAGTCACTAAAAACAAAGAAAGAGCAGAGACAGACCGACCGGTTGTGGATGGATAAACAAACGGCCAACTTGATTAGTTTCCGGGTTGGTGGTGCTTGATGGGTGATGTGGCGGTTACACCAACAAGAAACCACTTGACCGGCCTGAAGAAACCCCTTGACCGGCCTGGAGTCCCAAAGACGATGCGTTTTTTTTTTTTTTTGCCCTTGTCTCTCGCTTCTCCAACGCTATTCGAAGAAGAAAAAAGGTCAAAAGCCGGGAGTCTCAGATAGAAATCCCCAGTATGTGATTTTGTTTTGCGAACCAGGCGGACCAAGCGAACCATGACATTGTCCCGCCCTGTCGGCCGGTTGGTTGGTTGGTCGGACACTACAATGACGAAAGCTGCAGCCCAGCCCAGCCACCCCCGTGCGTCCGTTCGTCATATGTCGTTCATTCACTGCAAATACAATGCGGTGATGTAGTAGCATTGTGCAATCTTTTTTGCTTCTTTTCAGCCTGCCTTAGAAAAGTCCTGAACTCATAGTGGCAAAGTGGGCAAGTTGTGTGCTGCATGGTTGGCTCCGGTTCGGCACGTCTCCGCGGTCCGTCACCCTGCCTGCTTGGTTGGGGTAAGCAGAGGGGAATCCCTGTCCTCTGCGCTATCACTTTCGTCATTTTTTTTTGGTTCTTTTGTGCGAGTTCCCGCCTTGCTTCTATCTAGTTTCGATCATTATGTAAAAAAAAATATGGGAAAAATGTTGCTGTTGGTTGGTTGAGTGGGAATCTAGCAGGGGTCGTGATGATGTATACATGTCACGGATCTACTCTGTATCATGTTTAGAACGATGAGATTCAAACCAAGAACAAGCCTGCAATAAAATGAAATACCTACTCTCTCATTGGCTCCTTGAGCGTGATATTCCTCACCCGCTGCTATCCGCCACCCCATTCATCCATCCAGCACACGCCTTTTGTGTAACACAACACTCCTCCTCCTCCTTCTCCTCCTCCTCCTCCTTCTCCTCCTCCTCTTCCTCCGCCACCAACCTTTTTTTTTCCCTTTCACAAGAAATTTACCCGAAGATTCAAGGGCTCAAGCACGCATGCACACACGAACCCCCATGGGCCCCAGCCTTGGTCTATCTGCGGTCCTCCGAGATTGCTGGTGCACTCCAGATTCCCGGGAAACCTTCACCCCCCCCCCCCCCCCCCCCCCAC